ATAATAAAAATTTTATAAATTCCTATTTTCTATTATTACTAACTGCAGATTAGACTAGTTAGGGAAGTTCTAAACTATGCTATATAAATTTATAAGTATAATACAGTTTTTTTTTACTGCCTATTACTTTTAAACTAATAGTAGTACAAAAAAAGCAAACTAAAAAATATAAGTAGTATTAAAAGTAGTAATTTACTTTAAGCAGATTAATTAGCCTAATTATTTTTTAGCTTGCTAGCTAGCCCTAAATAATAAAAATTTTATAATAATAAAAGTAAGCCTAAACTTCTTCTTTAATAAATATATAGTAGACTTGCTCTAATAAGTGCTAATAAAAAAAAAAAGCTAAACTATACTTAAAAAATATGCAGTATAATTTTTAAATTACTTAAAATAAAGCATAAAACTAGCATAAGCTACTATTCTATTTATACAATAACGCTAGTAGAAAGCAATAAACTAAGTGCGTTAGCTAGTAGAGTAATTTTAAATAAAAAACTGCGTTTAGTTTTTTTTATAAAATATAAAAATAAACTAGCCTAGTAATAAGCTTAACTAGCTGCAGGCCTAATATATAATTATAGTAGTACTTACCTTTTTAATAGTTACTTTAGACTTGCTAGGAAATTTTTATAAAATAGTATATATAAACCTAGTAGAATAAGCCGCAACTAACCTATTACTAAACTAGAAAAAAAAAAATAGCTAACTAAGTTTAAAGCTTATTTTTAAAAAAAAAGACCTTTTTTTTTATAAATAGGAAATAGAAGAGATCTTTAACATTAAAAATGCTAAAAGAAAAAATAAAAAAAAAACTTTAGTTAAATAGTAAAGCTAGCTAAACTTAATTTAGCAACTTTTAGAAAATGTAAAAAACATAGTAGTACTAAACTACTATTATAAAAAAAAAAAAAAAAAAATATTATTAATAAAAATAAAAAGTATACTAGAAAAAGCAAAGCACTATGTATTTTTTTAGCTAAAAAAAGGCAAAAGCTGCCTTAGGCCTAAATAGGAAAAGAAATACAAGGGTAGGGAGCTTTATTATAGCTAATAGGCTAGCCTAAATTAAAATAAAACCTTAAAAAGAAAAAATAAAAAAAATATAAAAGCTAGAAGCTATACTGCAGCTACCTTAGACCAGCCTAAGTTAAAACAATAGAGAGCCCTAAACAGAAAAAAAGCAGAGAAAACACAAAACTTAAAAAGAAAAAAAAGACAAAAAAAATATAGGGGCTAGGAGCTACACTGCGGCTACCTCGGACTAGCCCAAGTTAGGACAATAAAAAGTTCTAAATAGAGAAAAGGCAGGGAAAATATAAAACTTAAAAGAAAACTTTACTTTTCCTTATTATAAAAACAGCTAGACTATTAATACTTTTTACTACTATAGTTACAGCAAAGGCGAGTTTTTACAGGACGCTAAGTAGGCATAGCACAGTTTTGCTAAAAAAAAAAAAAAAAAATATTTAAGCTTAAAATAAAGCAGCCTAAAAAAGCACTGCCTAAAGCTTAAGTTTGCTAGGCAGACACAGTATTACTAAAATAAAAAAAACTAAAGTAAAAAAAGCTAAATAATAAATTGCTAAAATATTTAAAGCTAAAAGGGTAAATAAAAAAAAAAAAATCTAAATTAGCCTAAAAATAGCGCTGCTAGTAAAAATTAACTAAAAAAAGCTAGGGCAGAAGCTAAGCTTAAAGTAAAAGCTAAACTTAGAGCAGAAGCTAAACTTAAAGCAGAAGCTAAGCCTAAGGCAAACCTATTAACTTATTTTATACTAAAAAAAAAAAAAATTCTTTAAAAAAAGAATACTTATACTAGCGCTAAAAAAAAGTAGAAAAAGAATGCTAATTATAAGTAATAAGCAACTAGTTATAATAGCTATAAAAAAGCTTAAAAAGCTTTTAGCAAACTTAAAAAAAAATTAGCTTATTACTACTATTAATAAAATTAATAAAAAAAATATATTAGAGCGCCTTTGCATTATCGCGCTAAAAAAACTATTTTAAAGCTAACTTATAAAACTTAATTTACTAAAAAAAACGCGCAAGAGCAGACAAACTAGCCTAAATATAGTAAAAAAAAATTTTTAAAAAAAAAAAAAATACTTATATTAATGCTAATAAGCAACGTGTTTATAAAAGCTTAAAAAATATTAAAATAAGCATTTTAGCCTTTAATACAAGTATAAATTAAGTTAATAGCTTAATTTATAGTATTTGCTATGCTATTTATATACGCGTTTAGTTTTTAACTAGTATAATTATAAAATAAAATATAAAAAACAATAGCTAAAGCCTTTTTTATAATTGTGTAGGGGAAATTACTTGCAGTTTATTTAAAGCTATAAGCAGTCTAAAATAGAAATAAAGCAATAATATTATAAATAATAGTATTATAGATATTTTTATAGCAATAGCGCAGCATATAAAATTATAAATTAAACTAATAGTATATACTAACTATATAATGCGCTAAATTAGTACTATAAGTACTTTAAATAATAATATACAAATTATTGTTAAAATTAGACTTATTGCAGTAGTTTTATTAAGCTTAAAAAGCCTAGTAAAAATTAAAATACGTAATAAAAAAAATATTTTTATACTTATATATTTTCTTGCCTTAGTAGCAAGCAGAGTATAATTAATTAAGCCTATTTTAGTATTTAGTATAATTAAACTTTTTTATAATACTAATATACTTAGTATATATTTAGCTTTAAATAAGCATCGCTTTAAGTTTTTTATTATTAAAATTATTTTTAGTAATATACTACCTAAATTTGCGCACTAGCTTAACTAAAGTACTTAATTAAAAAAAAAATTAGCTCTACTATAGCGCTATATAAAAAAATAATATATATTTTAGTAATAGCTACTAGGACTGCTACAACTGCTACTAAGTAAACTACTACTACTACTTAAAGTAAAAAATTAAGAGCTAAAAATAAAATTACAAGTTGCTATAGCAAAAAAATAGGCAGCGCTATAGGGCTAATATAGAAAAAAAAGTATATAAAATAAAAGTATAAAAAAAAGTAAAAAAAAAGCATATAAAAGTAGCTCTAAAAAAAAATAATTAAAAAAAAGAAGTTATAAGTTCTTACTTAAAAGTTTACTTAAATTTAATATAAGTTATTATTATAAGTACGTAAAGGCTAATAATTTTTAAAACTACTTAAAATTTTTTTAAAAAAGAACTATACTAAAGTACTATAAAAACTTAATAATATTGCAACTAGCCTAAAGCTTAAAAAAAAGGGAAAATTTTTTCTAAAAGTAAAAAAGTATATTATAGCTTAGGCTTTAGCTTAAGCCTTAGCATTTGCAGACTAAAGACTTTAGCAAACTTTAATAATAAACTTTTATATAAGTAGCTAAAAATTTCTGTACTTCTTTAAAGTATATAATACTATTATTTATACTTAGAACAGAATAATCCTAAGGCTAGTCTATAACAATTACTATTTTTTCTATTTATTAACTTTTAATTTTTTTATTATAGTTATATTTTAAATTATTGCAGTATAATATTAGTATTAAGTAGCTTAACGCTTATAGCTTTAAATACTTTTTATATATTTATAAAAGTAAACATAGTATTATAAATAGCTTAAAATAATAAAAAAAAATTACTTTTATTTATAAAAATAAAGCTTTAGCTGCAATAAAAGTAGTGCAAAAGCTTAGTTAAATAGGCAGTTAAAAAAAGTAAAAAAAGCACTATATCTAAAAGTTATAAGCTATAAATTAAATAAAAAAAAATACTATTAAAAAAATTTTATTAGCGTTGCAAAAGTTTATAAAATTAGTAGTAAAGTAGCTGCTATAGCTATTAAAAATAAAAATCCTGTAATTTGCCTATACTTTACTTTTTATACGCTAATTAAAAACCTGTTTAAACTAGGCTAAACTAATATTATTATTAAACTATTTAAAAAAATTTATTATAAAAAAAATTTAGTATTTTTTAGCTTTTATGTCGCGTAACTAAGCGTTACAAAGTTTTTTTTTTTTTTTAAAAATTATACTTAGATTTACTGCGCTTTTATCTGCATAAATATATGCTAAAATTATTATTTATTTTTAATTACTATTTTATAAGGCTGCTATAATTTGTTTTTGCTTTTAAAATTGCTTTAAAAAAACTTATTTAAAGCATAAAGTAATACTAATAAAAAAATTTTTTTTATTTATATTATAAATATAGCGCGCGTTAACATTATACTCTTAAATTTTTAAATAAAAAAAATTAAAATATAATTTATAATTATACTTAGTATTAGCAAAAAGCTGTTTGCAATTAATCCTAATAGTATATTTAAAAGTAAAAATATTATAATATTTTCTAAAAAATTATAAAATTTACTTATTAAAAACTTCTTATTTTAATAATTTAAAGGCAAAATTTTTTATTATAGCTTTTATAAATAAAAGCTTATAATTAGACAATTTTTATATATACTGTATAAGTTTTAATTCCTATTATAAGTTAAAATGCATATATTGTTAAAATTCTTTTATATTTAATTATATTTTCCTTTAGTGCTAACGCGCTAAAGTAATTTAATTAATACTAAATATTTTTGCAGCTGCGTAGTATAAAAGTTATTTTTTTAAATTTTATAAATTAATTACTATAATTGTATTTAAAATTAGATTATTAGTAGTTAATATATTGCAGTTTAAAAATAACGTGTTAAGTTTGTTTTAATATTAAGGTGGTTCATCGGCTGCCGCGGTTCATCAGCTGTCCTACCTCAGTAGGGAGTCGCGATGCTGCTGATTGGCCGGTATCGGCATGGTGGGGCAGCGGCAGAAAAAAAAGTTATTGAAAGTGCTACTGGATTGCAAACAGCGCAATTAACTTGAAATAGAGTCTCAATTACGACTCAGGGGGCAAGTGAGAGGTGTAAGCTGCTCAGGTCTCGGATTCTTGCGGGTCTGCATCTCGCGTTTCTCTCCCTACCTCTTACGATTCCACCCTATACCCCGCCATGGCCGACGAGAAACCCCATTGCAAAGTCATCCTCGCCAACAACATCGCCAAAAGCGTTCTGGAGGAAGTCCGCGATGGTCTAAGCAAGCTTGAACGCAAGCCGCTCCTTGTCGGCTTCCTTTCGAGCGCGGATCCAGCCGCGAGGGTGTACGCAGAATGGACGGGCAAGACGTGCATGGAAAAGTGAGCCTCTTCGTGACGTTGGACATGGTCGATGCGCCATGTACTTGATGAAGCGGACTCGTGCTTATATGTATGACAGTGGCTTCGCCTTTGACCTCCGCGAAGTTGACCGCGAACTCCTCGAGGACGCTCTCATCGACGCGAACAACGACTCCGCTGTCAATGGCATAATAGTCTACTACCCCATCTTTGGAAACCGTCAAGATCAGTACCTACAGCAGATTGTATCCATTGACAAAGATGTCGAAGGTCTCTCCCACCGCTACATCTTCAACATGTACCAGAATATCCGCTTCCTCGACCCCGCCAGCACGAAGAAGAGTATACTACCGTGCACGCCGCTCGCTGTTATCAAGATCTTGGAGTACTTGAGGATATATAATACCATTTTGCCGTATGGAAACAGGCTACATGGGCGCACCATTACCGTCATCAACCGAAGCGAGGTTGTAGGCAGGCCACTGGCAGCTTTACTGGCGAACGATGGGGCGCACGTATACAGTGTGGATATCAGTGATGTGCAGGCATTCACCAGGGGTGTTGGTTTGAGGAAGAGGAGACACGAAGTGGTTGAGAAGCCTGGCTGGACACTCGAGGACTGCCTACCCATCAGCGACGTGGTCATCAGCGGTGTGCCAGGCGACAAGTACAAGGTACCGCTTGAGAAGATGAGGGACGGAGCTGTGTGCATCAATTTCTCGAGCGAAAGGAATTTTACGCCTGAGGTCAAGGAGAAAGCTTCGATATACGTGCCTGCCATTGGCAAGGTTACTATTGCCGTATTATTGAGGAACCTGCTGGTAGTTACTCCGTGTCCCAGTTATTGTTGATGTTACTAATATGTTCGCAGCGTCTTGCGCAAAACAAGATCGATGCCGCAGCTCAAAGCGTAGAAGAAAAATCTTCGGAAAAAGCAACCGCTCCGGCAACCGCGTAGCCGCACACTCTACCAAATCAACCGCCATCTACCTATTTTGATACCCATTAGACGGCATATCTGCCGTACACAGATTTGTGAAACCTTCCTCACAAACAATATTTGATTTACTATGGGTTTCTCCCGAAACTTGTGCATTATTTGAAGTTTCAATAGCTTTTCTGCACGTGGTTGCATTGCATCTTGTTGACCTATATATGGGACATTCCAGATAGGCATTGAAGACACCTTCCTTGCCGCTTCGGTTCCAGTCCTAACCAAGCCAACACTATACAGCCCTAGTAAGCACTACCACTTGTTTCCCGAGTACAGTACTACCCATATCATATTATCTCCTTCGATTATATGAACTAGTCGACTTCTTTCGCATTAATCCAGAAAGTAGAGCATTTTAGAGTCTGCGCCTAAGTTCGCAACTATCACCCATGTCGCTGCCGGTTCACTAAGTCTAGCAACCTATGTCAACCTCGGTGACTACAGTTTGATCGCTATAAAAGCAATACATATATCAGTGATCCGAACTTCTCGAGGAACAATCAGGTCAACGGAAACCGGACCTCCAAGTTAGCCGATCTGTAGACTAAGCGAATCATATGATAAACAGAATCCGATTACCTCGCAGTTCATTTCATGTGCTTATGTACACATCCACAAGCTGACATGTTGTAGCACCGTCAGTTCTCGCATCCGTACGTCATTGTCTCGGCCATCGGTAAGCGTTGAACACCGAACACATACAGATATATATATATTTGTTACCACGACTCATTGCGAAAAGACTAAGTTTCGATTGTCTATATACCACATTCTCTGTATTTCTTTTTATACAGTGACTAACTACAAGCCCCCTTGGCCCCGCGCTCACGATGCCAACCTTCACGACGGGCAAATCCATCATCTCGCTCGTAAACCTCGTCACGATGATCGGACCGTATCTCGCTGACTGGAAGTACGTTCTAGTTGCGTTATCCCATCTCCCTTCATTTCCCTCGTGTTCTTCCCTCCCAAACCCTATTAGCTAACCATCCCCAAAAGTGAAACACACATCTACAACCCCAATTGGCCCCCACACGCACGCTACCACAACGGCCAAACAATGTCCATGGGCCTCTTCATCGGCCTAATCACATGGTACACTCTGTACTTCCTGCTACCCAGCATTCAGTCCCCTCTTCTCCAACTGGCGCATTTGCACTGGGTCGTGGTGCTGCAGAGCTTGATTTATATTTCGAGTTTGACGGGTATTCTGTATCCCGGCGCCCTGTGGATGGATCCGCAGTTTGGCGAGGGCAGTCCACAACTTTATGGGTTCCCGGTTTTTGTGGGACTTGCGTGGGTGGGGTGGTATATTGAGAGGCAACGGCTACTGCGAGTAGTGCTGAAGAGGACACAATAGTCTTTATTATCGCAAGGTTGACGATTTTGGTAATGAGATAGCAGGGTTGGAGGTTGAAGTTGACCTGAATTGTTGGAATTTGTACTACAGATATCATGTTTGTAGCAGGTACATGTAAGAGAAGCTCGCATTTGCGTTGGACATAACATGAAAAATAATGTTCCTTCAAGAAATACACACATTCGGCATCATCATCCAGTCCCAAAACGCCAGCTATGCAGTCATACTTATGGTACATGTACAAGCATGAGATTCACAAAGGGCATTTGGGTATGTCGTAAAATAAACGACAGATCCTAAACAGATATCCCAACCTTCAAACTCCATATACAATATCAAACATTACTGGGAAATAGGTGGGTTCATCGAATCAAGGGCCCTCCGGTACAGGCACCGGCGTGCTCTCCAGCTTGATTTCCGGTGGTAGAGGCTCGTATATTTCGCTCTCCGCCTCAGGGGCAGGGCGCCGTGAAAGCGGTCTTTCCCTCTCCTCATAATACATATATTCTTCTGGTCGGCTGCTGTGCCTCTGTGATGGAGGACGCTCATACGAAAATGGCACATACTGGTAGTGTTCTGGTTCGTAACGAGCTGGCTGGTACCCACGCGGCTGTCGAGAATCACCACGCACACGAATAATCTCATATTCATGTACTGGCTGACCATACTCATCAACGTAGACTGCTTGCGGCCCGCGGGGCTCATCGTAGCGATAGCGTGGTGGGGAGTATGGGTGCAGACGATCTTGAACAGATACATAGTCACGTGGTTGCTGCCGTACGCGTGGGTAGACGCTATCCTCTGGTGACGGTTGCTCTATGCTCGGATCTCTTGAGTATGCCGGCTCATAGTCGTGTTCCGCAGTAGGTTGCGGTGTCTCCTGTTGGTCAATCCGACGACGCTGCTCCTCGTACCTCCTACTCTGCGAGCGGCTCATGCTGGATGCGCGGCCGTATGGATCATCTCGAGCCACGCTCATGTAGCGGTAGAACCGGGAAGGCATCCGATGTTCATGGGGTCGGTCCCTTCGACGATGTGGTCCAGCTCTCCGTGGAGCACCCGCTGAGGAAGGTGCATGAATGTAATGACCATTGACACGGTGTTCCTCGTATCTAGAACCGTTGGATACAGTAGACGGGGCCCGAGGATGTGGTGGCGCAAGCGGTTGAATTTGAGCTCCCAATTCACTCGCTTTTGAAACATTTAGCGGTGGAGGCGTATATCGTGAGCTATCTTCAGATTCCTGTACCGGTGCAGAAGGCTTTGTTTCCGGTGGGAGAGGCAGTTGAGACTGGGTAGATTCACTAGCAGACGTCCGACCAGGTACAAACTCTTCTAAGAAACGGTCCGCAGCCGATTGCCCTTGAGGCGGACTCGCTTCTCGTGGTGGAGGCTCTCTCACGTAGCGGTATTCCGGTTGCTGTTCGTCTTCTTCATAGTACCGGACCTGGCGGGGGGGATAAGTAGAATACTCCCGGCTGCCGTGGCTTCCTTCTCGTGGGTGCGTATAGATGACCTCGTCCTCTGGTGGACCGCGAAACCTATCCTGTTCCCGGAAGACAGTGCGGCGACCAGAATATTCCTCATAGGCATGGCTAGGGTGGGCTATCCTAGGGCTCGGGGCATACTCTACGTACTCTCGAGGGCGAGAGTACCCTTCATCTAGATGCTCCCTGGACATCTGGCGAACAGGTAAATTAGCTCCATTAATGCGCTCGTTCGGGTCCTGGAGACCACCTACATAGTATCGAGGCTCGGCATGATATCGCTGCCGGCGCTCGGCAGGCGGACTGCCCTGATAGGACTGCTTCTTGGTCATGGATGTCGAGGGTTCATTGGCCTGGGCTGTCAGAGTTGGTCGAAGAGGATCATACTCATTCTGCGTTGTCTTCGAGGGTAATGATGACTCCTTGGGGGTGGTGACTAGAGACGAAGAGCCACGTTTCTCCAAGGCGTCGCCTGCAGTATCAGTTGTGCCAGAAACACCTTTTGCATCCTTAAGGCCAGAAGAAACAGGTGAGGCTACTCCATGACTATCGATCACACCGATCTTAGGGAGCGGCACCGGGAAGAGACGAGGGAAGACAGTCGCAATCATAAGCAGCTTCTCGTCGTCCATACCAGGGGCATGAATGAATCCGCGGATGAAGCGCTCATTTGGTAATTCGATCATATCCTCCTTCCAATCCAGAGGGGCGTTTTGTAGTCCATGGCTAGGACCAGTTTGCTGTAGTGACAGATGCTGAGCTTGGAAATGTGACAACAGATTCAATACAGTGTAGGTTTTTCTCTCTTCCGGCTTCGAGTAGTAAGCAGTGGTAATTTGGTGTGAAGATGCGACTTGGCACGCTTTACAAGATAGACCAGGAGCGTTCTTCAGCCCCTTTGGTATCTCATGATTGGAAAGGGCATCGATAAAGTGATTCAGGTTTGGTTCATGGTTGAACTCAATATGGAACTTGGAGATTACACGGTGCAACAGAACGTAGATCCGGAGACTATTGGGCATGTCTTTGATGCCTGATGTCTGCTTCCAGATGTCCTGTGCCATCCCAATGACGGTACTTACTTGCTTGTCAAACGAGCTGGTACTGTGACCGGCATCTTCCGTACCATGAGAATTGGTGTCAGCGGGACCCTGGCCTGGTGGTGGCATAGCTGGAGGTGGTGCTACAGCAGGATTGATCATGGCTGGGGACGGAATGTAAGAGGTATGACCTGTTTGGTGTCCATAGCCAGGAGCGCCCGTTGCTTGGTATGCGTAGTTATCAGCTGGAGTAGCGTATGGCTGGGGGTACCCAAATCCTGGAAGAACACTTGAAGGGGTCTGCGGTGGAGCAAAGGGTCCATTGTACCCGCCATACTGGTAAGGACCTGGACTGGCTTGAGGTAGGTGAGGTTGCATGTGAGGTGTAGACGTTCCCGCACGAGAATACCCACCATAGTAATTACCATAACCAGTGCTGTTAGAAGGTGCATGGTAAGCGTGCTTCACGGAAATGGGATCCGGATGAAACGGTGTTTCCTCAGGCCACTCGGCTTCTCTCCACGCAACCACGACGTTTCCCACGCTGAACGCATTAGTGTGTCTGGCTCCAAAATGCTGGATGACGCCTTCGAAGCCGTAGAATCTTGTGTTGCGATCGCAGTCGTTACCGTAGCAAAGAAATATCTCTTTGCGAAACTGTTCTGTTAGAGGTTTGAGCTTGTTGTCATAAACCCATTTCATGTCATCTAGAACGAGTTTTGGCTTAGTATTTGCGTTAGTATTAGAATCCTGTCCAGGTTGTCCCAGGCGAGCCGCTCCGTCGTTGGCGGGGTCTGCGTAAAATGTGCGTCGAACATACGAAAGAAGGTCGGCCGCAAACTTTGGGCTGTTCTCGTAGGTAACAGCATTGCCACGGTCCCAGTCCTGGTTGATGAATTCTTCGGCAATGGTGCTGAGCCGGGTGCGGATTGGTCGTTGCGATTCCTCCCAATCTCGGTCCATGGCTTCCTTTGTTTCCTTGGAGTTGCCATCATGATGACGGCGGTCTGTTGTTCTTGTGGGAAGCACAGCTACTCGAGACACGTGGTCAGCTTCGGCCTGTTGGGCATCAGGGAGTTGGGCGAGTAAGCGGGGCTGAAGCACACTCCATGCATGGTCGTTCATTGGCTGCGAGATTTGAATGGCTGCTTTGAACGAGTCCATGTGGCGCAAGATGTTTGGAGGAATGGGAGGGTCCATCTGCTGGCACCGTTGCTCAATGTCCGTCTTCCGGTTTGCTTTGGCCTCGATGGCATCATGAAGATTTCTCTGCGTTGGTGCAGTACTTCCAGTTGGAACAGGATGAGGCGTGAAAACCTGCGGTGGAACGGTTGTAGGCCTCGGTTGCACATATTGTGATGGAGCTGCAGCTGTTAGGTTGGGCACTGCAGGGGTATTTGTGAAACATGAAAACGCGCTGCCCGTGCTGACAGTTCTTGACACATGAGAAGCATACTTACTCGCTGGGATCGGGGCATAGATCACAGGAGAGGGCATTTGGCGCGTAGGGGATTTGGACGGTTCTTTCTGCGAAGTCGCTGCAAGTGAGGGCGCAGCAGAGGTCGCACGCTGTTCTTGGTGCTCCTCCCACCACTGGTGCTTGACTTCCCAGCGCTCCCAGTTTTCGGCGATTCTCATTCGCTCCTTTCCTCGTATGTCAAGGCCTTTGGACCACTCCTCGGCTGCTGCAGGGCCGAGACGCAAGGCATCGTTGAGCTCCTGCGTGATTTCCGCTACATGCTTCTTGTAATAGTACTTCCCGATTTCGATGTCTGCGGGGGTTGTTGCAGACTGCAGGGTGTAGGCGGTAATGTAGTTGTGGTCGTTCGTAACGAGGGCGAATGGAAGAGCGGGTCGCAGCGCAGAGGCCGCCGAAAAGAGAAGACTCGAGTCCTACAAGGTCAGTTACGATCCGGTACTACGCCAGTGCGACTCACTGTCTGACACTGCTCCAGCAGACATGGTCCACATGCCCTGACAGCAAAAGGCCATATCGCCCGTACTCCTGTCTCGCCTGGCCCCTTTTGCCATATCCTCTCACCCGGTGTAAAGGAACTGAGCTTGTCACAGAACTGGCATCTCTTACGCCACGCGAGCTGCCACATTTGCAGCTCAGTGAAGCCTGGGAGCGGCTTCGGGGGCTTGGTAGGAAGCGCATTGCGGGCAGAGGCCCACAATGATTCAGACTTTAGGAGACGTAGACAGCCGTGTTCTGGCTTGGAAGTAGAGACGTTGCGCACGTCTGTGAGATAGGAAAGAAACAAGCGATTGACCTGGATCAAGCGACCCAGGTCTGCAAGCGAACAGTAGAGGAAAACATGCTGCCACACTGCCGGTGGTAGCCTGGCACATGGTCTGAAGTCGCCTGAGGTGGAAGCAGAAGACAGACAGTCTAGTCTGGGCTTCTTTCCCTGCTCAGACGACAGATCTTCTGCCTTGCGCTTCATGAAAGGCGCAGGATTCTGCACATCGCTCGTGGGGGTGTTGGACTTGGCCTCGGTTCCGTAGAAGTCGGCAGAGGAGGCCACGCTGGACTCGCGCTCCTCCATTGCTGGCCCCAACCGTCCGCTGAGCTGAAGCTCACAAGAGCCTCACCACCAGTGCGCGACAGGCTGCAGACATGGGTGGAGAAGCAGTGGGACGGGGTGCGGGATGGCTGTGGGTTCGAGGGGGATGGTATATGGTATATGGGTCGTAGTGCAGATGCTACAGATGGGGGGGGGAGGTGGTCGTGATGGGAGTGATTGAGGGAAGGATGGATGCCTAGAGAGCGACCTGTGTCGATAGGAGAAGGGTCTCGGGCTGCGTATGGAGGACGACCAACAACAACTATTATGGTTCGCGGCCAGGTCAGGTGGTGCAGCGAGCCGTCGCCCAATGGTGCAAATGAAGCGGACGAGGAGGGACTGACTGACTGACTGACTGGGCTGGCACGCTGGCTGGTGGCGCACTAACTAGCGCCAAGCATGACATAGCTGCTTCACGGGGACATGTGTTGCTGCGAGGCTGTGCTTTGCCAGGGTCGACGTTTCGAGACTTTGCATGCACATAGACATTCGAGATACATACACGTACGCTCAGCTTGTCAGACACTCTGCGCTTTGGAGGACATCTAGGGCCTCTATTACTCCCCCCCCCCTCATCTTTCCTTCCTTTCTTCGTTCCCTCTCCCACGCTTCAAAACACGACACAACAGCTCCACCACCCCCCCACCCTCCATTCATCGTTCCCAATGGCCTCGCTCAACACCTCAAGCAACGGCCCAAACATTACTCGGAGCTACCAAAATGTCGTCAACTCTCCGCCGCCATCCGGTGCCCAGGCCAGCTCGCCCACGTACGGTCAATGGGCCGTCTTCGCTGTCGCTGCTCCGCTTGTCAGCGCATTTCAACAAGATGGAGGAAAAGAGAGTGTACTGAAGGTCCAAAGCACCGGAGGTAGGTGAATAGAAGCTTCATGGGCCCCCAATTGCCTCGTATAGAAGGAGCAGAGGACATTGCCTGCGCAAGGGACCTTGTCCTACACACACCGAGTGTCGTGTCAGCCCAAGCTCGGGTCTCGGCACGTCGTTCTCCAGAACACTCGCTGGGATCGAGGGACATCACGTACGGACAGGCGCTAACGTGTGACAGAGGGTGAACTTCTCGACCTGGTAGACGAGTTCTCAGATGGCCGCATCCAGTTTGCTTTCGTCAAGGTCAAAGACCCGAACACATCTCTGCCCAAGAACGTTCTGATCGCCTGGGTACGTCTTTGATCGAGCTCGTGGAAGACACAACACTAACACTATCTAGTGTGGCGAAGGAGTACCGGAACGAACAAAAGGCTACTTTGGCAGCCATCTTACTGTGGTCTCCAAGCTTCTCCATGTGCGTTTCCACCTTCCCACAAGTGTCTCGCACCGACAGGCTAACCTGATTTTCAGGGCTATCACGTCCAGGTCACCGCTCGCTCCGACGCAGATCTCACACCAGAGAGGATCATCCAAAAGGTCTCTGATGCGTCGGGCGCGAAGTACTCTGGTGGCCCCAATATCCCATCCTCTAGTGGTCCCCCTCCCCCCGCCGCGAAGAAGCCCGTCTTCACACCGACACACGTAGGTGGAGGCGGTTCTGGATTCAACCCATTGGGGCGTTCGAGAGCGCCTGCGCCCAATGCTAACGAGGATGCGGACGGCTGGGGCGCTGATGCTCCGCAAGTCCAGAGGTCGCAGTTGGAGAAGGTCCAGTCAGCATACAAACCCACCAAGGTCAACATGGCCGAACTCACTTCGAACAAAGACGAATCGACCCGCTCTCAGCCATCGCAGTCGCAGAGCGACCGCCCAGAAGTGGTCAGAGGCGCCTATCAGCCAGTGGGAAAGGTTGACATTGCGGCAATCCGAGCACAGGCGCGAGAGAAGCAAGACGATAGACCTACCGTGGTCAAGGGCGCATACGAGCCGATCGGCAAAGTTGATATTGCAGCCATCCGAGCTAAGGCTCAGGTCGCGCCTTCCCCCTCCGGCAACTCCCCAGCAGCAACGCCCGCATCGGGCGATGATGAGGAAGACAGGCCGAGATCGCTCGCAGAGAGGTCGTCGGCCTTTAGCTCGCAACCGGAACGCCTTACCAGCCTACCGAAGCCAAAGGTTGCGAACAAGTTTGCTGGCGCAAGCTCTTTCACTGGCACGAAAGCTCCTACGCCCTCAGCATTCGGTGTGAAGCCCGCCGCTCCCGCCCCAATAGTCGGTGCTGCCAGCAAGACATTTGCGGACGAGGGAGGCAAGACTCCCGCCCAGATATGGGCTGAGAAAAAGGCTGCCCGAGGCGAATCTCCCAAGTCATCCGCTGACGCTGGAGGCCGCCCAGCCCCTCTACAGAATCAACAGAGCGGAGGGGGCGGCTGGCAGAGCGGCTATGCGGGCAAGTCTTGGGCCCCTGTCCAGACCACTCGAACAGGACAGTCTGTGGCTAGCAACCTCAGCGAGCAACGAACGGGTGGAGAGCCCCAACAGCAAGAACCGGCTTCGCCTCCATCTGGCGCGGTTAGCTCTTTGAAAGATCGATTCGCAGGCGCTGTGCCAATGGGAGCTCCAACGTCCCGCGCCATACCAGAGCCCTCGGACCCAAGCCCTCCCGCTCTCGACACCTCGAGCAAACCCAACGCAGGCGCACGAGGGGTTCCTATCCCAGGTCTGCCCAGCCGTCCGAGAGAGCCAGAGTCGGACGAGGACCATGTTCCGGCTGTCCAGCACCAACGGGTTCCCTCGCCTCCACGTCAACAGCGCAGCCCGTCCCCCGAGCCTTCCGGGTCGCCCGTCCGTATCGCTATGCCCGTTGCCCGTGGGAAAGAGCCGGACCATTTATCCCCTGCCGCAGAACAGGCGCCGCCTATGCCCACTCGTTCTCTTGATCAGGCAGCTCGCCAAGCTCGCGATATATCTCCAGAACGCCAAGTTGAAGCGAAGGATCCCGCTCGTAGTGCTGGTGCCGCTGTAGCAGCCGCTACATTTGGTGGTGCTGTGGTAGCAGGGGCGGCAGTCGGCGCAGCCGTTGCATCTGGACATGATGATCAGGGCGGCGCTGGCCAGCGAGGTCTCATTCAGTACGACTATGAGAAGGCCGAAGACAACGAGGTGGAGCTTCGCGAGGGTGAATACGTCACTGACATCGACATGGTAGATGAAGATTGGTGGATGGGCACGAACTCTGAAGGTGAACGTGGCCTTTTCCCGGCCAACTACGTTGAGCTAGTCGAAGACGACGATGCAGGTGCCACTTCTGCTCCGCCGCTCCCGACGCATCCTACTGCTGCGCAAGAACCGGAGCCATCACACTCGGCTAGCGGTGCTGGCCCAACCGCTACTGCCATTTACGATTATGATGCTGCGGAGGAAAACGAATTGAGCTTCCCTGAGGGTGCTACAATTACGGGAGTTGTAAGGGTACCCGTTCTACCAGTTTCGACTTGATGCTGACAACATTCTAGGAATTCCCTGATGAGGATTGGTGGCTTGGGAACTTCAACGGCAAATCAGGTCTTTTCCCTGCGAACTACGTTCAGCTAGATGAGTAGACCCCACTATCGACTTGATCAATGGGGGATCCGTGTTTTGGTGCATAGAACAAGCGCAGCTCGTCTCGCTTGTGGTAGGTGAAACACTGTAGGTACAAAAGTTGCAAAGTCAATATCATCAACTCACGTCCTTCTATTGGCTCGTGACATTGAACTCTTCAAAATTTCAAAATGTTCTCGCTCCAGTAAAAATTGTCGTCAATTGTCTTATGATACCTATACCGCAGTATAGCTATTTTTTCAGTCTCGACCAGACATGGTTGGTGTCCTCATTTTGGTAATAACTTCCGCATGGTTGGCAGTCCCTCGTGGTAGTGCTGCCTATAGCACCGTCTTCGTAATCACATCCAGTACGGTGGCTTCTAGGGACGGCTCTTGTTATTATGTTCCCGACATATTTTTCTAATATCGCTTACCTCTTATTCGTCCTTCGTCAACCACGGCAGCGTCTGCGCGCATTGCAAGTTGTTCTTATCAAATGTCTATAGATTTTTTCCTAGATAGAAAAGGCTCCATCTCAACCTGTATTCCCCCACATTCACATACTACTATTTTCACAACAGTCACCTCAAGACACTTGAACGCTTTCCCACTCAACTCACCAACAATAATCAGAAAATGCCTCCGGAACTCTTCGCCATTATGTCCATATGTATTATGGCCCTCACATTCCTCCTCCTCTTCTATTTGACGGACCCTTTTCCAGGCATGAAGCAGGAAATCGTATCCCTCAAACACGACAATAAAGCTCTGGGACAGGAAAACGAAGCTCTAAAGCACATGAACGAAGCTCTCGAACAGGGAAATGAAGCTCTCAGGGCTGAGAATCAAACAGCAATGAGTGAGCAGATAAAGCTGCTGACTGAGAAGCTGAATCTCAAGACCACCAACAACGCCCTCGCCGCCGAAAAAAAGGTCATATTGGCTGATATGCGGCGCCAAATTGCTAGCAAAGACGACGAGGGCTACGACATGCAGATGCACATTGAGAATAAGGCCAGGGAGCTGCATGAGATGACGATTGGTTGGGATATGTCGAAGGCTGCGCTCAACGCTATGCAGAATGAGCTCGACGATAAGGCAGGGAAGTTGGAGGAGCACGTTGCTGCTCTGCACGACAAGGAGTTGCAGTTGGAGAGCTGGAGAACGAATACAGTACGTATAATCTTGTTATGTATGACAAGCCTGTCTTGATGCTCGACTCTGTCCTTGTTTGCATATTCACTAATTTGACCTTTAGGCCGGTACAGTCCATGCGCTGCAGACTCAGATCGACGACATCGACCAAAAGAACTGGGATCTTTGCCGCGAATTGGAGACCCAGAACGATGCGATCAAGACGATGAAATTCGAGCACGATACTTCGATGAGTAGTCTACTAGGTGTGCTAGAGAGCCGCCAACGCGACATCGACGCCGTTCGGGATGATAATACAGAGCTCCGGCACGATAACGATGTACTTGAGCAAGGACTCATGGGTCTTGTCGAAGAATGCGAGGAGCTGCATGACTGGCAAGCTGCGCTTATTGAGCGAACTAGAGTTGGGCAGGTGTATGAGATGGAGGGACTTAATCTCCTTAGTGAGACGGGTAATGGGGCCGAAGCTGGATGGGCGAGTGAAGGAGAGATGGAAGACCTTATGATGGGTTACATAGAACTTCCTGAAGACGGTGAGGTCTAGGATGGTTCCCTTTTGTGAGGTATCCAAGTTGATCTCTGGTGTTCACGGTATTTGCGGATATCATTAGGGTTATGGACCTTTTTACACATCACTTTGTTTATTTTATTCTAAGAGGATTTTCAAAGCGCCTACGCCCTGGGTGAGCCATCGCTGGTGCATTCTACCCATGAAATAAAACATGTACAATCCGAACTATATTATTAAAGGTATTGGATTTGTATATTCGCTTTGAGAAGCAATTCCTGTTCCGGAGCTCGGCGATCAGGAAGGTTGTTAAGTATGTACGCTGTGTAATGCTGTCGTACCTTCACAGAACCAGCTCAGCTAGGGCATAGGCGCTTTGAAACTCCTCTTACAGAGTCATTCTTCACTCTCTCTCGCAACATCATGGTTGACCGCTGTTGGCTTGAATGCAGCCTATCCTGGAAGATTTGAAGTAATCACAAACATATCCACACTCAGAATACCCCCACAATATCAGGGATAGCTCAACATATATTCCTGGGGCATAGGCGCTTTTGATATCCATTTTTATTGGGGGTGGGAACTTTTTCCCGCTCCCCCGTATCCCGTGGCATTTTGTAGTTCATAACAGAACAGCGCCAGTCCCTCCCAATTTCTCATACCGGGACATACAGCTGTGAACTTGGGTGTACCACAATAGTAGTGATTGGAAACCTTGGTAGGACGGTTGGTTCTGCGAGTCTAACTTTATAGAGACTAGTGAGTCGTAACACTCACGTTTTCACGCGACAGAAGCTGAGACACCATGACGTCGCACGAAACGACTGCGCGTCTAGCCTCTCCACTATCGATTCGACTTTCGACTTTCGACAGTCGTTGATGTTGATCGACGCAATCATTCCTAACTCCAAGCCATGCCTGAGCAAGCTCTAATCACCACTACCACGTCACCAACGCTCTATATTGCGAAGTCCAATGTTTGCTTGAACAGCAAAGGCGAGAGCATCGGAAGAGGTGTTTTTGCCAGTGGTGACTTTGGAGCAGGCGAGCAGCTTGCAGCTTTCCAGCGTCCGCTTGTTGGTTCACTAGACACCGAACGGCTTCTTGATACATGTGCGAACTGCTATATTTGGACCGAGGGGTCCTCAACAGGGACTAGGCTATACGTACCAGAAGACACGAATGTGCAGAAATGCGCTGGGTGCCAGAGGTTCCGATATTGTAGTAAGGTTAGTTGTCACAGCCCTATCGTTCTAGCGATCGATTGACCTGTTATAGGCATGTCAAAAAGAGGCCTGGCATCGGGGACACAAACACGAGTGTAAACTTCTGAAGCCCATGGCCGGTAAAGATATGCCCAAGGCTGTTCTTGCCTGCATGGAGCTCTTGATCAGACGGAAGCATGGCCTGATCTCGGACGAAGACTGGGAACTACTGTGCAACTTACAACCTCATGTCGAAGATTTCAAGCGGAATGGAAACTATGGTAACATGGAACTGATGGCCATGGGAGCAAGTCAGTTCTCGCTTACGCAGAACATGTTCAACAAAGATTTTGTGGCAGCGATGTATGCCAGGGTAAGGTATTTATAATACACACTATTTAAACCGTGTACTGACTACTAGAAGGTACTCACGAATTCCCTCACACTAATCACACCGACTCTTGATCCCTTAGGCATTATTCTAGACCCCATTCTCGGTCATATAAACCACTCGTGTGATCCAAACTCCTTCGTCATCATGGACGGCGCCGAAATCAGCATCCGAACCCTGAAACCCATCAAGAGAGACGAAGAAATCTACATCTCCTACATCGACACTACGAACCCTTACTATAGGCGGCAAAGCGAGCTACAAGCACGCTGGTTCTTCCGCTGCAAGTGTACCAAATGTCAGAAAGGCGCAACCCTCGACGAAGATCAGTGGGCTCTGGAACCGAAGGCGCTCTCAAAGAAGGTCCAAGACGAAGCTGATGCAGTTGCTGAGCACGAAGCTTATGCCCAAGACCCAGCGAACTATGTCGGAGAGACAAAAGATGAGATTAAAGTCGCTACCATTCAAGGGAAAGCTTTCGCGGCGTACGAGGAAGTACAGCGCATAGGTGATGCCGAACAAGCCCTTCAAGCTATCGAGTCTGCGATGCGATTCTGTCACGAGTCTGGTCTCTGGCCGGTGTATCGCCAGCCTCATGCGGCGCTTCGAGACGATATTATTCTCAACCTTCTCTCCATAGGCGACTATCCCACTGCGTGGGCACACTGTGCGAAGCGGTACAAGTACATTCTCCCGAAACTATACCCTATTTACTTCCATCCAATACGTGTCGTACAAACGTGGCAAATGGCGATGCTGGCTGCATATCTCGCAAGTACTAAAGATGGCATCGGGGCACCCGGGGTAAATATGGGATTGATTGCGATGATGCTTGTGAAGCAGGTGTTGGATGCTTCAAGCTTGAGTCACGGCTCGAATAGTGCGTTTACCAAGAGTGTGAGGCGGAAGGCAGAAGAGATGATCGAAGAGTTGAAGCGCAGCGTAGGAAATCCAGATAAGGAGGTTATGGATAGAGAGCTAGAGGCACAGAGAGATATGTTGATGCAAATGGGGGACAGTATCAAAATGTAGATGGGAAAGTCCTGGGTTACATGCCCTCAGGTAGCTTTCAATTACCGGGTGGGAAACGCATTAGGTATTGAAGGCATACATACCACCCTGCATGGTGCCTGCGTCCATTAAGAATGTGGGGTCTGACGTGCGCCTCTCGGATGGCTTAAAGCGGCTCTGACAAGGTGAAGGAAAGTGAAAGGCGCACCACATTCACATTCACATTCACCTTCATCTCTCTGACCGCAATTTCCCTCACTAAGCCACTGGGATAGCAGGCCATCTGCCCATTTTTGATTGCCTGCCCACTCCACCCTCCACTCTTTACACACTGCACTTGATCCACGCACGGCCGTATACCAACGCGAAGCTATCTAGCCCCACTCCTACCAACGACACCGTATCACAGCTACCATGGCCAAAGCCGCCGCCGACAGCGCCAAGGGCGTCAAAATGTTCAGTGCTGACACTGTGGCCGCGGTCCTCATGAGTACCGGCACGACCTCGCTCTCCATGAAGAACTACGAGCTTATGAGTTCCCTCGATGGCACCAAGACAGCGAGCGGCTTCCAACATGATTTCCGCTCCGTTCTCGCCAAGGCCAAAGAGTTGAAGTCGCGGGTTGACGATGGTGAACCGTTCGAGCCCGTTCAACCGGCCAAGAAGCGCGGTACGTGATCTAGCGGCCTCGAGGCATTGTCGACACTAACAGTGTTAGGTGGGCTGGCATCTCCAGCAACCCCGAGGAAGCGCAAAGCTGCAGGCGCCAGCGACAAGGACGAGACGCCTTCCAAAAAGAAGGCCACGCCCAAGGCCCGTGGAAAGAAGGTCGCTGACCCGGTCGAGGAGCCCATGAGCGCTATGGGTAGTGAAGGCTTCCCTGAGGATGCCGATGCCTTCATCAAGGGGGAGCAAGACTGGGAGCAGGGATTTACCTAGGTCCTGGTCGTGGTGTTACAAAGCCCTTTTCTAGGCTGAAGTATTCGAGAGTGGTCCGAGGTGCTGCCTAAGGTGTCAGAATCGGGGGAGTGCTCACACATCTCCGGTATATGGCCTGAAATGGGGGTATATTTGGCGTTCCGGCTGGTATTGCATTCATGCGACTGGATGACCATGGGTGGTGAAATTCAAGTCCTAGGTTTCGAGTAGAGAAAATGCAAGCAACCAATAAAGATTGATCAAATGACAGTGATGAAAACGGTGTCCCTACCACATGATATATCACGCATAGGGTGTTTGACATTGAACTTGGAACGGGGCATATCGATGGGTCTCTGAAGACATGTAGGCTGTCGCATAGAACGTGCGGTCGCGCGGACTAAAGAGATTCAGGCCTATTCATGGTGAAGAGAGGCGGTACTACACAACAAAACAAAACAAAACAAACAGTCGTCCTACTAGCCTTCACGAAGTTCTGCACAGTAGAAAATCACGTGACGTTTACGTCACGTCTCTTCTCTTCCGTATTCGGAGCGGCTATATTTACTCGGACCCAAAGTCCCAAGTCACCCACACCCATTGTCGTCCTGAGCAACGCGGTGTTTCCAGTTCGACCGGCAACCTTCCCGCCATATCAACAAGGCGATCAAGAGCCTCCACCGTAAACACGAAGCGCAATTGGCTTTGGATTTGTTGGGCATGACGCTGAGGGCGGATATGAGTGAAACGGGGCTCGTATTCAGCCAGCGTTTGCCGTAATTAGACTGCCGGATCCAGAAGGCGGGTGCTAGGAGGCAGCTTGTTGCCGAGGCAGCCAGGAATGTCGCTCACGAGCCTGAAAGGAGCAAGATGGGTACAGTTGTGCACCACAACACGAGGGCATTTCGGAGTTTGCAGGAGAATTCTGCTCGTCTGCAGGCGTTGCTTTGTACTCTGGGTCTGGAAATGCCTTGCGAACGCCTCCTGTACGCCCTGCATGCTGCTGTGACATGGGTTCTGCAGTCTCAGCCCCTGAATTTCCCCAGATTCACTAGGGGGCGCTCCGGGCTAAACTCGCATCAGCTAGCCGGAAGACACAGCGGTTGGCGTGCTCATTGGGAGATGGTGCCAAGGGTGCTTGAAGTGAATGATTTTGGGCTAGGGGTGGGAAAAAGGGGGCTCATGGGTAGAGGGTCGATTAATGACGCCAATAGCCGATTGGAGCTTAACCTTGGAACTCAATAGCTCCATCCCAAGCTATACTACTTTGGGCACCTAATTATGCGTCCTAGCCTCCTAGACCGTTGCTCTGGCACCCGGACACTAGCTTTCGCAATTGTCAGCTGTGCCCAGCCATCACAGCGGTTTTTCTTATTATATTCGGGGCGCCTCCCACTACTATCCCTTCTTTCCCTCCCAAGCTGTACAAAACCTTCAATCCATCTCTCACATATACCCATACAACTTAAATACCCACCTAATCGACCAACCCGATACTACCGTCAATATGCGCTTCTTCGAGACTGTCATCTCCGGCGCGGCCCTCATCGCTGCCGTCCTTGCTCTTGAGATCAACGACTTTCCCAAGGACGGTGTCGTTGCCGGCCAGACCTACACCATCACCTACTCCCCCAAGGACAACACCCCGACTACTTTCATCCTCCGCAAGGGAGCTGAGACCAACCTGAACACTGTTGATACCCTTACCAGTACGTTATCTGAGTGGAAGACGCAATCTACAAGGCGCTAACCCAATTCTAGCCACTGCCACTGGAGGTTCTTTCAGCTGGACCGCCCCCAAGACCCTCCCAGCTGGTTCCGACTACGCTCTCCAGGTCAAGCAGGGAGATGTAGTCAACTACTCCGCCCAGTTCCCCATCTCTGGAGGATCCGGCACCGTCTCCTCTGCCGTCTCATCCGCCCGAGCCTCTGCTTCGTCCGCAGCTTCATCTGTCGCTTCATCTGCATCTGCTGCGATCAGCAGCGCCGCCTCAAGCGCTCAGTCCGCCGCCGCCAGTCTCTCATCTGCGGGCTCCAACACCACCGTTGCTTCAGCCACTCTCTCCCACAGCGGCTCTTCTCATGCTTCGGAGTCGTCCAAGCCCACTGGCTCCAAGGCTTCCAGCTCCCCCAGCTCCTCCCGTACAAGTGGCGCACCTCAGAGCACTGGCGCAGCTTCATCGCTCGCCACTAGCCCTCTGGCCTCCATCTTCGGTGCTATTGCCGCCTTTGTCTACCTTGCTTAAGCGGTTGCTTGCGCAGTCTGATCCTATATCTGTCTGTGTACGATAATCTGGTGTTGGATAATATGGAGGATTTGCTTATAGTCAATTGTTAATGAGTCACGAGCGCAAAGGTGTACGTGATTGTGGTGGTTTGGGGCTAGGTGAAAACGCTGTGCATTGCTTCCTCTAGCGCAGAAGGGCTTTGTACAGTGGGTAGTAGATGATTACAATATGAAACCCATACCCAGCGCAACCTTTTCCGTTGTACCTACTATGTTGTATGTGGTCGAGGCACTGCATCCTTCCGTGAAGTACTGTGCGCCAGGCAGACTGTCAGCCTGTGAGATCCAGGTTCGTAACCACGCTGCCTTGTGTACTTGTCCAAAAATAAAAGTTTATCTTCACATGCTATCCTCACTACCTCATGCAAATGCACGTCACCACAATCATTCGCAAGAATTAGGGAGTTAGGTGGCACCTCATCTATTACAATGTCGTGATACGAGGCTGTCATCATGCCATCTCGTGTTCTCTCCCAACTTCACCTCTGATGTCGTCCAACAACCCTTCACAACATTGGATTTTCTGAGACATGAAACCCCCACAGTTCACATCTGCTCCTACTCTACGCCACCACAATACACGTGCGAATACGTCTGTACCACACGTTCTCCATACTGAACTTACAAAGGCACCCGCTTATGATCGTCCTACCTCTTCAACAGAAATAGGCTCTCACAACCAAACTTCAGCTAAGCTCAACAAGCATTGCGCGATCGTCCCAAAGCGGATAGGCGCACACCACAACATGCCGCAGTGTTACGCGTCAATACTTTAAAGGCGCGGGGGACAACGCTGACCCTGCGTTAAAAAGTCTGCATGGCGCTAACGCAAGGAGGTGGCAACGTATGAGGATCGGAGGATTCAAAGCGGGGACCGGAGTACAAGGCTGAGAGGGATACGATTTGTGTCAGCTGCTGGGTAAGATCCGGTGAATCGCAAACCTGCACGCTCTCCATGCGGGATAGACACGAGGCGGCTGAGCAGATTTACCGGCATGGTTAGATGACTGAAGCCTAAGCTTGTAGGTGTGTAGACAGTGATGCACGACTGCGGGATGTCTCCTGAGACTAATCGTTGACGCATCTCCATCTCGCATGGTCGTCAACGTCCACATGAGAGTTGCATTTAAAAGCTTCTTTCTTCGCGCGATTTTCTTGTCAGGCATCTCTTATTTGCAATTGAGTAGGCGAATACTTGGGTTTCAACACTAACTGTTGGTAGTGCCGCACATCTACGCGCATACCCCTACTTTTCACAGCACACACATCGGACTATATAGCCCACACTGCAAATCTTAGGAACCACTATGTGCTATCCAAGTTTAGTGCTTCCGAAGGGATTCGCGGTAAATCCCGAGTTGATCTTCTTTCCCGAAAGCCATCTACATAACCCTCGCCTCTGAGCCAGTGGCCAACTACACCTGTGGCGTATGAGCATAGCCTCTGCGTTGGCGTCATTCCGTTAACTGTTTCGTTTACCATCGCGAGAAGACGTCACATCACGCTCTAGCGTAGCGCGAGCCATTGAACTTTATGAGAACAAGGGTCTTATCAAATTTCAGGCGACTGGAGAGGATGTGAAATTTTGGAGCGGAAAACTTTCAAGTAATCATCACAGAGAATAGAGGAGTACAATCAACAGTCTCATGTTTTCAATAATCAACTTGCATGACGGCATTCTCAATCACCATCCTTACATTTAAAGTTGCTTTCGAATTGTCTCAATATTGTTGACTAATATGGCCAGGAGTCCAGAGTAGTACGAGTTCGATTCGTATTTTCTTGCCTAACAATCGAAGTACCGATGCTCACTCGGGTTTCAAGCAAGTGTTTCAATACTATACCCACGGCCAATTTCAGTCACAGTTTAATGGAATCACAGTTGCAGCTGGTCTAAAGAAATACCCGGACAAAAAACTCCCTATGATGGGGTAGCTAAAAGTGCCCCGTCATTGCTGAAAGGTGGTAGTTAGGCGGCATGGAAACTTCGGCTTCGGCAGCCGCACATGCATGCGGAGACCCGAACCAACATCATGACGGCCAACCACACGCCGCGAATTGAACTGTCTCTCTACGCCAGTGCGACAAGATAGCTGTCACAAACCTTAGTGCGGGGAGAAATATGTCAGACGTCGGGGCGCTACGGAAATGGCATGATGACAGTCCGGAGGAGTTGACGGGTTTATATCAAAGGCCCTACCAAGATTCTAGGAAGACAACTCGGCGGTATTGCGGTTTACTTGACTTGCAGCGGCGTGAAAAGCACAAAACCACGACAAGTCATTAGACTTTATTCAGCTCTACCAAGGACCAGCAAAACACTTAAAGTCGAATTTAGATCCGACAACAAGGCCAATCATTACGCTCACCGGCTCAATCGCAAAGATGCGCAAATCTACACTACGCAAAACGACTCTCCTCTCCCTCATCGGCCTCTCCTCACAGCAATCCACAGTAACATGGGGCGAACCTTTCACAGTGGACATCAGCACCCCAGCCGCCGCATCAACCGCATCAACCGAGAATCTACTTCCATCGTCCTCGCAGCACCTGCTCACGCACTCGATTGCTCCATCAGCCACCTTGCCATCACTATCAGTGTCGGACAGTACGGTGATCTCTAATATCCAGAGTGCTGTGAGTAGGGACTCGACATTTAGTACCGGATCAGCTACATCGCCTTCGAGTGGGTCGACGGTGAGCACGTCGGTTAGTCAGAGTGGGACTACAACGAGCACGCCGACGACTCAGAGTACGAGAACTGTGACGAGTGGGTCGGGGACGGGCGCTGGGGCGCAAAGTACGGGCGTTGCAGCTCCAGTATACCGGAGGATGGGAGTCGCTGGCGCGTTGGCCGGGGCGGCAGGAGTGTTGTTTGTATGAGACTTCAGGGCGTTAATTGTGAAGAATAGAAGAAATTGAACAAGTCGATCAGCGGGAAATCGTTGACGGTGAAGATGGGGCGTTGAGAGGTCAAATCTTGTAAGCCGGGAGAGATGGGCTCATCAAGTTGGAAACCGAGCTATCGACCCTCATCGCCGGGAGGAAATGGGGAAAATAACTTGCGCTCCAATATTCACATTGCTTGAAATACTTCAGGCTCTTTAAGTGATTCATTTCCCCTATATGACCATGCATTTTCCGAGTTCATTACAGTCGTGATTTCATATTCCATTCCATTTCGTCTTTTCCTTCTCAAATTCAAGCTTCATGTCCCACAGGCAGGTGGGCGGACTTCGAATCGGGAGTTTTGTAGGGAATGTATGTATTCCCCGCTTCCAGCTCGACGGGCGGAGGCCGTTCCCGCGCATCCAGTTCCCACACATTCGCACTTGTTGGCATTTCATTTTCCCTGGGTAAGGGTGGCGGTTCGGATGGCGGTTCGCGCGATTGATAGACAGTCTTTTCGTCTCCTACTATACTCTCTTCTGCAGTAATAGTCTCAACAGACGGCTCACCGCGATAGACAGCGACATTGCCCTCTCCATTCTCTGCGGCAGATGTTTTCGTAGAAGTCTTCTTCCTCTTATGGCGAAGGACTAACATCAACAAGATGCCGAAAAGGACAAGAACGGCGACACTTCCGATCACGACACCGGCGATGAGGCCTGCTGAGGGGCGTGAGCGGGTAGACGAGATCGAGGCTGCTCGAGGAGAAGAGGTCGATTGCGCAATAGACTGCGAGACGTCCGAATTCGAACTCGTAGCGAGACCCTGGGTGAGAGAACGGGTTGGCGTGGGCACACTACTCCGCGCGCTCGATGCAGGTGCGACCGGTGTAGATACCGAACTCCTCATCGACTGCACAGCGCTTGCTGGAGGCGTGGTAAAAGCTGACGGCGCGACACTCGCAACAGGCGACCTCGAAGCCAATGAAGGCAGGACAATTGTAACACTAGCACTTGACAGAAACGAAGATATTTCGCCTCCGATGCTCGATAGGATGCTGTTGATTTGTCTGCGTTGCGCGTGGTATTGGCGCTGCACCTTGGTGGCGTCGACGCTCCCTGCTACGCGGCAGTACGCGTGCATGTCCATTTCTATGGTCGCCCGATCAGGGTGTGAGGATGGGGTCGAGGCATGGTCGTCGTAACATCTATGTCGAAAGACGAGTAAGTGGAATTGTCCTTGTTGTGACTCGACAAGACGATCTCATGCTGGAGAGAAGTGGAAGTGGATTAGGAAGAAAAGAGTACGTACGCGACACGCCATAAATACTGTTCGCACAAGGAGGTATAGTTTGTAGGAGTGGTTGATTCGTAGGGGAAGTATATTTGAACAGCGGAGATGCAGTTGTCTATCGCACTAATTGCATCAACGTCAGTTTCTTGGATTCCGTCGGCCTCTATTGCGAAGTAGAAGAAGAAGGCAATTACACTTTGTCGTGATTGACGTCATGCACAAGAGGAGTAGGCCATCGCAGCGTGGGGACAAGTTTGAAGAAAAGACCAAACATGGCTAACTTCATGAGCATATAGAGCAGAAGCTAATCAGGGCCGCGTCGTTGGGGCATTGTCACACCTTTAACATGGTAGATAGCATGCCGAGTATAAGAATAATGTTGAGAGTTGTACAGGTCCATTCGCTGTCATTTGCTAGGCTTGCAGTTCATGTTGTAATCCCGAGGAGCCACAGGTCGGAAACCTGCTCTCAATCGATGATGTCGGTATGAAGTTTGACGGGGGCTGGCCCCGCTTGGACCATAGGAAGGTCCCAACTTCAGCCACACAAGCCACCACGGCCCAGGAACGATGCGGGGAGGCGACAAAGTAGCTCTAGACCACCAATGTTACACCCTATTACTTGACCTTGTTGATCTACAGCATCTAACACATACTCTTAGCGGATCGTCCATGTTCACTCGTACGTACGTGTCTGACCGCAGTAACTTTGACGCCATTCAGCCCAAACGGCCCGTCCCCATGTGCCATGACATCCGTAGAGTAGTATTTATATAAGAGTGGTATGATTGACTGTGATCTAAGAGAATGATAGAAGCATAACAAATAGACGGAGGGCAGTGAGAACTACAGAAGATGCACCGCTACACCGCAACACTCACTACCCCTTCCCTCGAGCGCTAGATGGGATTGCAACTTGGAAAGCATGGTATGTGCCTGTCAAAAACCAAACTGACCTTGTGGAAAACAGGTATCCATTCGCTACAATAAAGGGGTATGTCGATTGAAAAGCACAACTCCAAGGTAATGCTCGTGCTGAACGAACGTATCAGAAACGCTGTCCCGTCTGCAAGGGACCACTCCCTTTTGTTCCCGCTCCCCTTCGCCCATCACCATGCTTTCTAGAAGAAGCCCCACGCATGAAATTTCACTTTCCATTAACCTCGCCATGACCTTCAAGCCTGTTGACCAGCCTCTTGACACCGTTCCACTCCTCCGCCCTGGTCTCCACACCTCCAAGCTCACTCCCAACTTCAAACACCGTCACTACGCCATCCATGCCGCCCACCGCGACCCGCCTACCCTCGTTCCTCTCCCAAGCCAACTTATTCAAACTGCGATTCATGTACCCTAGTCCACTCGGCAGGCCTGCAAACGCACCCCTCTTCCCATCACTCGGCTTGACAGACTGTACTGGAACCTCAACATCAACGTTGAGATCCCAGACTTCTAAGCTGCCTGCGCCATCGACCAAGGCAAAGACGGAAGGCTTGGTAGGGGACCAGCGGACGTCGTAGACGAGGTCTTCGCGCGCAATGTCGAGCACCGGGTGCACTTGTTGGGTGCCGCCGGCGAGCGTGGTGGGGTTGGTTGCGCCAGTTGCCGCAGGGGGACGCACTTTCCAGAGCTTAACGCTCCAGTCGACGCTCGACGATAAGACAAGGTCGCCTAGATCGATTTGGCCTTTGGCGGGGTGGAAGTCGAGGCTCATGACGGGTGCGGCGTGGCCAGCGTACTTGACGCGGCCATCGACGCCGGCTTTGGCGCCTGCGCGGTCGTAGCGGTGACAGGGGTAGATGGAGCCTTCTTCTGTGCCGGCAAGGAAGTAGGTTGGATCTGATTGCGGGAAGGCGATGCACGTCACTGCCATATCGTCTGTCTTTGCTGGTGGAGGTGAGGTTAGTTCCAAAAATTCCTGTGGTTGTGAGAGCATGTCGACCGTCCAACCGCACACGACGCCGTCCGTTGAACACGAGATGATGTTGTTCGCGTTCTGTGTACCAACAATGTCGAGCGAATAGACAGGGTGAGTGTGACCAGAGCCTGTGAGCGGCGTCTTCTGCACTGGTGCAGACTTTGCGCGGGTATCCCACAACAGCACTTGACCTGAGTATGCACCGCCGATGATGAGGTTGGGATGGAAGGGAGAGAACTTTGCAGTAAGGATGTCGGACTGAGCATGGAAGATGTACTCTGGTCGGTCATGCATATGTAGATTCCAAACTTGAATGAGGCCATCTGGATCATGTGGAGCGGACGGATTCTTGGTATAGGATGCGAGGACGAGCTCTGGAAACTAGGAATGCTGTCAATAACGACCAACGATGTAGTCTTGGAAGTCAGTAGTACCTTTGTCGAGAAGGCCAGGTCCGAGACCATCCTCTTCTTACTCCACCTCTCATCCCAAAATTGTGCAATCTCTTTTATCCGCCTACCCTTCTTGCCTCCACTTGAACCGTATCCCTCATCTTCGTCATCAACATCTACGCCACCGAGCGCATAGTCTGCTAGGATGTCGTAGCCTAGTTGTTGATCGAGGGCCCGCTCAAGCACCTTGGTACTCCTTTCCACGAAGCCGATGAACTCTTCCGAGTTCTCGACGGCGGTCAATTCCTCGTTCGTCAACGTTTTGAATGGGAAGTTCTCGTCTGAGCCTGCTGGTGCTGCACCGTCTGGAGGCGCTTGTTGCACGGCCTTGATCTCGTCTTCGATCTCTTTCCGCAACTGTGCCCGGATCTCCTCGTCTCGTTCTTTCTGTCTCCGGCTCAGCCTCTTGCTCTTAGGTGACCGTGTAGGGCTCTCATCGTGTTCGGTGTCGCTCCCCCCAGCTCCTCTCGGCCTTGGCGGACTCCAGTCTATGCTCGCCTGCACGCCCTTGCTGTATGTGATGACCTCCTTTTCTGTCTTGACCTCGTCTGTGACCTGGCCATCGAACTCGTAGACGGTAGCTAGTGGCCCCATTGCCAGAGTCTGCATTTCCCGGTCCACCATGCCACTAGGCGCCTGATAGCCTGACGATCCTTCATTGTCACTACTAAGCTGTCCTGCACTGACTACAGATGTGGGTCGTGTTGCTCGTCCTGCGCCGGCTGGCGAGCCCGGTTGCGTAGAGCCCGGTCTGCTTTCTCCGAGTATGCTGTTGATAAGATTGGTGACATCGGTTCTTCGGTCGAGGTCTTCGCTTCGCCTTGGTGTTGGCGATAGTACCTTTGATTGTTGATTAGCAGCTATTGGAACGCGGCTGAGGGGCTGCTGTACTTCTCCCAATGGGCTGCCACTTAGAGACTGCCTACTAGCGGACTCCTGCTTCCTCAGTTCGCGCTGGCGCTTCAGCTCGGCGAGCTTAGCCTTCTTTGCAAGAATCTCATCGCGCCGCTGCTGCATTGTGGATTCCATGGCGGAGACGTGGAGTATGGGCGGCTTGGTTGTGTCGGGGTTGATGGTGCAAAGCCCTGGCCATGTTCAGTATGCTGGAGGCTACATGTCTTTCCCTTTGTTTCTAATTACCTCTTATATAGAGACCAAACAAAGTACAATGCAAAGCCAGACGCGTGTCGTTGTCGAGCTCCCAAAATCGCGCCAAGCTGTCTGCCAGCCAGGGACCGACGCACTAGCCGCCTCTCGCGATCCATCCCGACCCAAATCTTGCGCGAGGTCCAACCTCAACTTTCACAGCTCCTCCGCCCAACCTCCCACATCCGCCCCGACGCCGTCGTCACAGCCTTCCGGACCTCGAAAAGCGGTGCCCTTGTCGTCGCCAATCCGCTTTCTCCGCCATTGGTCATCTACGAGCTCGATAGCTGCTATCGCAAGCCCTCGCACGACCCGTCGTCATGTCTACTTCCGTCGGGGTTAATGTACGCCTACACTTTGCAACAAACCCTCCGCATGCTTGAGAGGGCTGCACAGCGCTCTGCATAGCCTGGGAAATGAAAGATGGTGCTAATGGGATGCATCTAGGTCTTCCGATGGTCCGCCCTCGGATTCGGAGTCTTCTACGGCGCCTATCACCAGCTGTCGTTATCAGCAGCCGACAAGGCAAAGGCTGCACAAAAGGATTGGGATAACAAGGAATCACTGATCAGGCAAGCGAAGAATGAGTGGGCAAGGACGCACCCCTCAGAACAACCAAAGGCTGGTGGTATGTTGCACTTTCAAGAGTCCCCGCGAGAAACTTTGAGCCGAAGCCCAAGATTCGACAGAGATACGAGCGAAAAGACCACAAGCTGACTTATCGTTACAGCCAAGGCAGACCCCAACGACCCCAACGCAGACCTGAACACACTGCTCGGAATAACCGATGCCAAATAAGCGGATGAAGATGGAGACGATTCCTTTTGTTGCCATGGACATAATACGGCCATCTCGAGCGAGCCCGAAAAGGCAAGGAGGCGGATGGCGAGAAGGCGGTCAATAGTGGTGCGCGCTATCAGCCTCTTGTATTTTGTACCATCTGTACAGTATAGACAATGGTTATTCACGTTTTCAATATACATGCTTACTTCTTGATCAATATCACGTCTTTGCTCAACACCACGTATCTGGAGTAGCATTTGACTTTGGAGTGATATATTCTATACACTGTGCATCTTTCAGCTCATCCATCCACCGTACTCTATGATACATGCACTCCTTCGACATCTAATTCAAAAAAAGGACCCTCCAAACGCCCTGCCACGCTTAAACAGTCAGGCATTGGCAGAAGAGTAGAAAAACGCGCACAGGAGGCCAAAAAAATACCGACAAAAGTAGCCTCCTGACGCTGACCTGCTTGTGTATGGCGGCACAATCAATGAGCTAAGAGAACAGCGTCCGTTTCCAAGTACAGCGAGCGACTATTCGCACATTTTGTAAACCTACAAGTAATCCAAACAGTATCTCTTACAGTACCTCACCAACAATCTTGGCCGCCTCCTTATAAGTCTTGAGCAGCTTTTCGCACTTCTCGCGTTCTGCTTTAATAGTGTCATCTTCATAGAGGAGTTCCTGGAACAAGTCCTCCTTGTAGAGTGATGAGACGAGTCTGTTCTGAACAACATCTTTCGAATGGTTGACTAGTAGGTGCATAATCGCCTTGGGAACCTGATCCGCGACGGTTTCCCGAACAATATTGAAGTATGAGGAAATGAGACGGCGGATGAGTTCGGTCTCTAGGGCCTCCCGGTCCGTAAGAGCGGGTGCGGACTCAGGGTTGGAGGGCTGTGGAGTGTTAGTTTGGCTTTCTTTAGAGAAGAGAAGTAGAAAACTTACGAAGCCACCTTCAAAGGACTCCCGAATCATAGGACTCATTGGATTGTCGTAATCATCATCATTCGGAAGCATCTCCAACACGTGAGTGGGTTGCCTCGTGTCACCTCTCCGAATGCTCTGAGCAAAGCTAGGCTCAGTGTTCTGGCTAACATGCCGACTTCCAGGACGGTTCTCGAGCGCCGCTTGCTCTGCCGCTTGTGCCGGGCTAGCATATGCTGTCTGACTATCCTTGCTGAAGAAGTAGGTCAAAAAGCTATCGCGAGCTCCGCTAGCTGGTGGAGATCGGTTACGGTTGTTCAGCGCACTGCTAGAAGTACCATTGATCAAGCGTCCGACTGCTGGCGACATACTGCGACTGGATTGCGCTTGGTGTTTTCGGACTGCGAGGGGTTTTGCGACTGAGTTTTCTGCCTCTTCGCCATCCTCGGGGTTCCCTGCCCCGTTGAGGCCATTGAGCTCTTTCATCCTCCTCTGCTCTCGCCTTTTCTTCTCTTGCTCCATAGCAATCTTCTTCTCCCTCTGCTCCTTGTCGTTGATCACCGACGACATAGCCGCAGCTGCACCAAGGAAGTTGGGGTGGTTTGTGTTGATGTAGGCTCGCTGGATATCAATCAATGAGCCAACATAGTGCGAGCAAGGCCCTAGCTGCTCTCGCAGAAGGTCAGACACAACTTCGATAAGTTTTCCTTGCAGTCTGGGGTATCTAGTCAGCTCGGTGGATCCGCAAGTGTGGCATATCTTGATGAGCTCCTCGTATACAAGCTCCACGCAACGCTGACTGGGAATCTCTAGCAATTTAATCTGGGGCTTGACGAGGAGGTCGAAAGCCAGCTCAGGTACGAATAAGCTGGGTCGAGGACCGGTCGAGTTTCGAATGGCTGTGCGGATATCCAAAACTGAGAGGTTCACTGTCGGATCTACTTGCTCCAAGGAGTTGCCAAAGACCGAGTTGAAGATGTAATAGATTCTGGCACCACCACACAGCTCCTTGGTCGAGATTTCTGTAGATGTACCATCGATGGACGAGATGAACGATGAGGCGAAGCGGGTCATGAGTTGGAGGATAAGCGAACCTCGATGCTCCTTTCCAGTGAATGCTACATCGCCGTAGCTTGCTAGTTCTTGTTGCGTCTGCCCCATCAATGTGTTCAACCGTGCTTTGATGTCTGGTAATCGATCCCGAATGTGGGCCATGAGGGTCTGGTTCAGGCTCTTCGCAAGGAACTGAGTGCCGCACCGATTCGCCATGTTCCTGTATGCCGGGTGGTGCTTGAAAAAGTCCCGCTCAGCTTGCAAAGCATCCGAAAGCGACTTGTTGCCCTGGATATCTTGTTGCGAACGATTGACGATACCGATGAAACCCAGTTTGAGTGGGTACACGCGTCCAGAGAGAATATCCATAGCGTTTGTGCCATGGTCCATGAGATCCAACTTGGTAAGGACACCAATCGTCCTTTTGCCCATAGGATCAACATGTCGGGCCAACTTCAAGGCTTCCGAGTTCACGAGGTCAACGTTTGCGGGCGAGACAGCGAGGATTACACTATTCGGCTTCGCGATGTACTCGGTGATGAGGTTGCGAGTCTGCTTCTCGATATCTGTAGGTTGATCGCCGATGGGTACCTGCAGCCGTCAGCTCTATCCCTTGCGAAAAAAAGAAGAAAAAAAACTGCAAATACCGACCTTGGTCAAACCAGGTAAATCGACCAGCGTCAAGCTGAGGACGTGCGGAGAATAAATCTTGAGATTGATTGGCTGCCTGTTGATGCCCTTGTTGTTTCCTGCTATCCTCGAGGTTTCATTCTCGATTTCGCGCTTGACCTCGCTGAAGTCGTAAAACCTCCGTCCGGGAACATGTAGAAATTCCCCCCATTCTTGTTGGCCGGCGGCTACGCTTGCAGGAGTATGTGGGACGTGGACTTCGTCGCTTTCGTCTGCATCTTCGTCGCTTGGAAGATTGATGAGTTGCAGGATCAGTGGCCGCCTGGTGACGATGCCGCTGCCTCGAGGCAGGAAGTCTCTGCCAACGATGTTCTCAAGCACCGATGACTTTCCAGATGACTGCGACCCTACAACGACCTGGTATGGTCAGTATACACTTTGGTAGATAGAGGTAGCGCCTCGTGAAGCCTATTCTGCTCTGTCGCCTTCGCCTTCACGGATGGGGAACGCATACAATCTGAGGCAAGTCGAGGGAATCATTTCCGATGGTGTTGAAGACAAGATCCTGAAGTCTATTGACGATGTTGAGCAGCTCCTCACCCAGCGAAGTCATGGCGCTGGTGGTGGATGTGTGCGGTGCCTGGCTCCTGACGGGTTGGGCGTGATCTCAAACAGACAAACAACACGACTTTGGAGTGTATAAAAGGCTTCAATCGGTTCGCGAAGAATGCGGCGTGTTGCGGAGCACAGATGGAGGATCGGTGAGGAAGGCGTGGCTGATGCCGGCTTCGTTGGGACAAGAGGCTCGTGATGAGTTTACCTCTGCTGCAGCTGCATCGTCATGGCGAATGCCCTCGCTTCACGTTCCAAGGCTTTGCTATGGGGCGCAGTCACGTGCTCCGGGTAGTCCCCACATCGAGCAATCTCAAACCCATGTCGCCAGCCTTTCGCATAAAGGAGAAGTTTGGACGTTGTTTGCATAAATAGCAGACAAATCATTTCCGCGTCAAAGCAGCACTCAAACCCATGTGTCTACAGCTACAACATGCAAATATCGCCACCCCTATCGCTGCGGCACTCGACGGATGCGGCATCGAGCCCGGATCTACTATCAATCTAGGCCAGAGAACCTCCACTCAACCACATGACACGTCACACCGAGCTTCTAGGAGAGCGGCACTCTCACAGAGGCGCCGCCATCGTCTGTGATTTATTCGTGGAACGAGTTGTCGGGGAGCCTCCTCTTGAAGCCTGTATCTCTTTTACATGCTTATGTAGCGGCTATGAAACAGACGACGCATCGCACTGTGAATACATTGGCCTACCTTGAAAGCTCACGATGCTTCTCTTTCTTCCCTACGCTGCGACATGAAAGGTGCCCACTGTTTGCGTTTGAATACAGTCAACAGCTGTTGAATTTCATGGAGCGCATCGGGTATTGTCGGTCTATCAGTACCCAAAGGCGACGGCTATCTCTTCCGTCACCAGCCTTATCGCTTTTGAAAACACGGCCCCATGCGACAGCACCAAATTGTCAAATTGATCTGTGGGTCGTATCTCCACAATCTGGGGACCACTTGACCATCGCCGGATCCCAACGGTCCTTTAGTGTTGGGACGCATCCAAGAGCGTTGGTGAAACCTTGGGTTTTCCAGCGGTCTCGATCGTCCGTACCAAGTAATAGGTGTGAACAGTCCATCGAGGTCTTGCCGGAACCGTGTCCCATGACCAAAACCTTCCTCCCGATGGAAGCCTATCAGAATGATAAGGTCGTTATCAGGTTGACCGCCAAACAAAGGAAGCAGGCGCAATCTCACAAGTAGTACAAAGTCAAGCTACACTACATTCTTTCCTGCTTGATATTTATTTCTCTCCACTCTCGTCCTCCTAGCTGCACCCTTCTTCCACGTCCTATGGCCTCGGATTCTCTCCTCCTCACTACTACCGAAGATCAATACAACGACGTTACAGTTGGCACTATCAAATGTACAGCCCCCATCCCATTCGGGGGCCAAGGGGAATGGCTTTTTCTACCTGCCACCAAAAAGTTCGACCTGTCCCGAGGGTCGGAGCAGAAGATGGTGTTTGATTGCGACGAAGACAAACGTAACCATACTGGCTTCATGATCGACCCTGGAACCTCAGTCTTGATCGTCGTCGACATGCAGAACTACTTCATCCATCCAATCTACCGGGATCATGCCGCAGGCATTGCTGCAATTGAACCAATTTTGAAAGTCATTGAACGAAGCCGAAGTGAAGGAATTCAAATTGCTTGGCTCAACTGGGGCATTACTGAGCATGACATGAAAACCATGGCACCCGCAGTCCAACGAGGTTTCAGCAACACCTTGGGGTGGCATGTTGGACTAGGCGCTCAGCTACCGGAGGGCCAGGGAAGGTGCTTGTTCAAGCGGACTTGGAACGCTGACCTTTACGAGCCTTTCCAAGCTGTTGCTCAACCTGGTGATTTATTCTTCGACAAGACGCGAATGAGTGGACTGTGGTCCACAGAAGAGCCTTTGCACGAATATCTGCGCGCCTCTGGCAAGCAAACATTACTGTTTGCTGGAGTCAATACCGACCAATGCCTGTTTGGGACCATGTCCGATGCCTACTCGTACGGATGGGACTGTGTTCTTCTTGACGACTGTACAGGCACGATGACGGGGAGAGGAGCTCAGGAGCTGACGGAGTACCAAGTTTCTACAAACATGGGTTTCGTGACGAGTAGCAGGGCGTTCTGCGAGGCACAAATAGTGCGAACATTGTACCCAGAAGGCTAGATTTGGTTCATTGTCTTCTGTTGCTTAAGCGCTTTTATTGAAATACCCCATAAAGTAACCATATCCAAAATGATTATGCGAATGAGTCTCAAAAGCTTTCCGATGTCATTTCGAGGTTAGTGTTACCCAATCAGAGCGTGGTTTGAAATGGTCGTCGATCTGCAGGGTGAGGCACACGAATGACGACACGGTGGGGAAGCTCCAACACAGGAACCATTTCACGCGACAGCACGCTTTCCTCACACTACAATTCGACGGACCCTGCTGGAGATCGATTCCGAGATCTACTGAAGCGAATTGATTGTAGTTATATCTCATTGACGCATTGAACGCTCGATTCAACAATATGCTTTTCCAGGCCGCAGCAGGGCTAGCTTGCTTACTTCAGCTCTACGGAATTGCAACTGCTCTACCGACCGAGCAGCAACTATTACACTCATATGGAGCCAAGAATGTGCAAACTGTGCGATCAGAGTAAGCCTTCTGGTGTACCTCATACATTTCATTTTCACTAACTCGTAGTAGGCTCAGGAAAGCCGAGATCATTCCTACAGGTATCGATCGATCCCTCTCTTTATCCAATCACCAATACACCAGTTACTAATCAAGTTGTAGTAATCAATGACTTTCTCCCCAGCCTCACACTCTCTGTTACCTGGCCCAAAGAGCATGCCAAATTAGGAAACACCATCAAACCTAAATACCTCCAGAAACAGCCTGCAATTAGCCTACATGACGAGACAGCCCACGATGGCTTGGCTACAACCCCCGATTTAAGATACATTGTGACGCTTACCGACCCCGATGCGCCCTCTCGCGACAATCCCGAATGGAGCGAAATGTGCCACTGGATCGCCGCCAACATTTCCATCTCCCAGAAGACATTCTCCATCTTGCCACTTCCCGAGTTTGGACTCACTGGGCACGATTCAGCGAAGTATGGTAGTCTTGATGATGTTGTTGAGTACAAGCCGCCTGGCCCGCCACCGAAGACTGGCAAGCATCGCTACGTGTTTCTAGTATTTGCCCCGAAGAACGGAACGACGGAGCCACTACATTTGAGGGCTCCAAAGGATCGAAAGCATTGGGGGACGGGGAAGGAGAGAGGTGGAGTGAGGGATTGGGCGGAGGAGAATCAATTGGTACCTGTGGCTGCGAATTTTATTTATTCGAAGAACAAGAAGCAGTGAGCAGATGCAAGATATAGGGTAACATGGAGAGAAGGCGGCTGTGTAGGATGGTCAACCGGCAATATATCGTCATTATCAATGCTTTACCTCATCAGTTGAGATTATTAGTATGTCGCATGTGAAACTGGTCATGGTAAGACTCCGCTTGTGGCTAACGGTTCGATTAACTGTACGCGTCGAAGCAAAGTGTTTGCCTAGTACTCGTTCCCGTACAGTATGTGGGTTGACAGTCAACTAGAAGCGGACTTGACCCCACGGCTGACTCCCTCATATAATAATAAACCACATCCGCAGATATATACAGGCCGCAAAAGTTACGACGAAGAACAAGAGATTCGTCATGATTCGTATTAAACATAAAGTGAAAGGCGGCTAGATGGTAGACATTTATCGTCCCCGAAACGGAGCGAAAGACTCTGAGAGCGCAAACTGGGTATCTCTGCGAGAAGAACTGGCGTCCGGCGTTTGGCCGTAGGTAACGACTCCGAAGAGCGAAGAAAGTGCAAAAAAAAAAAAACGCTGGACAACACTGAAGACTAAATTTTATGCAAGGATCGTGGATCAGGACTGACGAACACAAGATGCTATGCGGTGAAAGTTAGCTCACGCTCAAGCTTTCCCTAGCAGCCTATGTTTTCGCAGTGCCTATCCCAAACATCGATAAACGATTTCTTTTAGGCTTACCTAGCGACTGTCCTTGGTCATCCCAGGGTACAACGTCATTCTTTCGAAGGCGTCCACCTAGACCAAGCCGTTCGCGAGGAGATTCGTACCAGTGCCCAGACAGCTCCGAGGGGGCAATGGAGGATGGCGCGAGAGACCGTGCATCACTGTCGTCCCGCACTGTAGCGAGAGATTCTGTACTGGCAACAGAAGCTTCATACAGAGTCGGTAGTGCTGAGGCCGACGGTGTTGACCGATAAGTTGCAGGTCGAGGTGTGAAGCTGTTAGACGCAATAGGTCGACTGTAGTTCTGCACCGGCCGTGTAGGAACGTAGTGTGAAACAGGTGGCGAGGCCATGGGCGAATCAATCTTTGTAGTGTCCTCAGCCGATGGCGGACCAAACAGAAAGTCATGTGAATCGGGCACATTTCCTGGCTTGCTTTCATCCGATTGTTGTACAATGGGCTCCTCTCCCCAGAAGCTTTGGTGGGGCTGGTCGTTCAACTTCTTGAAAATGACGTCGGCAGTATCTCTGACAACTGTGTCTACAGAGTCAGTTGACGAAGCTGGAGAATCTGCTCTGAAGACTGCGCGGTCTTCCGATATTGGGCTGGAGTCTAATGTGGAGGCTGGCAGCCTAGGTGGGGATCCGGCGATTGGCTCGTGGATTCCTTCTGTTTCCAACGAGTTCTTTGGCAATGCACCAGACATGGTAGGGGCATCTGGGAAGTAGTAGGACATTTCAGGGAGCGTGGTGGTGGATGGTGAAGATCCATAGACCAAGTCATGGTCGGCGACGACGAAATTTGAAACTGAAGGTGCGGCCGATGCGATTGAATTCGGAGGGTTGCGAGTGCCATCCGACATGACGGATAGTTTGGAATCGTTCCAGGGTCCAGCCTTGAGTTGCGCATTCAGTGAGCCTCGGGAGGATAAGCTACTCCTGTTGTCCTTGGTTGATACGCTTGACATGGAAGACCTGTTTTTGGCCGCGGCTGGAACACCGTCCCATTTTGAGTTCACCTTGGGCACGTTGGAAGGAAGCTGCTTGCCGACAAAGGTACTGCTGCTGTGTTTTGAGGTTGGTGTTGAAGATCCCTTCGTGGCCGTCTGTTTGCGTTGGTGTTCAGCAAACTGCTCCAGAGCGACCTGGGACGGCTCTTTTAGAGAAAGGAAGCCGAGCACCGAGCCAGTCTTTTTCTTTTTCTTGGATGACCTGGAGTCATTTGAGGATGTCGCACTCGACGACGTAGAAGCCAGGCTGGGTGACGTCAGGCTGGCGGTCTCGAAGGACGGCCGGGAGCTGGTCGATACAGGCTTGAAATCCGAGGTCGCGGGACCCTCTTGGGAGTGAGAAGAGGGAATTGCAGTGTCCTGGGATGTGCGGGGTGATGGACAGTCTGGATCCGAAGGCAGCGGGTTTCTGTACTTCAGCTTTGGTATCCGCGCAGGTGGCGAAGGCGCTGTCAAGTCTGCGTTGGACGCCATGGCCAGAGAGAACACCTAGGTAACGGCAATTATCTCGGGGGATGGACCGTTGTGGTTTAGCTGGGACAGGCGACTTGGTGGAGACTGGCGCTTTGATTGGCAGGCGGTGGGCGGGCTGCAGCATATTTCGCGCAAGGCGGAGTGTGGATAGCTGAGGATGGAGATGCAGACAAGGTGATAGTTTGGGGGAGGAGGAGGAGGAAGAGGAGGAAGGTGGATGAAGTGAGATGGGCAGTGCAGGTGTTTGAATCAAGTTGGGTCTGCTGCAACAGGTGGAAGGCGCAACGGGTGGGCTTGGACTCGATTGAACCGCGACGACGACGAGACGACTCCTCACTGCACAGAAGGATAGCTTTACGATATGCGCTACGGGAGATAGACCAGCTTGTGGAAATCAGGTCATGGCCCGGACTGGGTATCCGTTCATTGTCATTGGCAACCAGGCGCTGGCGTTTTGGTGAACTGCTCCAGTGGCTTTCTTGCCACGGCTGAACCATGCTCAGTCTCAGTCTCACGGCCAACGGCCAACGGCCAAGTGTCTTTCCCGTGTCTTGTTGATATTGCTGATTGACTGTGTCGACCCGTTCATTATCAATGGCGTCTTCTTTACAACTAGTCTTCCATGACTCGCGGTAAGTAGACATGTCTTACCTACCCACCCAGCGTGGCATGGCGAAGCAACATCAGACAGAGGGAGGTGAGCAATCGTCTGCACATGCAAGCACATCTTCCAGACCTGACGGAGACGCTCGCCATGTTCCACTGCTGTAGCTCTTCCGTGGCCTTAGGCGCGATAGTTCTTCCGCGTTCACCGTGGCCGTTCGTGTCCCAGGCGGGTCGCGGTTTGCCGAATTCGGACAGTTGGAGGAGGACCATGTTATCAGATTTTCGCGTAATTAAGCAAGCCTGCATCTTGATACCATCTAGAAGCTGGCGATGTGTGCAACCGTTGACTTGGTGGCTGGAAACAGGCGTGAGATTGATAAATAACCAGGTCAAATTCCAGCCGACCTCTCCGCAGTCCCGACACCAAGCCTGGGAAATCTTTTTTTTCTTTCCCGCAAGTCTCCACCGCCACCCCTCAGCGCACGGCACAGGCTGCAAGGGCGCAACAAGCGCGCGTAGGCTTCCAGTGCAGTCGCTTGCTTGTACAATATATTCAACCTCAACTCCACGCAGCGCACCTTGTATCTGGCATGGACGAGCGAAGCCCAACTCTAGAAAGCGCCTAATCGCCGCCACCACGCGCGGCGACGCATAGCCGGACATCTACCCTGCTGCGGTACAGTCCACTCGTACAGCTCTCAGGCCTCCACGCGGTCTGACCTCTCCCTCCACATTGCCTTGTCGTGGGTTGCCGGCCGATCGCTATCCGCCAGGACTCTCCGGCTCTACGCCTGGAGACGTCCATCCACGACGCCGCCATGCCAGCGCTCCTGGTCGACACAAACCCTCGCCCTGCCTCTCCAAGCGACGCCTCAACCTCGTCCGACCGCTCGCCAAAACACTCCGACTCGGCCTCCCCTGACCGCCCGCCTGTGTCCCCCATCACACCCACAGTTTCCGTCGCCCAGCTAGCTCCTGTTGAGCCCACAGCAGCCCGGCCCCGCGTCGTCGCTCCGCCAACAGCAACCTTCAGACAGCAGCCTCCCTCTGTACCAATATCCGAGAGCGAGAATCCGGATGCTATAGCGTTGCGGTCCGCCATATCGCTCCTGCAGCTGCAGCGAGAAAAGAGCAAGCGCGACCTCAAGGCACTGGAAGAGCTCAAGGCTGCCGCCGTCTCCGACCCGCAAGCCTTTGCACGCTCACTGCAAGAGCAACGAGCGCAAGCATCGCAGTCTTACCACGACATTCTTACTCCTACACTGTCTGGTCTAGTCGACCCAGCGCAGGACCATGAGCAAGACATCAAGGCAGAGCAGCCCAGTACAGATGAGCGCAAGGACTCGGCAGCTACGGGGGCAAAGCTAGGCCCCGCCAAGATTCCCGCGATACCACAACCTCAGAATGTAGTTCGGTGTCCTCCAGTCAATTGGGCAAAGTACCACATAGTTGGAGAGCCGCTGGACAAATTACACGAAGAGCAGAAGAAGTGGCCAGGTGCAGCAGAACCGCCACGCGCCAAGTCAGGAATGAGAGCGCCGCCACATACCGTCACGGCGCCATACTCGCCATTCACAGACGGACTCGGCCAGTCCCCATCCGCATCACAGCCTCCGAAGAGCTTCAAGAAGTCGCCGTCATGAGAGCAAGTGGATAACACCGACTAATCTACCTCGGCGCGTCCTTGATACGCAACCCTCTACCACCCACCCAAGCCCAATAGCATATATAATGGCTCCACTCAAATTACGAGAGCACAGGTTGCTCCACTTACGAACATCATGCCATCATGGTCATTTACGATAGACGACGCCTTACGAATAGACAAAGGGCGAAATAGGCGATGATAGACTTCTACAATAGATAGATATCGGGAAGAATCGTTCCACATCCCAAAGTCCATGGTTACTCCCATTCTGCTTCGTTTGCGTCCCCACACTGCTTCGTATCCACCGTGGCAGTGCAGCCCCACCCACTCACCATGCACGTGGCGTAGCCGCGTAATACCGCACGTTTTTGGTCTACCATCTTGTCGTAACCGTCACCTTTCCTATTCCAACCATGCTCCTCTCGTAGCCAGGTTTCCAAAATTACACCTTCTTATCCACTCATCTGATCCTGCGCCCCTGCAAAGAACTCGGGTCCCTGCACCAGGCGCCCTCGCTTCGACCCATATGCCCCTGTTCCTTTGACGTCATAGTACAAGGGCCGTGACAACAAAGGGCCGGCTCCACGTCAAACTTCGTGGTCGGTGTGTTTGTCTGCCTGAACCGGAAAATTCGGCGGTTGATCGTGAGGCTGGGCGTGTAGTCATGCAAATAAACAAGTCACAAACCTGCACTGATCCTTGGTCCCCCTGGCGGCTGGTGTGACGTGAACTCTGGATGGACCGCGTAGCATTCCAGGTTTGCGTGTCGGCATGAGTTGTATAAGTCATTAAATGCCCTTTGTTCCGACACTCTGTCTCTTTATACCACTCGTCTATCGCTTCTTCCCCGTCTTGCTCCATCTTTGCTTATTCCATTGTTTGCTCTTTGACTAAATAAACACATAACCCTCGATCGCTCCTAAACTCATCGCCCACCACCAGTGCAATAGTCGCCATGCGTCCTACGGCGCTCATCCCAGTACTATGCTGCGCCGTGGCTTTAATCCTCTCCTTCCTCTGCCTCTTCGCAGGCCATAAGAAGGGCTTCATGGAGAACTACCACCTCATTACCGTACGCGCTCAAGTCCTCTCTACTACATCACATATACTAACAACAGACTAGCTCAACACCTCTGCCATCGGCGAAACGCTCCTCAACGAGAGCCGCACCAGCACCAATCCAATTACGAATTTATTAGACAAGATCCCCAACCAAATCTCCGAAGAGATCAACGACCGCATCGGGGAAGTAGCTGAGCGCCTGGGCATTGAGGACTGGTATTCGGCACACATGCTGAACTACTGCTACGGGCAATACACACCCGCGGAGAAGGCAAACGCGACCGTCAGCGACAGCGACATTTCAAAGAATGCCACGGGCTGCAACCAGAGCAAGGCAATGTACAAGTTCGACCCGACTCGCATACTGGAAGATGCCCTGAACAAGACAACGGGCACAAGAGTGACGTTGCAAGACCTCAAGTGGCCCGAGGACATACAGAACGGCATCAAGGCCCTCAACGCTTTGATGGCGGCCATGTTCGTCCTATACGTCATCGCCATATGCCTGATCTTCGTCGCGCTCCTCGCTGCCGTTTTCGCCATCCTCGCCTCTGGGCGACTATCCGCGTGTCTTAATTTCCTCGTCGCTACTCTGGCCTTTCTTGCTATTGGACTTGCTAGCGCGCTCGTCACGGCTGTCATCGTCAAGGGCTCTGATATCATTAACAAGTACGGCAACGATGTTGGGGTCGAGGCTAGGTGGGGAGCCAAGTTCCTCGCGCTCACTTGGGCGGCCACGGGCGTTATGCTGGTTGCGCTCCTAGTATGGATTGTTGAGTTCTGCATTGGACGGAGACGTAAGACGCCTCAGAGCTACACAAAGCATGGCTAGATTGCTCGCGAGAACACGTACTGCCAGAAGGGTGCAAGTGAGCTCCAAGAATGAGGTTCACTCCTACGTCGTTGAGTCGCGAGAGCGGGAGAGAGTAGGTGGCAAGTTTTACGATTTTCAATGTCTTTCCTTGGATTTTCCTCGTTTTATACCCCACAGATCAGAATGCGCGTCGCATAGCAGGATGGCTATGCACTGTTATACCATAGTTTTCAGATTGGGAATTTGTGAATGAATACTCAGATTAAATTGTAACCGTGTACACTTGTTGTCTTCTTATACACACCGTGCTTGAGTAGCCAGACAAATAAAATGTATGTGAAATAAGTAAATGAATGCCATGTTTTTGTCCCCGCGGGATTCGACCTAGGAGTGAACTTGAAGCAATGCCGACTACGTCAAGAGGACCTTTGCTCGAGTTTGCGTGGCTGTGCTTTCGTACGAGTCGACGACCTCATTGGGGTTGTATTGCTATTGTTGTTGTTGTTGTTGTTGTTGTTGTTGCTGCTGCTGCTGCCATCTGACCTGTTTTCAAGTTTACGTGGTTTCCCCTTGGTACTGGTCGGCTTCGAGGAGCCTGTATTACTGCTATTGGCCTTGACCTCCAATTTGCGTGGTGTCTTGCGGTTTCTAGGTTCCGTGTTGTTCGCTGAGTCTTCTTTTGGGGGCTGATTCAATTTGCGCGGCTTCTTGCGACTTTGACTTTCTGCTTTGCCTTCTCCTGCGTCTTGCGTAGATGACTTGCTGTCTGTACTCCACTTTGCCGGCATAGCCTCTTTCGCGCTGTTGATCCAGCCCTCATCATCCTCTTTCTCACCACCACCACCGCCATCTTTTCGCAATTTCTCCAGTTCACTCTCATCAGGCATATCCTCCTCTTGAGCCTGCCCTATCATCTTCTCAAACGCCTTCTTCTGCTCCTCGCTAGCCACCCATCCAGGAAAGTTCCCCGTCACCTTCTGCACTCCCCTCCCCGCCATTTTCCCCAAGTCCCAAAACGGTCCGTGAAGCGCCCCGGTCAGAGCTCCCACTCCACCACCTAGCCCGCCCGTTATTGTCGACGTGATTCCACCGACTAACGTTCCGGTCACGGCTCCCAGCGTGGCTCCCGGTGCAACGCCGAGGCCTGTGCCGACTGCCAGACCTTGGAATGTGCCGGAGCGGAGGTACTTTGCTGTTTTCCCAAAAGACTCGGCCTCGATTTGTGCGTTGATGGCGCGTTCCATTAGTTTTTGGCGCTCCTCTGGGTCGCCAGCGCCGGCGGCTGCATCTTTCAACTCCTGTGCCTTTCGCTGCGCTTGCAGGGCACAGTTTGCATTTTTTGATGATTCTTGGCGCACTTCATGGTCAGGGACGGCAGGTTTGTCATCATTTTTCTTTTTGTTTGCAGACATTTTGGCTGTTGTTGTTGCTGTTCTGCTTCTTGCCAAGTCGTGAGGATTTGGCCTAGATATCAAGTGCTTCGTACAATATACGTCATCGTTACTAGGTCGAGCAAACCAGCCCTCTCCTAGCAAAGTACAAAGCATGCGGCTGAAACTAGTCAGTTCAACTATAGCGCTATAGGTTGCCACGTATAATGGGAATTTGTTCTGTTTTTTCATTTTACGTGCAGTCATCTTGATACCCTAGCACGGGAGCATCACAAAGCATGCGTGTATTGAACTACGCTCTGGCATGATTTACTCTTGTAACCGATTGAACGAATGGATGAAGCAGGATGTAAAAGTTTTTAAAACGGGTATCTAAATCATCTCCGTGGCGTAGTCCATAGTGACCAAGCCTACGCCTTCATATACGTCAAGTTCTATATGGCGTTTTTTTGACCGTGTGCGCAATCATACTCGCCAAACTCGACATGAGCAGTTCATGCAGACAGGCGGTTTCCTAGAGTTCTACCGTTTACCTCAAGGACTCTGGGAATCCAGATGTGGGTTACGTGTTTTCTCTTCTTGGAGATCAAACAGCCTTATTTTGCTCATCGCTGGCGGATGATTTCTAATAGAAGCCGGTATCAGTCTGGGCGGAGATCGAGTTGAATAGGAATAAAGCTTGCGCACCTGTGAGGAACTCCTCGCTGTCACACAAACGTTAGTATGCCACTCCCATGACTCCGTCAAACAGGGAGCAAACTTACAAACTCAACGTAATGTAGCCATCCCGGTCCTCATCGTACTTCTTAAATACGTCCGTCATCCTCTTCAGACTAATGCAAGCCTGAACAAATAAATCAAAACTCAGCCCGTTCTGCCCACCGCGGTCATAGGTTGTATACAACAGTGACACAAACTGCTGACTCAAGCGGTATCCAAAGGCAACGAGCGCTTCGTTGAACTCGGCGAAGGAGATGCTACCGGAGTGGTCGGCGTCAAAGCGGTCGAAAAGGCCGCGCCAGGCGGAGAGGAACCCCCAAAGGCCACTGTGGTAATGAGATTAGTTTGGAGGTCGGGAAAGGGGGGGAAGACGTACCAGAACTCATCAAAGTTGACGGAACCCGAGCGGTCAGTGTCGAACATTCGAATCATCATGCGGACAGTGTGCGGGTCAAAGGGGGACCAGTCGCCGTTTACAAGGGCGGTTCGCAGTTCGGCTTCGGTGAGACTGCCGTTGTCTAAAACCGTTCATCAGCGACGCCCAGTTTCCACACAGCTAGCTAGCTAGCAATCAATAATCACGTACTGTCTTTGTCCACGGCGCCAAACAGTCTCCATAGCGCTTCCCGATCATTCGCATCTCTTGGCGGCGCAGGCGTGGGCGGCGGCCGCGCCTGTTGCGCAATCGGCGGTCGTCCATGATAACCTTGCGGCGGCGGTCCCTGACCATAATTCGCTGGTGGAGGCGATCCAACTCCATAGCGAGGGTCATGCCTGGTGTCGTAGCGATCACTGCTCGCGCGGCCGTCATATCGTGAGTCCTGAAATGCGCCTGGTGGGGGACGGCTCTCATAGCCTCCCCCGCCGCCGCGCCCACCCCCGCCGCCATAACGTTCGTCTGGGCGAGGATCGTATCGCTGGCTAGGTACAGATGGCGTGGGCTTGTTGTATTCCGGGCGCGCTGAGCTGGTGCGAGGAGGCCTTGAGCCTGGCGGGGGTTGGCTTTGCGCCATTGCTTGAGCAGCCTGCCTAGAGTCAACCGATTGTTCTCCTCTACCATGTGGAATCACGCACCTGCTCAGGCTCTGCATGCATGGGCAGTCTGTCTGGATTGAAACCCTTGTTATACGCCATGGTGGGGTCGGGGGGTGGTTGCGAGGATGGGGAGTAGCAAACACCAGGTCCAAGGCTGATGCTGATATATGAGTGTGACTAGAGAGGTAGCGCGTCCAGTGGAGGGATTCAGTGCGCGAGCGTGGGCGGGTAGTGATGGTTTGTAGGTAGCGGCTCCACCAAAGGGTATGCCCAAGTAAGTCACAGCCCGTCTGCGGCTGACAGTCCCCCGCGAGCGTAGGGTACAGGCGTAGCGGGGCTGGCTGGCTAGCTTCGCCTTATGACGCCGGTCAACACACAAGCCGTGGATGCACAGCTCAGACTTGGACCACAGCATCACATTAGCGGCAGACCAACGGCCCGGACATCGGAATGTGGTTTCTGCGCCATTATCCAAGTTGTCATTCAATATGTACAAGGAAGAACAAGCCTTGATCCTCATCCCCATCATGCCATGCCATGACAAGGCCGTGTTTGCAGCCCAAAGAAGGCCAATACTATCGTCAAATTGTAAAAGAAAAGGAAACAGACAATCGTGGGTATCCAGCAACGCCCCAGCACCAAGCATGTACGAGCTATGGAAATGTCGACAAGGTGTTTGAAATGCCATGGCCTGCCTGCCCGATGATGAAATCTCACTAGAAAGGGAAATGTACTAGTACAACAACATGACGGCACTTTTGTTAAAAAGCCATGCCCAAGAACCAGATGAAAAACAGGCAGCAGCCTGTGCTACTAACAAGGTGGGGCTGCTCAAGTCTTGATGCGCTTTTGACTGCCAGCATCGGAGCCTCCATCGGACGTCTTCCGCTTGCGATCCGAAGAATCATCGCGAGCAAAGCTAGGTCCACTCGGTGCTACTGGGGTCTGAAACGTCAACGGACTTGGTAGCATATTCGAGTCGCGACCAAAACCCCATTCGGGGTAGAAGCTCGAAGGCGAAGGCAAAAGGCCATTCTCCACAAAACGACTAGGCAGGGCCGAGATGGGGGTTTCCATATCGTTGCGGCTACCGTACGAGCCGTTGTTCGAAGGCGGTGGAGGACGCGCGAAAGGATTGGGTGGACCAGTTGCACCGGCACTGAGAAGCGAGTTTGCGCTCGGTGAAGGCGGAGGTAGAACAACGCCGGAAGAATGTGATGCATCCGTGCTGCGCCCGGGTGTGGCACCTGTTGTACCAGAATCCTTGGGAGACGAGTCGGCAGTGGCACTTCCAGCGTCTGAGTGTTCGCTGGGAATCTGCACCCTTAGTCTCGGCTTATTCTCGCCCATTCGCAGACTGTTTGTCCGTGAAGGGGGAGGGATGGTAGGCATCGAGGACGTGGACTGCGTCCGCTGGGGCGGCGGCTGGCTGGGCATCTGTGAAGGCTGTGGTTGGGGCGGAGAAAGTCTATTCGGTTGAAGCCGTGACATGGCAGCAACGTCAATGGACTGCGCACGATTTTCTTGCTTGATGAAGGGAACTTCACTCCGCGGCGGGTTTACATTGCTGCTGCCCCAATGCGCTGCGAGCATCGACTGGCTGTCATCGATCGGGGTGAAGATGCTGTGTTTGGCGGACGCATGTAGAGGCTTTGGCTGGGGGAGAGGGGGGCTTTGGAAGTCGTTCTGCTGAGGTGGAGATGGGACTGTGATTGTGGGTTGCGGAGGACGCTCTTGTTGCGGCTGAGATCCTTGAGGTGGTGGCGGTGGTGGTGGCGGTTGCTGCTGTTGTTGCTGATGCTGTTGCTGATGTTGGTGTTGTTGTTGTTGTTGCTGCTGTTGCTGCTGCTGTTGCTGCTGCTGCTGGATCGTGGGGGGCATCGACTGCCTCCGCTGCTGTTCCTGTTGGATAAACTGCTGCACCTGTGGGTGTTGTGGCATGGGGTATGAGTGCTGGAACTGCGGAGCTGGTGGAGTGGGCTGAGGCTTGGGCGCCATGTGTTGGGGAACCTGGGGGTTATAGAAGGGCGGGTTCGGCATGTATGCATAGCTGTTGGGCGGCGGCGGAGCTTGCGAGGGATATGGCTGAGGAGGAGCGAGATTTGAGCTTGGTCGGCGAATGTGGGCTCGTGAGTTTGGACGCGACAGATGATGTCCAGGCTGGGGTGAGGGGCCTCGCTGCTGGAAGGGAACGCCATTGCCTATCGGTGGGGACATGGACGGCGCAGTGTTCCTGATGTGCTGGAATTGCGAATGCTGCATGTGATGCTGCATCATGGCGTGCTCTGGCGGGGTGTGCGAATCCCGTGGAGGCGCGCCCTCTTCGTCGTCATCGTCCTCGTCGTCGCCGTCCTTCTTGCCCATGAAGTCCTCGGGACCCTTGTGTTCGTGGGCTCCGCCATACTGTGAGACCTGTCAGCGCATTACTCATTGAGAACCACTGTCTCTCTCTCTCTCTCTCTCTCTCTCTCTCTCTCTCTCTCTCTCTTCCTCGCTCTCTCTGGGTTGGTGGGGGCATGCATACGTATTGATAGCGGCCAATCGTCTCGTTGATGTCGCCCGATGAAAACTCGTAGAGCTTCTTGTTGTGGCCAAAGATGATGACGGCGACGTCGACGGAGCAGAGCACGGAGAGCTCATGCGCCTTCTTGAACAGGCCGCCTTTGCGCTTCAGAAAGGTCCTATGCACGGGTGAGTTCAACTCGTCGCGCCGGGCTTGTTGCGGCGAAAAGAGAGGGCAAGCTTACACTGAGCGGTTCCGGTCGTCCTTGATGGCCTTGATCTCGATCTTTCTGCGGCCCATGGTGAATGTCTATAGGCAGACGTCAAAGCGCATCGAGCGTCAATGAGGGATGAGGAACAAAAGAAGTTGGTACTAGCTTGCGCGGCGGCGGCGGCGGCGGCGTTGACGACGAGAAGACGTGGAGGGTTTCAGAAGGCCAGCCAGCAACAGGCGGCGAAAGTCGGCGTGGATGGACTGGACGAAGATGGGACCGCGACTCGAAGGGCTATATGTCTCTGGTGGGGGACATGGAGGCCCGAGACAGCACTCGCAGACGACTCTTGAGGCTCTGGAAAGTGATGTGCAAAGGGAAGCCAGCCATGATGGAGCGGGCGGGCGCCCCCTAATAATAGAACGCTGCCTGTCTGCAGCGCCTGGGCCACGGCCGGGTCGCTAAGTTCGCTAATAGGCTCCGTTTGGGCTATTTGGTGTGTTTGAGAGGCCGTGTCACGCCCGCTGTGTCCGCTGTCATTGGGTGTGCAATCAAGAGTTGAACCCTCTAGCCTGTCTGGGCTAATTTACTCGACGGTAGCGTGCCCAGCTGAGTTATTTTAAGGACATATTAGAGCCGGGGTAGGCAGGCATCGCAGGGCCTACGACGAACATGGAGTGTGTGTGAGTAGGGAATATCGACGCCGTTCAAAGCTATTCTACCGGCTAGATGGCATGCATCTTCGCATTCAGCGTGGATTCCGTCTGCTCACTGCAGGAAACCCTCGGATGAGCAAGCTCCTCTTACCGGCTCTGCTGCATCCAGACGGGGGGTGGTCGCTATTCTTGCTTGCGACGTAGATTGATCTCCCTCCTTTGTTGTCTCTGGCACCTTGACTGGCCCCACGGCTACAGACACAACTACAGACACAGACACATACAGGCATACATACAGACACACCTACAGACACACCTACAACCTCTTGTCCATCGGCCCAACGTTGTAGTCGGAATAGGGCTGGCAGCACCTCGTCCCTAGCGCCATCGTCAACCATGTCCGAGTCGCGATATTTTTAGCAACGCATGCTGCCAATCCACAGGCGCGCTGAGATGACGCAGCAGTTCATCCTCGCCTCGATAACCTGCCAGACCTCTAGGCTTTTGCACAGTTAGGCTCCAGCTCGTCTATCATTTTCTATAATCTCACCCGCCTAACCGCCGGCTTCGTATCTCCTCTTCACCTTCATAGACATGCTTCGCTTCCTCATGCGTACATTTCCCCGCCAGGGACGGGTAAACATTCCTAGACAACCCTCACCTCGCTAACGCGCCATGTTACTCGTACCAGGTTCCCTGATAGTAATCTCCCCTTGATAAAAGCCTAGTGTTTCTAATTGAAGCCTGACAGATCTTCCCATCACCCAGCAGCACCACAATCCCCCTTACAACGTGACCTGTCCAACGGCAAGGGTGCGGGCCGTTGCGTCTATTTCATCTAGCAAATGCAGGTACATGTTTCGCTTCTTCTTATTCTTAGCTACTGCTGCACACTTCCCCACACACATGTTGCTCACCACCTTCAACCACTGGCCAATCTCCTTAGCCAGGCCCAGCAACATTTCTCTCAGGAACGCGTCTCTCTCGACGCAGGCACACACAACTCTCGCTGGCTCGGTTGTTATTCTTAGTTCACCACCTCCGTGAACATCATCTTCTTCAACACCGACTACACGCCATGCTCAGTCTAACACCAATACCCCCTCCCTCATCCATGCACGTACACGTTATTCTTAGACATCTCGTTCCATGCCGCACATGGATTCAGACCACAGCTTGACAAATACCATACCTCTACATGTCAGACAATTGATAGCCCGCAACGGGAAATGAGAGGATCGTCTCAGATGAACGCAAAGCGCCTTGTGTGCCTTGCCTGTTACTATCTGTAGAACGCAGACCGGCGTCACCACTATGGGATGCGTTCATGATACGTACAATAATAGTTCAACATGGCCCCAACGAACAGCAGCTACGTTGCCTACAACTCACATGCCCACATCACGCAAAACGCCGTGCTTCGAATAGAGCCCATGACGCTATATGTAGACCAATTTCATATTAGACAGCAATTCTCCTCCACTTTCGCCAAAACTATAGATTAAAGCCAGCTTCCCAAGACCAATTCTCGGGTCACGGCCAGAAACGCTTCTCAGGGCACTAATATAATGTACATCCTCTCAATTACCCTGACAACGTGCAGAAATCGAATTATATAACAGACTCGGAAGGTTGTTGTCGGTCGGGAACATGAAATGCCGACGGGGGTATTACGTGTCAAAACAAGTACACAACGCAAAAGTCGAAAGGGTATCAGGGCTCTTTATCCTCTTAGAAAGCAGACGGTGTATGTGATGATGAAAAGAAACTATCTCATGGTCAGCCCAGCCTCCTCACAAGTTCAGGGACGGAAACTAGCCTTTGAACAAACTAGTAATGCCTTCCAGCACTGTCTCTGGACGGCTGCCCCTCGACATTGCCCGTCAGTTCAGCAACGCGAGCCTTGATACGAGCAACGCGGCTCTCAATCGTCTCTTCGCCGCTCGTCTCCCCTTCATCTGTACGTTGGCTCTGACTTTGGCTCCGGCTACGACGGGATTGCTCTTCGCTAAGCCTCGCCGCGCGATCTGCTGCATTTTTCCTGATTTGAGCCCACCGATCCTGCGAAGGCGATGCTTGCTTGGTAAGGTCGATAGACTCCTCAGATATATCGTCTCTATGTTGCGCAACTCGCTGTATCGGCGTAACAGGGCCTGGCTGCTCTACATACTGTGGCATTTGTCGACGAGAAACGACGGGTGCCTCGTCGTCGCTATCATCTGGAACGAATGCTGGCATATCTTCCATTGGACCTTGATCAAACCGCGAGAATGCTTGGTCGATTTCTTGTTGCGTCGCAGCACTGCCGGGTCCAATAGGGGGGGTAGGCCCGCGGGAATCCTGATAGACAGGAGAAGAATTGGCAGGACTGTGCTCAAACCTTGGCTCGGGCGCTCTGAGAGACTCGGGCTTCTCGACACTGTATGCTGGTGATGGCTCTCGTACTGGGGCTTCGTGATTCTCAAATCGAGACGTACTACGGACCGCATCCGACGCTTGGAAATAAGAGTCACCCTCGGGTTCCGAAGGATGTACTGTCTCCACAGGTGCAGGTGCGGGCGTGGGGGCCTCGGTCTTCTTCCTGCCGAAAAGTTTCCTGAACCCTCCGCCTTCTTTCTTCTTGAGCTTATTTGGCGGTGACTTCTTCTCGGGCGCCCGAGTCGGCTCTTCCGTGGCGTGATTGGTGGTTTGAGGAGCAACGACAGGCCTTCGCTCGGGCACAGCCTTCCTCAACGCAGGATGCTGGACGCCAGTCTCTGTCGAAAGAAGGGATTTGTCCTCAGGAAGTGGCGTAGCGAAAGGTTTCTCTTCACCAAGTGAGCTATGTGGGGGAGAGTCGTTGGGCCAAGGCACTCGCGTTGCAGATGAAGCTTCTGCAGGCGGTGTGGTGTTGGTCGCAACACGAGCAGGAGAGCGTGAATCTCCTCTCTTCGTACTAGGTGCATGCATCTCGGATGCTGGCAGTGCTGGTAGGTCGCGATTTGTTACCTCCGGAGGTAGAGGTGACGCGCGACCATTAGCAGTAGCCAATAGATTATCTCTCGACCCTTTACCAGCGCTCACATCTCCGAGATATTGCGCGCGGAGCGCATCTTTATCCATTGCAGCTTCACCGAACCTCTTGTCCCACTTCATGGCTGGGCCAGCCTCGCTCAGTAGGTGTGGTTGCAACGTCAGCACGCTGTTCGTTTTGATAGAAGTCGTATCGTCGACACGCCCCCGACGCTGCGCGAATTGATCCGCCTCCTTCTGATCCCTCTCGTTTTGCGCCAGTTTTGCGGCTGCGGCCTGGATCCTCGCGTGCTGATCTGGACCAAAGCTAGTTTTACTCATAGGCGTGTTTGAAGTGGTGCGATTGTAGGGCTCCTTTGATGGAGGAGTCGGCTTCTTCCCGGTCGACTTCCGGCGCCCTAGTCGACCGCGCCTTGTAAAGCTGAATTTGGACTTCTTCTCTGCAATGTATGCGCCTTCTTCCGGCCCAGGAGAAGCGCCCTTGACCTGTTCTTCCATCACAAGCCATTTTGCGCCAGGTATCCGGGTTTCGATCAATGTACATCTGCCAAAAGCAGCCTTGCGATCCGTGGTTTCCTCGCTGGCTAGACTGATCATCCACACCCACCAGAACGTCTCGTCAAGGTCGAACTGGGTGATGCTTGCAAGCTCACCCGGCTCAAGATCCTCGTCAACTAGACCATTCCGCACATGCGACTGAGAGCTGTGTACGCGAGCTGTCTCACCGAGTGGAGGGAGCTTTTGCGTTGGTAGTAGCAGGGTTGTTGGCGAGGTAGTGTTACCCTCGTCGGCGAATCCAGAGGAGAGAAAGTCCGCCCACGAAGGGGTAGTAGGGCGGCCAAAGTCGGTATTCTTCGAACGCGCTCCAGATCGAAAGTTGGAAAACTCCCGCGGACTGCCAGCAAGCGATGTCCCATTGGTGCTACTTGCAGAGCTATCGAGAATTCCAGAGAAACCAAAGTCCTCGAACCTGGACCAGGATGGATCTGGTGTCCTGGCTTCTTGTGCCACAACCGATTGGTTGGTGGTTGCTATGCATTCGAGTACTCTACGACATTCGTCCGTCAATGCTTTCACAGTATCCTCGTATGCGGAGAATTGCTGTAGCGCTGCATCGTCATCTCGATATTCAAAATGCTTTGCGCGGCGCAACAACGAGAACGGTGTGGGTGAGACAGAATCTACAATCATAACCACCTTGGTTGTGCGCGTCTGCATCAAAGTCGGCGTCTGCGGAGGGTATTCCGTTTGGGACAGTAGCGCTAGCAGAGACCGAGGAAGGGTAGAAATGCCGCCAATCGTGTTTAGGTCCGGAGATAACGATCGTAGGTAGGCAAAGAAGAGATGGCTCGCTGCATCGGCAGCCCTGTCATGCAGTCAGTTATGGGCTTTGCACCACGTTACAGCGCATATGCTTACTTCTCCCACGTGCGATAGCCCCCGTCGAAGCCTTTTCCATCTTCGGCGAACTCGAATGCCCACCATCCCGCTAAACGGGAGAGTTTCCTGCCACCCATGCCATTGCTTTTTCCTCTTGCTGCTACGGCAGACAGTAGATCGAAGAAATCGAAAATGATGTGTTTGCGAGCATCTGACTCGACGCTGATAGGGATAAAAGTGTCGAAAGCATGTCGAGCGAAGTTGGAATCTGCACCACACATTAGCACGCTTCGAGGGTATGTATGACGCTGTTGACTGACCAGACTCTCCGATGCGGAAGAGTTCGTACGCGTCCCACGTTACGACGCCGCCTGGAAGTCTGCTCCAGCACCATTTCATGATACTGCATAGTGTCTGTGTTCGTTAGCGTTTCTGCGCTGTGTAGAGTTGGGGGCGATTAGCCCTACCAATGGCTCAGTAAGACGTAGTTCTTGGGCTAGACCCTCGGCGCTGTATTGCCGTGTACCGTCATAGGCGGCCTTGAAGAAGTTGCGCACAAAGTTGCGGGAGGCGCTGGTGTCGGACGTAGGGCGGAAGGGGAGGAGCATAAAGGGCATATCCAGGGCTGCTGCGCGTTAGCAACGGCGGCGCACAGAAGGCAAGTGGTGCAGAAGACGTACCTCGTGACTTCATCTCTTGCGTGCAGACGTGTACCAGTTCTTGTATCTCTTCTGGCGCGACATCTTTGCGCGACCATGCGTCTTCCCAGCGAGGCTTGGGCGGTGCGACAGGCTGCTCGTCGCCGTACTTTCCTGCCTTGGAGGCCGAACGCGACCCATCTTTCGACTTGAAGACATTCTTGAAGAAGGGCATGCTGAAGAGACGCGGGGAGGCCTAGGATGTGCCCGACTGCATTCGTTACCCGGCAGAATGTACGAGGGGACGGGGATGCGACGTGGTGGTGAGGGCGCGCGGAGGCAATAGCGCGTTGACGCAGGGAAACAAGTACGAACGACTGCACAAGTGGTGGTGTAGTCGAGCAGTGCAGCGCTGAGGGCTTCAGAGGCAGGCCTTCAACAATGGCTAGGTAAAAAGGAGAAGTGCGTTGAGGCAGACGCCCTCAGGCAGGGTTCCTTTTGGGACTGAAGCGAAATAACATGCACTGGAGGTCCAATAACTCGCCGACCCCTGCCCCGCCAAGACAACCTTATTGCTAGCAGCTGGCTCTCCCAAGTATCCCCTGGTGCACCTGCAGCCCGCACTCCCCTCTGTTTTCGTATCACTCCCCTGCTCGCCAGCACATTGCGCCCGGCATTCGAGAGCAGCACATGCTAGGCCCGCCTCTTCTCAGCTTCGATTGGTGCGAGACAAGCGATGCGCTGTCCAAGTCGCGTCACTCACCGTGCATCACAGACATGTCAGCGTGGAGACGACCACCTCATTCCTCTTCAACTCGTCGTACTCTGGACCATGTCACAGAGCCCCTCTCGAGAAGGACGCATTGAGCTCCCCGGCCCTGCAGTAATGCGCATTCCATCCTCGGGCTCTCTCTCTCGGAGTATAGTCCGGGGCCGCGGGTGGCTTTTTGTAGATCATCTTCCATGAGGTCCATCCTCAGGCTACACATACAACACTACCCGCCAGGTCTCTCACCGTGTCTGATCCATCTTAAAAAAAAAGGGGGACTCGATATACCTAGCTTCCTACTGAACCTTCATCGCGAACACTGATGCACAACCAGCCCCTGAAAGTACAGACATACTTTTTTTTTTTTTTCGATGGATACTTTATCTGGCAATTATCGACCCAGTATCTAGGATACTGTCGGCGCCGCCAATGTAACACGAATAGAAATACCACTCTTCACATGCATGATACCTATCTAGACTATGAAACGGAGCGTCGCTATGCTAGACTGCCTGACGAGGCCTAACGGACAGGCGGTAAAGTTTTTGGAATCGTGCGAATCGCGCTACGCCTCCGTGAAACAACACAAAGAAATTTAGTACTCATTCGTTTCCGAGTACAGACATCTCAAAATATTGCCAAGACACCTATTCATTATTCAACACTTGTGTGTGACTATGGTTTCAGATACAGCACTGTTCTACCAAGCATGTCCGACGTCTATTCGTCATCACGCTAAATGAGCCTAGTTCATCAATTGCGGGCACCATGCGTCACAGAGTCGTCAAATTGTGGCTGTGTATGTAGTGTTTAGCAGCATGCTTCCCTGGCCTACTCTGGGCCAGCTGCCATTTCATCACGTGACTTCGTGATATGCGCCAAGGCTGCAAGCTAGTGGGTGTTAATGGACCCACCACCTAGACAACACCATAACAACTGAAATCGACTTCCGCCTCCACAACGATGTTATTCAACCGTCTCAAGGTCTAGAAAGCCCATCACAGTGATTTTCAACATCACAGGTTACCTTACAACACCGTGGTCTTTCAGGAGCCTCCAGCACGACCCACTGCGGGGTGTCACAGACTCTCTCCACATACTATGCCAGCCCAAACAACATGCCCAATATCCGAGGTCGATCGAGCACTAGCATCGTACATCAACTCCCGCGAAGATACATTGAGAATCCGCCGGTCGCTCTCCAAGTACCTGACCTCGAGCCTCAGGCCCGTCAATGCCGCAACCCAGAACCAGCATCTAAACCACCAATGCCCGCAAAGCCTGACTGCTGTCACTACAAACCCTCCTGGCCTGAAAGGTGCCAGACTTGCATATCTGCACGCTTTTCGGGTAAGGAATCAGTCACAAACGAGACATCGCGAGCTCCAGGCTTCGCTCGAAGAACTACGCAATCGACACATGGATGAGAATCCCACCAAAACTCAATCTGAATATGACAATGAGGTCATTCGAGACTATGTTTCCCTTATCCGACTACGTCATCAATATGGGGAGTTACAAGTCATCCAAGAGTCCCTGAACAAGTTGCTGAGTGCAAAGCCTTCCAATGCGTCTCTAGATCCGAAGGCTCTAGTCAGATATACAATAGGCGAGCAACCAGATCTCCCCGCAGAACGGCTGGAGCATCTCTCTCCGGCTCATGATGACCAGACTTGGATCTTCAGATTGAAACAGGAGGTTTTAGAAGCAAGAGCAAAAATGGAACATGCGCAGGCCCATAGGAAGAATGCTCGGAGCGCGTCTGGAGGAGCACCAGTTCCACAAAACCAGATATATGCGCTCGAACGCGCGAGAGACGAGATCGTGGAGTGGGTCCAGGGCGAACTAGCGAAGATGGAGGAAGACTCCATCTTCCTTGAGGATGCTTCGCCAATCAAACGTACCGTGAGTAATGCTGCACCTACGGATCTTGCCTCAGCGGAAGTTCGGATTCAAGATTCGTACAATCAATACACATCTTCTCGGGCAAGTCTCATAGGAACCTTTGAAAGTCTCCAACAACCACTATCAGTGCCGGCAGACAATTGCAACAATCGCAAAGATGGTTCTCATAGTCCGGATCAGTCACGCGAAATATTCAAACCTTCTATGCCCATCAACAATATTCTACCATACCTTCCCCACCTCGCTCAAACAGCAAACACTGAGCGCTCTCTCCTCCAGCAGTCCGTCTACCTCCAAGCCCAGGTTGCATCCGCAGATCGAGAAATCGAGGAGGGTCTGTTACGTCTCTCTGGCGAAAGCCATCTCCTCCCTGCAGGAACAAAAGACGTCGCTGTTTGGAGTAGAACGGCGATCGAAGCTGAGGCAGCCACAGAAGAGTTTGTGAAAGAGAATTTGCAGGCGAGTCGGCAGGAAGTGAGTAGTGTGACTGCGGTCGTGGAAATATGCTCGCTGCAGAGTAGGGTTTTAGCGTCGACATAAAGAGAGTTTGGAGACTTGGAAGCCATGGTGTCATAGTTTCAAGAAGAATTTATAGGCTAGAATGCCGTTGGAACCAAAAACATGACTATTCTAGAGGCATCCATTCGCAAGAAATCTGTACAGAAGTCGCAAAGAGAGAACTACAATATCGCTCTGCAACTCAGGTAAAGCTAATTTCATAGTCTAACACTCTAATACTATATTTCTATTTCCTAATATCATAGCAACATCATTCTGTACATGATGATATTCCATTTGCAGTCTCTATCCTAATAGATGCAAACTAGCGTTCCAACGTCGAGAACATGAATTACTTCATCATCAACACCCGATAATGTGCACCGGGCTATAGGACTGGCATTTCGAGTAATACCTGCCGATCAAGAATGCCATTCTAAAAATCCTTAGAGAAATACCATGCCATCCGGGTATGGTGCTGTAGTGTTGCTATGATTTTTTCCACGTATGCAACATACAAAACGAGACTGAAATACAGGTATCACTGAATTGGGCCAGATACTCTTTGACACTTTCAGAGGTTTTCCAAAACACCTACGCCCTAGTTGAGCTATCGCTAGTCTTTGACACTGTCAGACCCGATGAGGGAATGATGCTGCACTGGGGACGGGTCCTCGCTCCAAAGCCTTTGACCACATGAAGTAATTTTAGGGGCCTATCGCCATACTAGACGGCAAACGTCTACACCATCCCTTGAGACCACTGAGTACCGGAACTATATGACATCTAGACCAAGGTAAGCAACCCCAAGGCAGCGTTTTGCCCTCTCCCCACCAGGACTTTGTTCCAGGTGCCCCTGAAGGCTTCGTCCTCCACTCGACAAGACGCAAGCAACAAATGCACAAGAGTCTGCGCGTTTCCGCTTCGAGGCGTTGGATTACGTTGCGTCATCAACCATTCGGATGATCAACAGCGCGAATGTTAAGTAGTGGTGCGGCGCAGCCGTCCTGCAGAGCCAGAGGACCCTGCATCTCGTAACTGCATGTAGCCTAAAATGTCTCAGCCTCACTTTTGCCTGATGCGTGCGAGCCTCAGGCAGAAAGAAGGCAAATCAGCAACGTGTCATGCCCGTGTCAAAAGGTGGTTCATCCATCGTTGGACTAGTTGAGATGATAGTGCGATTGCTAGAAGACTTTGTCAATCATAGAGCGGGGTTTCGATCAGGGAAAGGGTAGTGGTTTGCAACGCGATATCCGACAAACCGTGACTCCTCGCTCAATTGGCCATATTCAACATTTGAAAATCTCACAGATGCATGAATGCACCATGATGGAGGAATGTCCGTACCTGCAAGGATCATGAACATTCACCGAGTCCTCCTCTTTCCTAGTACCTAGGTAGCTCCCGAGATCCCGCCCGGGCGCGTTCATATGTCTAACCTCGTTTCAGTACTAGCGGGCCAATCGCCCCACTTGGACAATCCCTCCGCCCTCCTGCATCCCGCTACCACGTCTTGACCACAACATCCCGCGCATTGGAAAAACGATCTCACTGCATCCGGTGAACTTTCCCTTCTAGGCTTCTTCCGGGCGATTTCGCTTAGCTTGTTTCACTATTGCAAGTTTGTCTATGAACCAGCCATGCGCTTCGCCTTGTGGCTGTACACGATAGAATCTATGCAGAATGGGTCTATCCTACATGTGGTTTCATAGTACGATTGGATATCCAAGGCCCAATCTACCCAATGAGCCCGATGTTGTGGGTGCTGCGACTCGTTTCGAGGGGCCGCTTTTGGAGGACTACATAGTTGAGTAGGCATAGTGCAAGAGCTTGTGTGGGGGCTGAGACATCTTGGAAAGAGGTGTGGCTTGTGGCTGTGACCGTTGATGCCTAATGCCGGCAACGACATGCTGTGACAATATACTTGGGCGGATATGACTGTTTTGGTCTGAGGCTCTGTTGATATAGTAGTATGACAAAAATCGGAAATGGGAATTGGTATAATCAATATGCAGGTGGAAGAGTCGCAGATTGCTGGACACGAAACTGAAAGTATGACTTGACTATCCGAAATTTTGCCATGTAGAGTGAGCCCCATCCCAATACAGAAGAGCTAAAAAACACATGCTATGGTAGACTCAGAAAGGGTATCAGGCCCAAGGAAATTCGTGGCGTATCGTCATCTTACCCTCATCTCACACCTTTCTTACTGCATAGTAGTATGCCAGTGAACTGCATTCAACAGCGGACGTCTTCACTCTTCTTCCGACTCATTGTCGCTCCCAACAGCAGTATGCCTCCTCGGCTTCCCATTACCAATCTTCCACTCACCCTTCTCCCTCACAATGAGACCTTCATCAAGAAGATATCGCTCAAGCCCCTGATCCATATTCCAAGCAGCGAAGTCAAACATATCAAGACCCTTCTTGCGATCCTTCTCGAGATGACGTCCAACGTGCTCCATCCTCTCTTCCCAAGATGTTGGTCCATCGAACGTCACATTGCAGAAGAGACAAATTGACTGTTGTGGCGGTGTTCGGAGTGAGAGGAAGCAGCGTGTTTGATGCCCCGGGAGGTTTTCCTCGTTGACAGGATACTCTTTCTGATTGCGAGAAGAGTGGTCTTTGGGAGCCGCGTGCATACGGCGAAGGTGCTGTGTGAAGAGGTCTTTGCGATTGAAGTCGTTGTAGTAAAATGTCTGCTCATCGCTCGGGTCGGTCGTTGGTGGACAAAGATCACAGCGCCAGTAGCCGAGTTTGACGTGTTGGGTGCTGACGTGTCTCTTCCATTCATTCTTCGAGGAGAAATTGGACATACATCCATAAGCGGCGAGTGGGCAAGGAAATGGCCGTCGATCGTCTGGTTGGGCGTTTGCTTCAATGGCCACCCTAGAAACGTTCGAAGCCCCACGGGGCCTCTTGGGCAGCCTGGTTGAACTTGGGGGGCTTGTGACGTGTGACTCCTTCGGACGACCAAGACCACGACGCTTTTGGGCCCGGCCTGAGCACCCGTTCGAAGCGGAAGATCGTCTCCGCTTGCCTGAACGGCTAGATGGGGGACTGTAGTCTGAATCCGACGCGGGCTCTTCGTAAAGGTCGATTGGTTGGACGGACTCAGCATCTCGCACTGAGTTGCCGATGCCCGAGTCGGCATACTTGTAGCTAGAAGTCGTCTCCATCTTTACAGTCTTATGGTCATGGCCGCAAACAGCTTCTTGTTTCAAGTCGACGTGATCCGTCTCTTCAATGACTGGCTCCGGCTCGGGGTGTTCGTACTCAAGCTCCCGCAGACTGATGCTACCACCAAGTGCAGCCATCTCAGACATGTATGATGCATCGTGGAAACGTTCAGTTGATGGGTAAGGTAGCGCAGACTGAGAGTATTCAGTAGGGCTGCCGTACGGAATAGGATGGTACGTGTGTGGCGAGCGAAGTTCGTTCTGAGTAGTTTGACTGGAATTGCCTGACGCAGAAGTCTGGTCTGGCGAAACGTCTCGAAAGTAGTCCGCCGAAGGCCATTGTTGCTCGTAATGTCGATCATGGTGGCCCTGTAGAGGAATATTTGCATTGAGTAGTCCCGGAGTAAGGGGACACTGATCGAGCATGAACCGCTGCATTGGTTGCATGCTTACTATCCCATTGTCGAAGTTATCTAAATAAATGTCTTCTTTCGTACCGAAGCTGATTGCCTGTTGCTTGTACGGTTGCATGTAGTTACTGTGGTCCGCTCCCCAGATGGTGAAGCGTGTGCCGTCCATACTCTGAGGTATTTGCGGTAGGTCTCCGAATTGGTGTGCCATGGCTAATCTGCAATGGTAGTACGAACCAGTATATTCGAAACAGCCGAGATATGTTTCAAGCAACTAAGCTTGCCGTTTTGCTTGATTGAGGGTCAATTGAAGTGAGATGGCGTGCTTGATGGACAACAAAGTCAGAATCGCATCGATCCGTTGTGAGCTCGGAAGTGTACGTCAACCTCAAGGTCGGATTAGCTCAAGGTGAGAAGAAATTTAGGGCGGTCCTCTGCTGTCGTAGTGGCCGGATACAAGTAGCCCACGGGCTGGGACTAGATGGGAGAATAGTAGGACAAAAGGGGCGGAGCATCGATCGAATGTGCAATGCTTCAAGGCAGCAGCAGAGCAAGAAACTTGATGTTGAGTTGCACTGCCCACGAGTTTGGACTGGTGTCCCCATCTCGAGCTCCCATACTTTAGTCTACTTTATGGTGATGGGGGGTCTCGCAGAGCCGCATAGAGCCACCAATGGGAAGCAGGCTGCACGACCCAGCACTGGGCTGCATGGACCCCTGCACTATTCACCGGTGGATCGTGTCGCTTGGGAAGGGACAGCGGGACAGCTGGACAGCCACCACTCTCCTAAGCATGGGCGTCTAACTCTGGCTACCGAAGTGGATAAGATCAAGTCGCCAAAACGACGCGCCCTGGAAAGAAAAAGCAATTACGCCATGCAGGTGGCAGATCACTGCCGTTTCGCAATGCTCCCGAATTCACCTCGTACTTAAACTGTAATCCGAGGACCGCACAGACAAAAGCTCGGATGAATCCATGCGAACTAAGCGGGCGATGTGAATGCTAGTGTGCCAGCCCGCAGATTCGACTTTTGGGGGCCAGAAGAGCGATGCAGCAAACGAGACGAAGGTCAAATGTGAGACTTTGGGAAACGAATCACGTTGCCTGACAGTCTTCGTCGTAGCTTCATCTGGAGGCCGCACATAAAGGAGCCAGGGTTGAGTTTGTTTTTGTGCTCCCGCACTTGCATTCGGGGCCTGACAGCTCTGGTTGCCGCGGAACAGAAGACTGCTGATTGAGCAGCCTAGATCCCGATCGAGAGGGGAGAGCTTCTGTCAACCGAGCAGGACTAGAAGGAGGGGTGGTGGAGCAGCCCATTCCATTGGAGAATCCTGACACATGAGAGCCCCAGCAGATGGGGCGCAATCTTTGGAGATAAGTTGCTAGGCATCAAGACAGGGCGCATGGTTTGCCTGGTTTGAAGTGTGTTGTACATGGCTAAAGGCACTAGTTTGAAAGTAATCGCGATGACAGCGCCCTCTGAGTGGTGAACAGAACAGGAGAAGATACGCCTAGGCTGTTTCGCCAGCTGTTCCGCCAGCTGTTCCGCTCCCTTTGCACCTTCGATTGCTGGACAGAAGCCTTAGAGTAGGTTTGGCGTTCGGGGGGCGCATTGGGGGCGGTGCGACGACGAGACTTCAGAGGTGAGTGGTGGGTCGTGAAGTGGTGGCGCGGGGAAGCGTGGAGTGATGGATGGAGGACTCGGGAGCTTGCTCACCGTTCCGAGTCAAGGACCACCAGCACCGCCAGCAACCACCACCTATCTGGAGGACAAAAGCTGGGCACCGCTTTACCCCTGCATGGGCGCTTGGGCAAGCTGGGTGCCATCGTCTTCAGCAAACATTCGCTGTCAAGAAACACAACATTATTCGGCGGCTCTGCTTGCATTCATCATGACAAAATTGCATTCATCATCTTTTGTTCTTGATGACTAAGTATCCTGGGGCTGCTGACGTCTGGCACACTAGCTGTCATGCTGTCCTCGCAGATCCCCGGCTATGTCTGCATTCCACATGATAGTACTGTACTGCCACTGTTACCGTACGTCTGGGACAGGCCGACTTGGTCATAACAATTGGCTATCTCGCGGCCGGCTGTGCGGATCAGGCACCCCTGCGCGAGTTCAAACGCGGGATCATGACCACCTGACGCTCCCTAGGCATGGTGTGAAAGCCAACATGTACCTAGCTGTGCTGTAACGAGCAACTGACACCATCAGCACGTCGGCATTCACGCCGCGAATTTGGTGACTAGACGGTCTTCGATTCCCTCGAGGATCCATCGGTGCTCCACCACCTCCAAGTTCTCAGCTTCACTCAAGAAGAGCTTGTCAGGATCCTGCTCGGGACCCATCACGCCACCCGCGCCTGGGTTGGCCATGGCCATCTGTTGTGTAACCTGGTTGGCGGCTGGGGACAGGTGCAATCAGCTTGGCTCAGCTAACGAGGCTTCCGTGTCGAGCACGGGTAGTACGTACCGTTGTTGCTGCCCAGAATGAAATTATAGACGGGCTGCAGCCCGAACAGCGTGAGGAAGTACCAGGACAAGCTAGACACCCATCTGACGTCCAAGTCGTGAGTGCCTACACCAGACTGGAGCATGGACTTGAACTGTGGCGTCAACGGGAAGGGTAGTTTCACTGCAGATCGACATCGGTTAGCGAAGAACCCGGGTTCAATCAAACTCGGAAGGTGCTGCATTGTTGCCCGCCGAAATGTCGCTCGCTCTGCGTTCTAGACAAGCGCTGGTCCCATGCAACTTGATGTGTACCTTCGCTTCGCCATGCTGTTGACCGCGAAGCACCGGGTACGAGACCCACTCCGGCAATGTTTGTTGCTTTTTGAAAGCTAGGCAAAGCGAGTCCAGAACGTATTCGTAACAACGCTTGTCATGTTCACCCAAAGCAATCATCTCCCCTGTCTTGGTGACAGGATGAACAGGAATGAGAGGCAGACTTACTGATGACAAAACCCGAAAAGAAGGCGTTAATCCAGCCCATGATTAACGTCTGCGGAACCATCATGGCCATGTTGCCCTTCATCATGCCCATCATGCCCTCCATGGCCGCCGGATCACTCATCGGATTCGGCCTGGGCTTGCCCCTCAGCTCGGGCTCCGCGAGAAACTTGCCTTCCTGGTAGGCTTGCACCATGGAGGATTTACGAGCGGCGAATGACGAGGGGGAGAGCACGTTGGCGTTGGTGCGTAGATTGACACCCCGGACGAGGGAGCGCTGTTGTCGGATTTTGGGGAGGTCGGCCTTCTTCGGAGGGGTCTGAAGAAGCGTCATTGCATAGTGGCGGAGGATGCCAGTTAAGATCTAGAGGCGGGTTTAGACAGATACACAGCTATGAGGGCGTAAATGAGAACCTACCATGACCACTGTGATGGGGAGTAGAATCCACCAACTGCGTAATTATCAGCTATGCTTCTCTTCGTCCTCCAGGCCAGGCAGCTTCATCAACGCACAACAGGGCGGGATCCCTATGGATCGTCTGTACTATGGGCTGTCCCATCTTTCCGGTCGCCAAAGAATTGCGCGTGTCAACGAAGAGGTGGGGTCGTCGTCGTGAGGTTGTGGTGTCGCGACTCGATGATGGAGCTCTCATGCGAGACACCGAGCGGCGGAACTCGCGAATCGTCCTACTAATAAGCCAGGGTCCGCGCTCACTTGTGGCAAGGTGTCCGTCCACTAACGAAAGCTCCATCAACATCAACTTCTCGAGCGCAACGCCCCACAACCACTTGATAACTTTCTCAGAGTAGAAGTGGCCCTCTCCAGCAACTCAACATGTCCGCGACACAGAAAATCGCAGTCCACTCACTTTCCGGTACAGCCTCAAATCCCCATACTTGCAGCATTGATGAGCTACTTTTATTAACCACTCGGCATAGATCTCAAGAACACAACTGATGATGCTCTCCCAAACTACCTCCACTCACTCAAATTCAAGCAACTACATACCCAGACCGATGTCCGGTTGGTATTCGGTTATACAGCCGTCATCATAGCTGGAGCGCTCTTCTATTTTGACTGGAAGTTTGGATGGGAAGCATCGAAGCCGTATACGTTGCCCGCAGTAGTCGCATATTTCCTCCTAAATGGCGCATTTACCTACTGGCTATGGTTTGTGGAGAATGGTGTAGTGTACGAGGGCGAGGGGAAGACGGGGAAGGTACGATGGCACCACCAACACCCTTGAAGCCCCATGTACGCAGGCTTGAATCGAGGCTAACAGTGCAAATAGGTCCGGATATCATCCTCGACCAAAAAACACATCCCCATCTACGAATGCGACGTCATCTTCACACCCACCCCATACGGCTCCAACCCGCAACAAAAGCTCCACATCCGTGCCCCAATGACCCGCTGGTTCACCTCGGACGGCTACTTCATTGCAAAGCCCTTCCAGCAATGGCTCGCGTCGGAAGTCCCCGTTATCGGCGCCGCGGATCCGAACAATGTGATTGAAGAAATTGGAAGGGGAAGCGGGGGCGAGGGCGGCTTGCCGACGAGCTTGAACTTGAATAGCTCCAACGCCGTCGAGATTCTGGAGCAGCTGAAGGCTAGTGGGGCGAAGGTCGCGAGTGGTGGTGGTGGCCAGCGGAGAAGAAAGGCGTAGACGAGGGCATATTGGGGACGAGACTAGAGTGGTCGGGGGTTCAAGCGGGCCATAGGACGGCGTTTGGGACATTAGACGCACAGCACATGTGATGATTGTGTAGCACTGTCTACGCGAGAATACCTACTTTGGGAAGTGCTTAGCTTCGAGGCTTCTATCCAAGCCAACTTCATCACCAGGAGTAGGAGGCTTGATATTATATATCGATTGACATTCTTGGTGCTCGTAAAAGCTATGCTACCAACGCCGCAAGATGCTAAAGATGAAATCTCATGGATTGTCCTTTTTAAAAGCCCAGGTTAGGGTGCCGTCGTACTCATTCCGTCGATTCTAATGTTACCCGACCCCATTCATCGTCGACCTCAATTCATTTCCTGCTCGAGCATAGGCAGGACCTCTAGCTCTCTTTGAATGATGCGCTCAAACTCTTCCCTGTCAATCCCGGACGCTCTAGCTAGGCGGAACAAGCTCTTTATATCCGTGCTAATGTGCTGCTTGATAGCGAGTTCCGCTTGGCTGTAGCTTTCTGCTTGGCGCTCCAGCCTTTCCACGGAGTTGATTGATGCTGAGGAGGAGGGTCGTGGATGGTTTAGTGATGCACTAGGGTTCTCCTCCATGGGCTCGATGTGTTCTGGGCTGTCATTTCCGTAGAGACCATTGTCGTTTGTTGTGGCATTTGTGTAGGCCCGTGGCATAGACGAGTCGTTGTCATTTGGCCCCAGGTTTGTGGTCTCGAGTGGCTTAGGTTGAGGCTCACTGGTATAATTTAGTTCGTTGCCGTTCAATGTCGATTCGCCCGGTCCTGGGAGCTCCTCGTCGGGGTCATGCGCATCAAGCGCGGGTTGTACCTCAGAGGCATATCGCGCAAAATAGTCCAACTCTGACTGTGTTGGCCCCATTTGCGTTCGCTTAGCGGCCATTGGAGCGGGAGATCGCTTTTGTTGCGGTGTCTGCCCAGGCGTACGGTCGTAAGCAGCCCAGTATGAATCGTCGTCCTCTTCATCGTCCTTTACAGGCTCAGGTTGTAGCGATGCTTGCTGCGTCGGGATTCCATTACTCTTGCCTGCCTTTTGTTGTGCTCCAGTCTCATTCGCCTCGACGATGCTCTCGAACCATGCCGTGCCATCGTCGGCATCCTCAGTTGCTCTCAGCTCAGCAAGAAGCCATTTGCTCCCACCGTCACCGCCCGTGCACCACAGGTATGTCGGTAAAAGGCCAAACTCACTGAGCACCAATCTCGAATGCAGTGTCTCAGGATCCGACCGCCGGAAGAGTATCTGATCTGGCTCTTCCACCTCAATCTCTCCTGAAGCGGGGTGTGGTTCGACGTGTATTTTCTCAATGACTTGCGGCAACCTCGAGCCTATGTCGCTGTCCCAACATAATAGCGAAAGCCAGTCGCTGGATGAGAGCAGCTGTATTCGCTGGCGGAGGATGGGCGACAGAAGAGGCAGCAAGCCTGGTGGGGCGTCTTTGGATGTGCTGGCTGCGGCGAGACAGGCTAGTAATGGTGGGAGGAGCTCCCTCGAGTCGGGTCGTGGGATGATGTGGTCGAGCCCAGGCATGGCTGTGGTGTGCGGGAGCGCTGTGAAGAGGCGGGCAAAGCGTTCACGACTGGCAGGAAAGGTGAGATGTTGGTTTGGATTCGAGGCAGGGTAAGGCGGCTCGAGCTGTACAACCCCTCAATGGCCTTGAATTGGTGAGAAGGGGAGGGGGTGCGGTGGGTGGTGGTGCTGAACTAGCCCTGTGATGCTGTCACATGTGGCTGCCACCAACAACGAGCGGGGACATTGGAGCACTTGGTTGAAGAATTGAATTGAGGAAGAGGGAAAAGAAGGGTCAAGGCGATCTTGGTCCATAGTTGCGGACAACACCTGCAAGCTGCAAAGACGAGTGGTGCTTAGTCTCCGTTCCGCCGAACGGTTGCACCTGGCCGCATTCTTGCGCTGCCAGGACCGACCAGATGCGAGGGCGGAAAAGGTTAGCCTCATCGCAGAGCCTCGCGTGCTTCCCCGGATCAATCAGATGGCGGTTAATTCAACTCGGCGGCATGAGTTCCAGTACTGTCGACGAGGCCTAACAAACGCGTTTGGGGGATTCCACGTCTTTTTGCAGAGGTAAGCTCTGACATGGAGGGGACAGACCACATTCCAATTCTAGCCGTCTGCACCACACCCACCACCAACGACGACTCCGCTGATGCCCGTGGCTCTCCTCCTTCACACAGCGCACGCAGCAAGCTACTATGTTATCCAGGCAGATAGATGGTGTCAAGGTGGCTATTTCGAGACAAGGGAAGTGCTCGCCCACGGTCAATTTACAGCACACTGGTTCAGCTCTAGTCCCGCGGAGAGAGAACCATGTACATAGATAGCACCATGTACTTGGACCTACACTACATTCAGCCTCTCTCTCTCTCCTCTCTCTCTCTCTCCGGAGCCCCACTCGACGTTCGGGAGTCTATCGGCATGGCTCCGTGAAACGGGCCCCAGCCACTAACTGATCCATCACATGCTGCGACGTGGCTAAGAACAATATAAGCAATGGGTAAGCCGGGAAAACGCATTCTGCTTTCTTCATAAAAAGCCTGCTGGTGATGGTGTAGCAAGCACCCGCCTTGGACGAGAGCAACTGCAGGCTTGGCTTTCCTTTATATAGCACCCTCGACATGGCCTGTTCAATGGTTAAGCGCCAGCATGCTGCGCAGGCGGACTACGGAAGCTGGTCAGACATGCCTCCTGAAATGTGAGACGCGACCATGATGATAAACATCATGTACGCAATAAAGAGGGCCAACACGGGCTATGAGATGTGCTACTCCAAAGCATAGCCACCCGCCCGCACGCCCCCCTGGTCGCCCTTGTGGTCCCGCTTCTGTAGAGGACTGAGGCTGTGCATGTGCCGTTGTATCAAGCCTGCCAAGGACGAGATCACCCATCTGCAAATCTGCCTCGAGACGCCAGTCAAGCTTGCAGCTCCCGTCGCGCTTTGTTTCTCGACCAAGTTGCACCTTTCTTTGCGACCATCAGACGCTGGAAAATAGAAAGCAACCTGCGCCGTCACCGTTCTGTTCTGAGCGCCCGCCAACACCGTCCGCTTGGCATTCAGCCCTCTACCCCGGTCTTACCATTTGGAACCATACTCGAGGGGATTCAGCCTTGACCAGTGCCTCGAATTCTCCCTCGCTGCTGCTGCTGCTGCTGCTGCTGCTACTGCTGTTGCTGCTGCTGCTGCTACTGCTGTTGCTGCTGCTGCTGCGGCAGACTCCATATTGCCAACCACCATTTTCACGCTGTATCCGCCAACCAACAGATTGCTTCACATCTGGTCTTGAACCTCTGCACGCGCTCTCGCCCGAATCCCACCTGCGACCCACTCTAAACTTCTCTCAACTTCGTGGAGCGCCGGGCACTGCCTCTAGCTTGCACGGCTTGGGCGTTCCGTCCTGTACGAGGCAGATCGCAAAAAGTCAACCCGTCCGCTGTCTGACTTTATTCCTCCTCGGCCCGCGCTGCAACGTCTCTCTCTTCCATTATTCGCCTCTTCGCACTCTGTTTGCGCATTTGGACGCGTTGCAACCGTGTCCCCCCTCGGCTTTCCTTCGTCTGGCTACCTGGCTCTCGCATAATTCCCACCAGTAGCCGCCAGGCAGCACCATGCCTCCCTAAGCCGCAGTACCCTGGAGTCACGTTACCTTGGATTTTCATCTGGTCCTGATTGCTGTCATCGTCAATCATCGCGGTCCGATCCAATCTCGAGTCTGCCTTCGCCTCATTCCGAGTGATAATGAACGCCGTCGATGGCCCCACACAGCCCTATGAGGGCCCGCGCCGCCAACAACGCCACCTTCAGGATGCGCAGGCTAACGGGTATCACTCCGTACCTGCTGCCGGGAATTTCTTGATGCCAGATGCCCAAGGCACATTTACTTTTTCCGCAGAGCCCACTTCTATGGTATACGACGGAACCATGGTTGCGCTTCCGTCATCTAGTACCCCCGGTCAAGACTCCATCTTCACTCCAAATGCTGGATCCTCCTTCGACTCCTCACTACATCCGGACATGTCCTACCCTCCGCCGAATGTCTACCACCAAACACAGAATTATAGTCTTTCTCCAGGATCATATTACGGCAACAGTCAAGGCATCTCACCATCGCACTCGGTAGAACATCTCAGCCCAGAAGCTGGATACATGAGCGACCCGAATTATCAAGATCCTAGCAACTACACTACTCCAAACTTCAATGGGAACGTCTTGGACGAGTTTTCTGGGCTTACCTTCACCGACAACGGCTCAAGCACCGCCTTCCCTACTTTTCAAGACATGTCGCTTTTGACCACGGGTACTCTTAACACCTACAACGCTCAACGGGCGGTCCCTTCGACCAACGCCCCCTTGGACCCTCATCACCAATTGCTATCACCCTGCATGACGAATAATTCTAGTCCAGTGGTTGGTGACGACGGCTCAGTGTTCCCTACGATGCACTACGCTAGCACGCTGTCCACACCCCCAAGCCACACAACCCATCTCCAGCATTCGACGCCAATCAAACAAACGCAAAGCCCGGCATTAACGAATAGTCCTGGCAATGTACCACTTGCAAATCCTAGGCCTCTTGCGCGGCATCTGACAAGCCCAATCGTGCGCGTGGAGAACTACAGTAGGGAAGAGTCACCTACACGCTCGGATAACAGTAGACCTGTCAGCAAACGAAGTCATAGTAGCCGCCGATCCGGCAACCATCTATCTCCTTATCCGCAAAATGATTCGTCTGACGAGGAAGAGGATGAACGTGAGCAAGTGCGCGTTCAACCCGTAGTACGAAGCCTTGAACGTAATGACGATGGCTCTTGGTTGAAGACAGGAGATTCAGGTCAAGCTGGGCTGAGTCCCGACGACCGCCAGATGATAGGAGATGTAAGGATGTTGACCATAGAAGAGATTGCAGAGCAACGATCGAAACGCGAGAAGAATTCCGAAGTCCAAGAATGGCTCACCAAGAGCGAGGTCGGTAGTGAAGCTGGTGATGTTGGTCCCTCAAATAACTTTTTAAAGCCCATCACTGGTCGTCGTCGAGCGAAGAGTACGAATGACGTCCATCGTCGAGGTCCGCAGGGTAATTTTGGCCTCGGTGTGCGCACCGATTTCGATCACATTGACGACTCTGCTATTCCTGGACCTGGCCTTTACATAGACGAGCGAAGTGACTACGACGAAGACGAGGACGAGGATTATCCAGAGCCAGAGTCCCCTCCTGCCGCAATCGACATTCAGGCCAGCCACGCCGATACCTCCTACTTTCCTCCTGCTAAAGACTCCATTTCCATTAGTGGTGCTATCGTCCGACCCTGGGTGGATGTGCCGTCACAGTCTGCCAATTCAGTAACTCATTATCAACCACCTACCTCAAATGCTGCCATGATGCGTTTCCGAAGGCGGGCCAAAGACGTGGAATTAGCATCGCTTGCCGCTACCGTTGGATCACGCCGACTAAGTGAATCGGATCTTGGGAGTATTCGCGCTTCACCTGGCATCTCTAGGCTAATCGAACCTGACCCGAAGAAGCATAAGGAGAGGCAGCGCCGTCCCAGCTTCCTGGATAACATCCTTCCCAAGCGCACACCAAGCAATCTGCTCAAGCGCAAAGGTAGCATACCTGTACAGCAGCAATCGGACACGGCTTCTGAGAAATCCAAAGACCCTGTCATTGAGAAGCCCAAGCGTATTGGAAGCTGGGGCCGGCCGAAGTCCCCCAGAGTTGATACCAACCTCAGCAACCACAGTAGGGATGCAGGGCCTCTTAGCTCCACAGGCTTATCAGCAAATTCGGGGCCGTGGTACCAGGGGGCTAGGAATGTTATCAAACGTAGTCGCAGTAGGAGCGATCTGGGTAGATCCCCTGGACTCGCTGAATTAATGACGCAGCACGGAGGTCCACCTATGCCTATGCTTGCTTCGCCACTGGCAGATACAGAAGCAACAAAACCTTCCGCACAGCCTAGCCCTGCTGGAGATGATGAGGATGATGAGCAGGAGGCTGTGACCATGGATCTCAAGATCCGCACCGACCCCATCATACCGACGTACGAAGGCTTCAGGACCCATACCCGACAGCTTAACCCACGCTTGGCTGACTTCATGGTCGAACGGATTACCCAAGAACAAATGCGAAGGTACAAGAGGCTTTTGGAGTTCAAGGTCAAACATCTGAATGCCGTCAAGAGCAAGAATTGCTCGTCTGGGACATTTTGCCCGGAGCTTGGCGGCGAAGCGAAATCACTCCCCCCGCGAGCAGGGAACAAGGACGCTGATGCACCTTTCATTGGCTTTCAGATAACTGCTCCTGGCTCATCTGATGACGATGGTGAGCCGCCGCCAGAAGGAACTGTCGTGTCTGCCCAGTTCCCGTCCGGTGTACCCCTACCTCCTGTCAAACGCCTTCCTGCAGAATTCGAATGTCCCTTGTGTTTCAAGGTCAAGAAGTTCTATAAGCCATCAGATTGGACGAAGCATGTTCACGAGGATGTTCAACCGTTCACTTGTACCTTCCCTAATTGTGGCGAACCCAAGTCATTCAAGCGCAAGGCTGACTGGGTTCGACATGAGAACGAGCGGCATCGACAACTGGAAAATTGGACCTGCCAAATAGCTGATTGCAGTCATACATGTTACCGCAAGGATAATTTTGTGCAGCATCTCGTTCGAGAGCATAAGATTGCCGAGCCACGGCAACGCACTGGTCGAGCTAGCAACAAGGATGCGCCCGCCAGCGTTGATCCAGGTAGGACATCATTGGAAAGCCTCCTATCAATGACCGCTAACACTGCCGCAGACAACATTTGGGCTATTGTGGAGAAATGTCGCCGCGATACTACCAAGCAACCAAAGGACGAGCCCTGCCGATTCTGCGGTAATATTTGCAACAGCTGGAAAAAGTTGACTGTCCACTTGGCGAAGCACATGGAGCAGATCAGTATGCCTATACTTCCGCTCGTCGACCAGAAACAACTCAACGCCGATAGTATCATAAGCCCTGTTGTAGAAATACCGGAAAGTCGCAAGCTTTCCATTACCCCTAACAGGTCACCCATCGATAATATGTCGCGATACAACCCCAACTCAACCCTCGCACCCGGTATCGATCCATCTGCTTTATACCCTCATGATACGAAGCCCGAGGCTGCATCCAGTGTGATGCACACTTATCCTCCACCACAGATGGCACCGTACAAGAATCAACAACCGGCGCAGATGAACGGATATGCCAACTATGCCGCGAATAGCGGGCAAAACTATCCCAACCAGACATATCCAGGACTCCAAGAACCTCCAAAGCTACGCAGTGGCTACGACGATGGACTACAGATTCCCAACCAGCCATTACACAATGGTAACATACAGAACACTGTCACTCAATACGGTATGAGCCCAGTATCTGCAGTCCAACAACAACAAACTATATATACCGACTCCCCTGTCGACACGGCAGCTTTCCCTTCCTACTACACGCAGGAACCACAGAATTTGACGAACGACATGTCCACCATGGGCTACGACAACACCAATGCAATGCAGTACCAGCAGCACGGCACGTATCCGGCTATGTCGTACCTGACGACTCAACACAACAACTATCAATACCAGAGGCAATAGAACGGGGTTATGGAGCGCGGGGCATCTATTTTGGAATGTGTAGGATGAGATTAGGGAGTATGTGGCGATTTGTTTTCCTGATGATTATGGCTCTTGCTCGATATCCACTATTGCGCGTTGGATCATGTTTCTTCTTCACAGAGGCAGAATGGATCAAGATGGGCATGGAGAAAGCTCATGTCGTTTGCCCTTTAGTTATATTTCCGCATCCAAGGCGCCTTACGTTGTCAGACCTGCACATGACTATCACAATCGCATCAATTCGCAACCTATCACGACGCATTTTCCAATCGCGTTGACTAGATTGTAAACGGATGCATACTCGCAATGATACATGGCCATTGAGCCTTACTTGGTGCCTCGCCGTCGGCAGCTGGCATGTGGCCCGCCCCAAGCGCGATGGAGGACTACGAGCTACAGACGTTGATTGGTCCACAGCTTGAAGGACCACAGCCGGCAAGATTGGTTGCGCGTGGCTGTGTAGAGTCCTCCATTTGGTGGTATTGGTAGCGCAGCTTGGCAGGCGTAGAGGCAGCAACAAAGCAGGCAAAGTGTTTGCCCTGTTGCTCTTCTTCATCCATGGAGGCCGCCCACCATGACCAACGCGGCGTGAAGCAGCGACAGCGACAGCGACAGCGACGACGAGAGAGCCTCATTCCTTGAGCGCGTCCACGGCATCCCGTTTACATTCGCAGTCTTCAAGTCCAGAGGGCTTATCGCGAGCGAAGAGGTGACGTTCATCGTCTGGTCTAGGTTCCCGCGCATAGCCTTCCCTTATCCTACACCGGCAGCCCGTGCGTGGGGACACGAAACCGGAGGACCTCCTCTGTGTGCATTACGGCTACTTTGTTACGCACGTCAGTCTGGCTGTCAGATTTGGGGCGGTGTGCTGCAGCGGAAAGAATACTAATGCAGACACGCGCACTTTCGACGGTCTGCGTACCTTTTGCCAGGCGTAAGGCTGCAGGCTGACGAGTTTGTTGCGAGCAAGAGCATCGGTAGGTTCATGCTGTCTCATCTCATTCTGGCTCTACCACATTCTGCCCTCTTTTGATGGTTAGTGGGATTGTGTTTTCCTTTCCGTCTTTCGCCTTTTTGAAAGACTACGTGGGGCAGAAGCATTGTTGGAGCCTTCGGCATCAGGCTGACCAGACGTAGCGAAACATGTCGCACCCAAGTCGGAGCTTTCCGCCTCCCTTCAGCTTCGTTGTTGAAGAACCTGTACGATCATTCATCACGAAGATCCATCAATAGTCAACTGATTGCTTCAGTATTCTTTCGATGGTCAAGTACCTCAACTGAGCATCAACACCACACAGCCATGGATGTCATCATCAGGGCCACGGAGTGTGCAGCACCAGATGCCCAGTCCATCGGCCTCTATACGGACTGTCGTGACTGCTCCCGATCCAAGGTCGTTCAACCAGTCGAGCTTCCATCAAGCCAACCGATCCCCAATAGGGCATAACATCGATCCCAATCTACCCGACAACCTGTCGCTACTTGCTCCTTCTGGCCATGTCTCTCGACCTAGCTACAGTTTAATTGCGCGCCATTTTCAAGATCAGCCATGGAGCGCAGGTAATTTGAGAAGTTCAGATACTAGCGGCGGTCGCAGTCCGCTTAACCAGCCCGCCGTGCAATATGGGTCCTACCGTGGAGTTCCAAGTCCGGGTTCCGACATCGACAGTAACGTCTTGCCGTCTGATTCAGGCTATCATTCCCAGCCCCCGCAATCTGTCTTCAGCAATGAACCGGGTCAAAGAAGTCAGGATGTACCTTCAAGTATCCCTTTTCCGGATTGTAATCTGAATATCGAGTCTACTCCAAGCGAGGCTCCTGCAATGAGACGGATGACCTCAGATCAGATCTCCCAGATTAGCGGTCGGAGTGAGAAGTCCGGCAAATCACTCCTATGTTACGAGTGCGACGTCGTGTCTAAGTGCAATTCAGACCTGAAGTGCGTGCATGGATCTGCTGTTGATTGTTAAAAGCTAACATGTAATATCAGGAAACACATGCTCAAGCATAAGAAGCCTTTCAAGTGTGACATACCCAATTGCAAGCGAGATGGGCAAGGTTTTACTACCATCAATGATCTTGACAGGCACAAGAAGAGCGTTCATCGGATAGGCTTACGGACGAACAAGTCGTATCAGTGTGCATCGCCAAATTGCAGGAGTAAGGAGAAGATATGGCCACGCCTTGACAACTTCAAGCAACATATCGAACGCCTGCACAAGGACGAAGACGAGGATGCTCTCATTAAAAGGTAACACTGTGCACCACTGCCGCTCAGCATTGGCTGACAGGAGTAGATCTGTGTTTCGCCCCTTGCAGCGGGCATCTATTGGCGAGAGCACCACTGTGGCTCCTATGGATACTAACCTCGCTGTGGCTGGAATGGAGAAGTCGTTCTCAGACAATCCCGCTATGAATGCTGTGCCTGCACTGGACCTGCCTCTAGATCAAAGCGCTCGTCGATGGGCCTCACTGAGAAGAACTCCTAGTGATCTTGCGAAGGATGTTTGCCAATTACCAAGCCATTCCACTGGGTCCGCTGTGGGGGATACCACAGCTGCCTCCCAAGAACTCCAAGGGCCACCATCGTATATCTCTCAACGTGCATCGGGAACAATGACCCGACGAGAATCCCAAATACTTCATGCCAATGCAGAATTACATATTGTGTCAGAACAGCCTGCATTGAAGACGCAAGGGCAAACGGCGCGCCCTTCGCTGTCGAATGCTCCGCAGACTAAGGCCGAGCAGCAAAGATCAACACTTGAAAAGGCTTCGCAGGCTATCACTGGAAAATCCCAGTCCTCATCACCATCCGATCCCGTGAATCTCGAGGACCTGGTCTTGCGCATCCTTCACAAGGCGACTAATTCAGCATTAGCGGAACGGGACGCTAAATCTCCACAGCAAACTCATAATACCCAGGAGTCTCAGAACTGCAATACACCCGTGATTCTTACCCAGCGCGAGGCACTGAAGGCTTCACAGACAATCTCTAACATGATCGGAAAATGGCCGGGGTTTACGTACACGGTGCCGCGTCGCCCCACTCAAGGTTTCATCTCAAATGCGAAGGTCTGTCCGAAATGTGACTACGCGGTAGCTCGCGATTGCGATCTGCGAAAGCACATGAAGCGCCACGAGAAGCTGTATGGCTGTACATATCCCAAATGCCACAAGCGTTTTGGGGCAAAGTCTGACTGGAAGCGCCATGAGAACAGCCAGCACTTCCAGCTCGAGGCGTTTCGCTGTGCGGAAGCAGTAGCGGGACTACATTGTTCCCAAGCGACCTGTGGTCAACACTTCTTCCGAGCCAGGCCATTCGAGGACCATCTTGCCACTCAGCACAAGATGTTGGACCCCGTCCAGTTGAAGGAAAAAGCCAAGTTTTGCAAGATCGGAAAGAACTGCCAAGGAAGCTTCTGGTGTGGCTTCTGTGGCCAAGTCATAGAATTAAAGCAAAAAAGAAACGCAGCATGGGACGAGCGATTTGATCACATCGCTTGTCACTTTGAGAAGGGCAAGAAGAGTATTGACGAATGGATCTGTGTGGAAGAAAACAAAAGAAAGAAACATCTATCTGAAGAGATGGATAGCAACGTCTTGGACGATGAGAATGAGACTGAGAGGGTGGATGTTGATGTAGACGGCGATTTCCCACCGCCGGCGGCGCCAAACGCCCCTGAGGAAGTACCAATGCCGAGGGGTCAGGCTACACCACCACCGCCGCCGCCGCCGCCACAGGTCTTTGCAGAAGGAAACGATAGGAAAAGACAGGCTTCTGCTGACTCTCCAGGCCCTCAAAGACGCATGAAGCGAAGGCAAGCAACGATTATACCAAATAGATACTGTGTAAGTGGACAGAGAACAGGAGTTGGGTGTAGCTAACCTTCGTAGTGCTCATGTTCAAGCGGCCCGTGTGGTGATTGGCAAGCGTCTTGCGCAGACTGCGAACACCAGCTGTGCATTAATTGCACTTTCACCAACGAGTTGTGGATGGAACCAATTTACCAGTAAAGGTTGCGCTTTACTGGGTAGGTTGCTTGAGATGCATAGATGTGCTTTGATTGTGCAAATATCAGCTCCGCGCGAGTCTCAAAAATAGAGTTGCTTATAAACAGGACAATCTTCTCCACTGCCTGTTTCTACTCTTGCTCTAAGATGTTAGCCTTGTTCGGCTTCGGTGATGTGAAGACGTGATGTTGTATGTAACAAGAATATCGGGGGGTATTCATCCCTGCGCGGGTTGCTTGCTTTTAGAAAGCAAGCAAGCTCTACTCAAGTTTGCGACCAGTTCTAGAATCGAGTGAATGTAGGTGCAGCAGGGTAGGGGTGGGTGCGGGTGTTTGGGTGAAAGCCATGGAGGCCGGCGAAACCTAGCGCCGACGTGGAGTTCGCATTCGCAACGTGTGCTCAGTGATGCTAGCTATGAGAAGCTCCGTTGACGCGGCCTTGCGAGCAACACCATTCCCTCTCCACACTCTTTGCTTTTCAACATGGCTGCCGTAGAGGACGGGCAGTTCTTGAAGCAGGCCACGGGCCGGAATACTCGAGGCTTGCTCCGAGTCATCATATTGTGCTTGATTGCGGGTGCAGCTGTGAGCAGCCGTCTGTTCTCGGTGATCCGCTTCGAGAGCATTATCCACGAATGTCAGTAACATGCGGCCATGCTTTGGGGGCAATTGACTAATTCAAGCGTGCAGTCGATCCGTGGTTCAACTTTCGAGCGACGAAATACCTTGTACAGAATGGCTTCTATAGTTTCTGGGACTGGTTCGATGACCGTACGCTCCTCCGCCAGCCAGGCCTCCCTCTGTCCCCTAAACGTGCAGTCGACTAACTTGGGCTTACAGGAACATGGCATCCTCTCGGACGAGTCACTGGCGGCACTCTCTACCCAGGATTGATGGTCACCAGCGGCGTCATCTACCACCTCCTGCGCTTCCTCGCCATGCCTGTCGACATCCGCAACATTTGTGTCCTCCTCGCGCCTGCCTTCTCCGGCCTCACGGCATTCGCTACATACCTCCTAACGTCCGAAATGGCCACCTCGCCCTCCGCCGGCCTGCTCGCCGCAGCCTTCATGGGCATCACACCTGGCTACATCTCGCGCTCGGTGGCAGGAAGTTATGACAACGAGGCCATTGCCATCTTCCTGCTCGTATTCACCTTCTTCCTCTGGATCAAGGCGGTCAAGAATGGATCCATGTTCTGGGGCGCGTTGACCGCGCTCTTCTACGGATACATGGTGTCGGCTTGGGGTGGATACGTCTTCATTACGAACTTGCTGCCTCTGCATGCCTTCGTTTTGATCTGCATGGGGAGGTATAGCCCGAGGCTTTATGTTAGCTACACTTCGTGGTATGCGCTTGGTACGCTTGCGAGTATGCAAATTCCCTTTGTCGGGTTCTTGCCTATCCGCAGTAGCGAGCACATGTCCGCCCTAGGTGTCTTTGGTCTTCTGCAGCTCGTCGCCTTTGTCGACTGGGTTCGCGCGCAGCTCCCGAGCAAGCAGTTCCAAACGCTGCTACGCGCCCTTGTCCTCGTTGTCTTTGTGGTCGCCTTTGGGGGATTGGTGCTGCTAACTGTCACTGGAGTTATCGCGCCCTGGACCGGCCGTTTCTACTCGCTCTGGGACACTGGTTACGCCAAGATTCACATTCCCATCATTGCCTCCGTCTCGGAACATCAGCCTACCGCGTGGCCTGCTTTCTTCTTCGATCTCAGTATGATGATCTGGCTCTTCCCCGCTGGTGTCTACCTCTGTTTCCGCACTTTGACCGATGAGCAAGTTTTCATTGTCATTTATGCTGTGCTTGCTAGCTACTTCGCTGGCGTCATGGTCCGTCTCATGCTCACTTTGACCCCGATTGTCTGCGTCGCATCTGCGATTGCCTTTTCTCAGATTCTAGACACCTATCTGGATGCTAAGACGCCAACAGTCGTGGACAAGGAGGATGGAACTGCGGATGCTGCTAAAGTTGCCGCTGCGGCAGTGCTTCCCGATGGTCTGCGGTCCACCCGAAGGCCTCTTGTGGGCATCTATTCGTACGCGTCCAAGGTTACCGTGGTCGGAGCCTCTCTCGTATACCTCATGCTTTTCGTTCTTCACTGTACGTGGGTGACTTCCAATGCCTACTCTTCGCCCTCGGTTGTGCTTGCATCCAGGCTTCCCGACGGTAGCCAGCACATCATTGATGACTACCGAGAGGCCTACTACTGGCTCAGGCAAAACACACCGCAGAATGCCAAGGTCATGTCCTGGTGGGATTACGGTTATCAGATCGGTGGCATGGCTGACCGCCCGACTCTTGTCGACAACAACACGTGGAACAACACGCACATTGCTACCGTTGGCAAGGCCATGAGCTCGAAGGAGGAGGTCAGCTACCCAATCATGCGCCAGCATGAAGTTGACTACGTCTTGGTGGTATTTGGAGGTCTTCTTGGCTACTCCGGAGATGACATCAACAAGTTCCTCTGGATGGTAAGGATTGCCGAGGGCATTTGGCCAGATGAGGTCAAGGAGCGTAGCTTCTTTACACCACGGGGCGAGTATCGGGTGGATGACGAGGCCACGCCGACGATGAAGGAAAGCTTGATGTACGTATACGTGACGCTTTTGCGTTCTACTGCCACTAACAGCAATCTAGGTACAAGATGTCCTACTACAACTACAACGCGCTATTCCCCGCGGGACAGGCTCAGGATCGTGTCCGTGGCGTCCGATTACCCGCCGAGGGCCCGCAACTCAGCACCATTGAGGAGGCCTTTACCAGCGAGAACTGGATCATCAGGATTTACAAGGTCAAGGACCTTGATAATTTTGGCCGTGACCATCAGAGCGCTGTGGCTTTCGACAGGGGGCACAAGAAGAAGCGGTCGACGAAGAGGAAGGGCCCGAGGGTATTACGAGTGGAGTAGATATTCACGTCTATATGCCGTTTCCCATATAGAGTGTTGAGCCTTTGTAAAAAAATAAAGCCCGATGGGCATGTTTCTGGAACCGGGCGTTTTGGAAGAATAGAAGAAAGTTTACCTCCCATCGTAAGTTGATGTGCCGTGTGCAGTCGCGGTGAGAGCCGTGAATAGATGTGGCGGTCGGCAGGAGGGACGGCTATGGAAACGCGCAGCCACGTCATGCTTTCACTTGGAGTCGTTGTATATCGCCTCTTCTACTTGATTTTCTCTCTTGTCGTCGACCTTGTTTCTTTCTTTCGTCCTATTTGACGCTGTCCACCTCGCGGCTCTTGCTCCTTTGCGCGACCTTGTCGCCTTCTCTTGCCTGACACGTGCCCACGACGAGCTCCACCACAAGCCTTCCTCCACGTACCTCGACTCGAGCTCCTCCGCTCGCACCTACCCACTAACAAGATGGCCAACGAGGAGCAGAGAAGGGCATTTGCGTCGTACATGGGGACCGCGGGTGCGAGCAACGGCCAGTCAATTCCCCAGTATCCGGGCGCCGTCGCCAATCCAGGCAATCCATATACCTTCAACGTGTAGGTTCGAGTTGCAGGCTTGGAGACCAGCGAGTAGCTAACAGCGTGTTCTAGACGTATACTCTGCTCTTCCTTCCTTCCTTCCTTCCTTCCATATTCAAAGACTACGCTGACACACTCGACAGCAGCTTCCACGCCTCGGGGCTCCTCCCACCGCGCCCACTCCTCCGCCCGCTGCGCCGTCTTCGGTCGCTTCATTCCCCAACTACCAGGCTGGTTTTACCCAGGGCGGATACGGTCAGGCTAGCTTCCCTCAACGTCCACCGCCGCTCGGCCAAGCAGCAGCCCCCCAAGATCAACAGCGGATGCCTCCACCAGCGAGACCGCCAGGGTACGTGCAGGTCCAGAGAAACTACAGTGCTCAACCGCCACCTCCACCGGGCTACAACGTGGGCTGGCAGTACACGGATCCAATGGCCGAGCAGAATAGGCGCCTCAGTGGTGCTCCCGCCGGCGCAATGGTCCCAGCCTCTCACAATACCTCTGGGGAGGTTGTAGAGTCCAGATCAAGGCAGACGAATGAATACTACCAGTACCAGCAATATGGGCAGCCCTTGGGGTCTCCAGTACCCCAAGCACCAGCTCTCCAGGAAGAAGAAGTGTCAGTGTCAGTGCCGGTAATGCTCTGCCATACCTGCAGCCATTGCGGTCGTTTGCGCTCAGCAGGCTTTCATCGCAATAACCCAGTCCTCCCAGGCAAACCCCTGGTCTCGACTCCCTGTCGACGATGCAAGAAGAAGATCAAGACTCGACATCGTTCCAAGTTCACTCGTATACGCTCTTGCACCGCCGACGAACCTTGCGATTGGCCTACAGAGTCTCTTCGCATTGACATCGACCACTTTGAGCGCAGGGGCCGGCAACGAGATCGAGACGACGAGTATGTGACGCGAAACCCTCCCAGTCGGGCTCGCATCATTAGGCGAAGCTCCAGCCAGGCACATTTGGGCTTGCGCTCTTTCCAACAACCTCCACGCGAGTTGCAGACTGAGACGAGGGTTCGTGTTTCTTCGTTAAGTCCACGTCGTTCTTCAAGGTATGACGAGGTTTGGCCTTCGCCAGACGTCAACCCCATGAGGCGATCTTCTAACGACGTCTTCTCCGCACCTCCAGAACCGTTTCCAAGTCGTACCTCGAGGACGGACGAGGTATGGCCTCCACCTGATGTTGTCCGTACTCACTCATATAGGAAGGTTGACGGGAACCCACCACTCCGTCGCTCAAGCTCAAGGATCATTGAGCTTAGCCCATCGCCGCCTCCCACACGCACGAGATCTACGAGGGTTTTCTACCGCAGCGACTCACAGGAACATAGTATTAGAAGTCGAAGTGTATCCCCGGTGCGTGTAAGCTTCCGCGAGACACGACGCAACGAGGATACTGAAGCTCGCATCACGGCGCACCCTAGTCCTTACCGGCAAGTGCTACCGGATCATCGCACTCTCTTTAGGGAATCTGATGAAATCCCGAGCAACAATGACTCTGTCCCTCGTCGGTATTTAGAGTCACCTAGCCGCAGCATCCTGAAGCCTGCAGGCATGGATCGCGAGACTTCTTATAGGCGCAGAAATAGTATTCGAGACAGCCAGCAGAGTACCCAGGTTGAAATCGGGGGCCCTCGCGTGCAATTCGCATCGGATCAGAGAACTGATAGAGCAGCCCCTGAAAATGGTGGCAGGACCAGGTATGCGGATGAACACCAATCCAACAGCGAAAACTACGAACATTATCACGAATATTCCCGACATCGACACGTTGATGAGCCTCCACATACACGGCTAGCCGACGACTTTGACAGGCTACGCATCCGACGATCGTCCTTATCACCACGTAGGAACCACGAAGAAGAGATCCGTATCGACCGAGCACGCCGCATCTCTCCTTCGCTTCCTCTTCCTCGACATTACGAAGAAACCCGCGCCCGCCGCAACTCCCCTCTACCCACTCGCAGCTACACACCCCGACCCCCTCCCTCGCCTCCCTCACCAGAGCGCACTCCATATTCTGGCTATCGTCACGTGTCGCGTACGCGGACCATTGAGTGCAACCGTTCTCAACCTCCCCCACCCGATCGCAGTAAGGAAAAATTGCAATTTCCAGAGGACGTTACGGATTCTGATAGTGCCGCTTCTGGAGAAGTCACGGAAGTCAGGAGCTGGAGAGGCATCGATGAAAACGGGCAGCCTGCCACGTTTGTAGAAGAGAAAAAAACAGTGAGGATGATTGAACAGGGGAGTGAGAGGGGAGGAGTAAGGGATTTCAGGCCATTGAGGGAGGGAATCGCGAGCAGGAGTTGGAGGGATGTCTGAGGGGCGTGGATATTGTAACTGTGGTATGTCAGTGGATGTGTAGAAAGATTTGAGTCAAGAGTGATGGGCTTACAACAGCTGGAGGTATGGAGGTTGGGCAATGTGTGGTGAGGCGGTTGGTATGGTTTTAATTCCTACGTGTATGATTATTATGACTTCACAGCCCTATTAAAAACCCGATCAGATTTTGATCACTATTTTCAAACGGAAACCAAATAGATAGAGACACATCTCGACCTATGAGGCATTGGGATGACATAGGCATGAGCACAGAACATGAGATAGACTTTGAAATGTGGGCACATAAGTCTTTTCAGCACGAATTGCCTCCCCAGAGCCTACCTTTTTCAAAGAGTGACCCCATTTGTCGATGTCCAATGCAGTTCAGTGCCTTGGATGTAAAACGCAAATTCTCAACGTAGGCGATTTTATGCATGAAATAAAGATCAAAAATTCATGACCACAAGATGGTCGAGGAAGGATTCAGAATTCCTCATGTGTCCATCTTCGGCAACCTAGACTTTCCTGATCGACGCGAGGGTTTTCCAAAGCGCCTACGCCCTAGTTGAGCTATCGCTGGTTCTGTAAAAGTATTTTGAGTCTGATCGCAGCGACTACATCTCGCCAACCGGTAAGACGACCTTGCACATTCAAATCTAGCTTGCGAGGAATTTTGATAACTCGCATTTGAAATATAGTAATGGCGTTTCAAAAAACCGCGTGTCAAGGAAACCCATAGCGGGAGGCCGTCGTCACAATGAGAAGCTGACAGGGGCAAAATATTCTATAGAGTTTTATATGGACAACAAGATGGGGTATGATCTGGCACGAAGAACAAATGTTCGGGTCATAATTACACGGCTGCATCTGGAAATACGTAGATGAGCTTTAATCTGTCTATGTGTCGAAGAAGAGGTGCTTCGGTACCCGTGTGACTTTGGCGCTAGGCCAGGCCAATGCTGAGCTTCAGTAAGAGGATTAGGGGTGTAGGAAACTTAATGATGCTGGTGAGTAGAAGTAGAACAATGATCCCGGGAACATAATGAGATTTCAAGCGAGAGCTAGCATCGTCTATCGTTCAGAACTCTCTGCCCCCCAAAAAACCGAACATCCCCAAAGAAGTAAATCGTCACCTCACACATCACTATGTCTGTCTACTATGTAGCACGCTCAAGAATAGCGTCTTATTCTCAAGCACACTACATCCAACTATCTCTTGGTTCAAGATCCTTTCTACTTTCAACCTTTCGTTACGTTCTATTTAGCTTCTCGATGTTGAATTAAAAAGGGGAGCAAGTGCCAGATACACGAGCCGAGCCAATATTCTTGCGCGGCCCAAATTCGAAGCAGCGATGGGGAACCTGGTCACGGGGAACGACGAGAGACTGCGCAGAGTTGCAGCCCTGGCCGATGAAGAATTGAACTGGAGGCTATTGTTAATACTGCTATGATCCGCTACAAACTCTCCCCCACCTCACATGTTTTGATTCCTCCCAAGCTCCATAGAAAGTGCTGAGAGGTCGAGGGTTTGGAAGAATACTTACTCTGGCACCCAGCTGGGATATCAATATCCACAGTTCCAGACGCGATTCCCGTCTGGAAGTTCTGGCACTCGCCCGAGTCGTTGATGTTGACGGTGCCAATTCGGTCGCCGTTCTGGCAGCCGCTGTTGCTCCAAATGGCAAACTCAGTTATCGTGGATTGGCGGGGTGTCACGTCCGCGGGGAGGGCGCTGACAACAGTGGCGTAGACGGTGGCGAGGGTGGCAAAAGAGAACTGCATTTTGATGACTGGTGGCTGGGTTCCTAGGAGTGCGAGGGACTTGGACGTGAGTGTGGAAATATTGATCGAAGAGCTGGTGACTGTTGTTATGGAATGGAGGATGGACGACTACATGGCCGAGGAGGTGGCTTTATAGTGCATTCTGGTTGCATAGACCAACTGAGAGTATGTTATACCGTCTGATTGAAGTCCTCAAAGCGAGCACAATATAATCATCATCTTGCAGTTAGTTCTCCGGCACTATGGACATGGTACAGTAAGGCCACGGATCCTACAACGTGTAGTTTCACCATTCACGCCGCGACTTGAAGCTCGGTGAGGTATCACACTTCGTATTCGAGCTGTGACCATGATGATTTCGAGAAAGGGGGTGAAGAAGGATCCAACATATGCTGATGAAAGCTTTGATCATTGGTTATTTTCTGCCAGCGAGATAGCTTAGCCTCTCAGAGGATGCAAGAGCGGCGTATGAGTGTGACCAACACGATGTTGTGTGGCCATGCACGTGAATTGTGCGGAAGCGTCAATGGTTAGTCCCAGCGTTCGATCCTATTATCGCATTTCAGACAAACTGCTGACTGCAGATTAGTCACAATTGTCTGGCGGTCATGTCGGCGGGCGAGCAAACATGAGTGGAGTGAATCTGTACAGCAATTATGTGTCGTATAGACTACTAGAATGCACAGCACCTTTATTCATCTTATTTTCTAGGAGCACGCTCATAACCAGACGTGACTCCTCAAGATGTGGTCTCTAGCAATTTAGAGGGCTTCACGAACGCTCATCGCCGCTTGCGGGCCGTCACGGTACCACATATCGCCTTGTAGTGACCGGGGAGACGGGCAGAGGTCGTAAGCTGCAGAATACGAAGATACGCCGTGGCCCGAGCCCATGGGGGCACGTAAGACGGCGAAGGAATTAACCGAAGCAAAAAGTAGCTCGATGAACCCATAGCTGCTATAATTGACTGCACGGGACGTGTTAGGATCTCCGTGCAGGAAAGACACATATGCATACTGCATCCAAGGGCTAACCTGATCTGAGGATAGATAGTTGTGTGGTGGAAAAAGAAAGAGAGGAATATGGGAAATCTGTTCCCAACGTAAGCTCGAGAGAAGGACCTGAAATATGAGAGGCACGGATCGCTCAGACGGACCATAGAATTGGCCGTAATTTACTGCCCTAGGCAAACGCGGAATGAAATGAAAGGAGCAGAAACAGCGTACCTCGGCCAAGCACTATATGATATATGGACTTAGCTCGAACAATAGAAGCGAGTGTAAAGAATGAAGACTATAGCTCAAACAATCGATGTCCTGTCTGCTCGACCAGGTTGACCTAAAGACTCAATTGGTTCAGCAGAACATATACAAGGGCGAATCAGTTCTACCTAGCGCTTCTCCTATATACCCTATTTGTGAGAACCAAGGTGGTAGAATAGCGTGGTGGTTTGCTAACTGCTATCAAGCCTCCATAGATGACTGTAGGTCCACAGAAATAATTTTGGGGTGAATCGCCCCAAGGTAAATTCGAGCGTGGTTTGTCGATGCAAAACGTCGCTTGGTTGAAAGCGTATTGTTCATGATGATCCCCCCTAAAGATTGTCTTGACATGACTTCAACCGATTGACGTCCATCAGTTCTACAACTTCCCATTCCCAATATTTGATCGTGAAGGCGTGTGGAATTATGGACCGCAAGCCAGTCATTGGGGCTGTACCCGTATGTGACCATGGCGTCTAGAGATTCCCGCCTCAAGGTGTAAATAACCGGTAAGACGCTCTTTCCTTCTATAACATCCTGGTTGACATATATGATGGGTTTAACGCCACGATTGGTGTAGCTCGTATTGATCGCTAGATGTAGTGAGGAAGGCAGGCTAAAAGAACACGAGAGGTGGATCAGGAGCGCCTCACAGTAAAGCACGTACGCTAGCGTCTGTTGGTGATTTGGCCAACCAAGCTCCAATCGGGAGGCAGGACGACTTTCATTCGATTCTCACCTGGAAAGCTTATTCGCTTACATGGTGTCTAATGAACTAAACACCGAAGTCTCCATAGGAGTTCATCGAGGCGGAGATAGTCCGCATGCGAAAACGCCGTAAAGATGAGAATATGCCGCCCATCATGTCATGCCCCATGGTTCTAGCACGCGACCCCCTGACAATGCAAAGGGGATGGTAAATACAGAAACGCCATTCGCTCCATAACACGGACTCTTAGCGGAGGAGGCCATGTGTTCAACGGGTATAAACGCCGGCTGTACAATGCACAGAAATGAAAGAAATCCTCCGTCAAGGTCACCGTCCGAACAGGCCATTGCCAACGCTTAACGAGCCGAGACCGCTACGCTGCGTTAATGGCACTCGGGCTGCGTCGGGTCGACCGGGACCGGGTGTACTAGTAGGAGCTGTAGTTGGACCTGAGCTGAGTAGCCGGTTACTACCACCACCCCAATGTTGACCGCCTAGCTCATCTGGCTGCATCGCGGGACTGGACAATATCCCGTAATTCTCCCTTCCTAACATTCCAGGATTTCGAGGGTTAGAGCCGGGCGTATCTGTGTACGCTGCGTGATCGTTCTGAGGCCGCTTCATCTGTAGGACCGGCGACTCTGATTCACCTATCCGACCATTGATGTTATGGGCTTTGGAAGACGGAGGATTTGAGGTCGCTTCAATTGTGGAAACCGAACCATTCGGAGCAGTTAGGTCAACCACGCGACGCTGGCCAGCTGGTGTCTGATAGCTTGGCACGCGTGATGGTCCAGAAGTGTAACGTGTTTCCTGATGGGCAGGGTGCCTTGGATTTGCCCAAGGTGTACTTTCTAGAAACTGCTCTTCTGCAGCAGCTTCATCCGCTGTAGTCGTCCGGTTGTACGTGCGGAATGAAGGAGGAGGCGCTGGAGCACGCGTCGCGATCTGCAGCGCCGAATCAGCTGCTATTTCTGTAGCAGATGCGTTCAGCAACTCACCTTCATGGCTCGAAGATCCTCATCAATCTCTGAAGGCCGTGCAGCACTGATATCTGGTGCTGCAGGGAAACCAACATATTTCGCCACTCCAGACAAGATGGAGACCTCGAGATTATATGCTGTTTGGTGTCTTATCTGATCGGACCGCTTCTCTGGAAGCTGGATCATGTATTCGGTTTCGTCGCAACCGAGCTGTCGTCTTCCTCGCTGCAGTTCGAACACGCGCTGGTTGCACTCCTCGAGGATCTCCTCGCGCACATGCCGCACTGACTGGAAATACTGGCTATGCATCTGGTGTCGCTCTGCTGTCGTTATTGTCTCAAGGTTCCTCTGCTTATAGTCGAGTAATCTTGTCTCGTACGCGATCTTATCGGCTCGTCGGTCGTCTACGCACTTGATCATGGCGAGATACTCAGGGTGGACACAGTTCGGCTGCTTGAGTAGTTCGAGCTCTCGTTCGAGTTGCGTAATCTGTTCGTCGCATAACCTATCTACAGTCAGCTATTGTTGCGTGAGCGTCTGCTGCGTACAATGCACTCACTTTTCCCGGAAAACCTTGAACTTCTTTTCGATCTCCGCAAGCTTGTCGATCGCGAATTTCTTCTTGGAGACTTCCTCGTCAAGGCCTGTACTGTCCTCTTCATCGTTCTCGCCCTCACCTTCGCCCTCGTGGGCCTCAAGACCCACGAACGGCTCGCTGTAGGCATAGCTGGGATCCTCTAATTTCCGCTTCCCTCGTCTGCCGCCCTTTCGGGGTTTCGTGTGTTTCGCAACGGTCGCCATTTCGCTGACGGTTTCCGCTGCAATATTGGCCTGTCGCTCTTCGAGATCCATTTCTTCCTGCGCGAGCTGTGATAAACGCTCCTCAGCATTTTCAAGCTCCTCGTCTGCATCTATTTGTTCCAAACTGCCGACGATAGGATCGACTGAGCCATTGACAGTCTTCCCAGTTCCGCTTCGTTTCCGTGCGGGCTCGTCGTCCTCGTCGTCAACAGGGCTTCCTTCAGCACTTGTTCTCTTCCTTTTCTTGCCCGCATATTCCAGGCTCGCTGCTTCTGAAGCTGCGACGAGCGATAGGGAGTGTAGGGGGTTTTTCGCTTCAGCGGCTTCGTCCCTAGTCGCTTCATTATTGATGACAGAGGGTGTGGGCGGGGCAGAATCTTCTTGTTCTACTGTGTTCGAGTGTGCCAGCTTGCTCGGCGTCCTCGTGTATGGTGGTTCAGACAACAATGACGTATCTGTGGCCGTGCGCGTGAGTTTTCGTGGCGTGTTCTCTAATCGCTCGGTCTCAGCCTCAGAATCATCCTCGTCCAAGTCCAATGCTGTGGTAGGCCGCGGTGTGGGCTCAGACTGATCATCGGAAGCATCTCCAATCTCGCTCAAGCTGCTGGACCTATTGTCTGCAAGGTCGTCGAAGCCAGAAGTTGCCGCGTCAACTGCTAGTGCTTGCGCAAGGATTATCGTCGGAGCTGACATTGTACTAAGCATTGCGGCAGCAATCGCTGTGGCTTCCTCGCCGGTTGCTGTTGCCGGTTGCGCTGGTGCAGACGGGTGTGAGAGGGTGGACGTAGAAGAGGGATCGGGATAACTACTCGTGAGCGTAGGATTCGCACCTGTACAGAAATAAAGTAGTTAGCTTTAAGCCTGAGGCGGACAGTATTGATAGCTAAGGTGGAATTGTGAGGAGGTTCGCAACTCTAGTGTCGCCTCGGTTGACGCAACAGCGCAACAGCCAACGTCAAAGAGCCAGTGAAGTATTCGTGACTCGCAAGGCCCTCAACTGAAAGACGACCAAGCTCCTAACATCAATAAAAAGGTACGTACTGTTTGGCTGTAAACTATCGTCGCGAGGGTCGGGAGCTGTTCTCGATGTGCTCCGTCTCGCCTCGTGTGCGCTCATGGTGCGCCCCGGCAGGAGAGTGCGTCAGCTCGCGGCCAATGTTGGGTATAGCAATTGTAGATAATATGGTAGGAGTCGGCGATGCTTGAGAGCTACTATGGGAGGTGGCGGGTGCTGGGTTTGGAGCGAGGTCAAAAACGCTTCTGCCGCTGCGAAAGACGCGGGCGCCGGGGGTGGGTATAGGCACGGTTCTGGCAAGAGCGGTCCGGTGACAGCCCCGGGAAGTGTGCACGAGTGTGTATGCAAACGCGGGGCAGCGTGAAGCATGAGCGTGTTGGCAGACAGAGCGGAGAAGCAGCTAGGATGGGAGGTGTGAACTGCGCTCAGAAGCGGAAGCGGGTCGACTGCTGGAGGCCCTGAGAGGCCTGCGAATGACCGACTGCGATCCATCTGCCAGTCTCTCACCGCCCGCCGCGGGCCGTCGTTCTGCCGGACAAAGTGTTCCCACTTGGGCCTAGCGCAATGGCACACCGTGAGTGGTCAACTGGTGCGAGGGTCCACCAAAAACTTTCTGACAAGCTTGCTGCCGACAACCATCTAATTTGTCGCCATGGCCAAATCCAAAGACAAACACTCTGCGAAACCAGAGACGCAGCAGAAGAACGATAAGTCATTCATCAAAGTTGACAAGAAGGCGTTTGACCCTACGCTATCATCGCTGTTTGCGAGCAGTGTGCGTTTATCTCACTCCCGGCCATTTACCGCGATTGCTAACTGAATGCGTAGGCAGGTCCAGTGCAGGCGCCTCCAAAGTCACGATATCAAGATCGTATACAAAAGCATTCGGCCGAAGACGCGAGCGAGGCAGATGATGAAGTACTCTCAGAATTGGAAAGTGAGGCTTCAGATACCGAAGCAGACGGCGAGGATGATCATGACAGGGAAGACTCCTCCGTAGCCAGCGATGCTTCGTCCGAGGACGAATCAGAAGCACACCAGTCTGAGAATGAGGTAGTGCTCGCCAGGTTGAGAGAGTCGGCTTTGAGTGGGGCGCAAGAAAAGCCAAACAAGAAGCGCAAGCGGGGCGACAAAGAGGAGATCGAGGACACCTACATGCGCAAGCTTGCCCTCGAGGAAGAGAAGGAGGAGGAGCAGCGACAAAAGAAGCGCAAGTCTGCAAAGGCTGCCGAGGAGGACGAGGCTTCAGACAAGGCAGCGCATGAAGAGGTAGACTTTGCGCCCCCCACGCACGAGTCGCTCGCGGAGACGACGGACAAAGATGCATCAGAGCTGGAGAAGGCTGCCCGCACCGTCTTCCTTGGCAACGTGTCCACTGAATGCATAAGCTCCAAATCCGCCGAGAAAGCTCTCAAAAAGCACCTTGAGTCCTTCATCTCTGATTTGGCAGACAACAAGCCCCCTCACAAAATTGAGTCGATACGCTTTCGCTCCACAGCGTTTGCCAGCGCTTTGCCAAAGCGCGCTGCTTTCGCAAAGAAGGAGATTATGGACTCGACGACGAAGAGCACACACGCCTATGCCGTATACACGACCAAGGTTGCTGCACGAGAGGCAGTGAAGCGACTGAATGGAAGCCTTCTTCTCAAACGTCACCTGCACGTCGACTCCGTTGCCCACCCAATGAAAGTCGACCACCGCCGTTGCGTCTTTGTAGGCAATCTACCCTTTGTAGATGACGAGAGTCAGACTCCCAACGAAGACGGGTCAGAGAGGAAGAAGAAAGCTGCGTCTGACGTCGAAGAAGGTCTTTGGGTGCACTTCGCCAAAGCAGGCAAGATAGAGAGCGTCCGCGTAGTTCGCGATGCTAAGACGAGGGTTGGGAAAGGATTTGCTTATGTTCAGTTTGTGGATGAGAACGGCGTCGAAGGAGCTCTTCAACTCAACGAGAAGAAATATCCGCCTATGCTCCCGCGTATACTTCGTGTAACACGGTGTAAAGCAGAGAAGAAGAACAAGGACAAACCGCGCGGTCCGCCACCGTCCAAGTCACCCAAAACCAACGGCAAGGCAGGATATGCGCCGAAGATGACCGAGGAGCAGAAGTCGATGCAAGGCCGTGCACGGTCGATGTTGGGTAAAGTGGCCAAGGCGCAGACGAAAGAGGCATTTGTATTCGAGGGCCACAGGGCCAGTGAGAAGCAGGGGAAGAGTGGCTTGAAATTCAAGGGGAGTGGAGGAAAGCAAAAGGGTCCAAATGGACGGAAGAGTAGGAGTTCTGCGTGGAAGAAGACGGGTGCGAAGAAGTAGGAGTAGTAGTCGCATTATGTAGTCACGCACGCCGAATTACTGTCAGTACAAGTCCCCAAAGAAACATACTATGGACTTTGCTATGGCCCCTCGCCCATGGACAATGTCGTAACATGTACATGCGCGTGCACATGACACTTGATTACAGCCTCCCGATAAGTTTCACTATCCAAGGGATCTGTAATAGTGATGGCGGACAGATTCAATTGTACCTTGGGTATAGGAAGAGAGCAGAATACCGGATAGTAGGTTTCGTGGTGTTTTGCTCCATGGCTATGCTGCGTGTCGTCAGGTGAAAGTATGGTATGGCTATCATGGGTAATCTGAAGAACGATGTTGATGTTACTTCCGTGTTTGACCTAAAGAGGAAGGCGGAACGGAGTCGCGACCATGTACCGGAGGACGTGAGGGGATCTGCAAGACGGAAGATGTAACCTAATTTGATTAATGCGATGAGCAATCGACGCTGATACGCCAGGTGCGACGTAGAGTTAGCGAGATGTCTAGCCGAGCTTCGGTCGGTACTCTTGGGTACATTCTGGTACTTGGGATTTGGCATGGTTATTAGGCAGTCATGTGATGGTAGAAAAGTGAGGCATCCACTTGTCATGATTGATGCTGAGAAGAAGAAGAAGAAGGGTGGTTGGAGTGGTTCACTCCATTCGCAAAACTACCGTACTAGTTAATTTTATTACCTGCTTGAATACCAGAGAAACGCCATTTGGACAGGTTCGACCTGGCATTAGCTATTTGGCGAAGATCAACTGGAGTTTGGCACAAACCAGCACGAGGACTAGCATTTGCCTGAGTTGAGCAAGCCATGCCATCTGAGGTCGGCGGCGCTCCGTCGCTCGTCAAAAAGAGCGCACACTTTCAGCCGCCGGACAAGGCGCGACTTTAGGAAAATGCACCGATTATCCCTCCCTACTATCATTCAAAAGGTTGTGTGACCTCACAAGCCGGCCGAACCGAACTGACGGGCTCGAGGTGTGGGAGGATAAGATGACGGTGGAGAAGAAATTGTCGGAGGCTAGTCCTGTGGTCAACTGCTTTGGGACATATGGGACATGCGGTTGTCGTCGATGGTAGAGACGCGAAGTCGAGCCAGCAGTACAGCTTTTCTGTCGCTGAGGCCTTGACTAGGCGACGTGCTGACGTTATCTGGTGGCTCTGAGACGCGGACGAGACAGCCGCTAGGCCAATGGATGCAGGAAAGGAAAACACGGTTGCTCGTTGGCTGAGTGTGAAACACACGGTGCGGACAGAGCATAGAGGCACTTCCGATCACGCAGGCTGAAGGCATACAGGGTGCTAGGTGCGACTGTGACGGACCAAGTTTGCTATCTCGCGGCAAGCTGTGCACACTGTTGAGACAGCCTGGGGGCGCAGCAATTTCAGCTGCTTCGGCCAATTACCAAGCCGTGCCAGCAGAAGAGGGCGCACGGGCGGAAAAGTGCGCCATCACGTTGGCTAGGCGCCGGGAATTGTTGGGCCAGTGTGATTGTGATTTGCCAGTCATGTGCAATATGTCGGCTCTCGGGTGGTGTGCAGGTGCAGCACTGCAGCACTGGACAGGACGACAACGTGTGCGGGTTTGATGATGAGAAGAGGGTGCCAGCGGCGGAAAGGTGCGGGTGGGCAAGTGGAAGGTGCGCCTCCCCAGCTCCTTCCCACACAGCTCACCGCTGCTGCCCGCTTTGCTTTTGCGGACGTCATCGAGCCTTTCCCAGCCTCGGGCACGGTAACCGACGACAACAGGCCCTTTTTTTCCCTGTTGCTGAAAGGTGCGGCGAGCGTACCAAGTCGTATATGAATCTGGGGACAGCATCTATAGTAGCGCGTTTGTTTTGGTATCCATATAGATAATAGTAGATGGTATAATAGTCCCCGGAAACCGCCAAAAGGTATTTATTGCGCAGGCAAGCGATTGGGCGGCCACGCAAACCTTGGAACCTTGGAAAGTTACCCCCCAGCGTGGCTGACCTATCCCTGTTTTGGGCCGTGCCTCTATTTCACCGAATCGAGGACAAGAACCCCGCCGTTCGCTGTTTTCCCTAATAAACTACCAATCCCGCATCTTCTTTTCCTCTCCAATCATCTGCACCACAGCTATACCTGAATACCTAAACTAGCCCATAGCCACACACGCCAAACGTCGACGGCTACTTGGGTGCACTGCTTATTAGGCGCATCCACACAGCGTGCAGCTCGCGCACAGCTGCCCATTGCCAGGTATTTCACACGCGCCAGTGAGACAAGAACCTCCATCAAATCAACGCGAGTCGCCATCCTCACCACCACCAAAAAAAAATCTCGTGACCCAACTTTGCTGCGGCCTGTCGCGTCGGTAAGTCCATCATCTTCAATATCCTCTCGTCGCCGCTTGGATCAGTCCAAAACGCCTTGCACATACATGCCTTTGTCTCTCCCGCCTGGTTCCGTCTTCGCCCGTCGCCGCGCGCCGCCCACCATGTTGCTGTGCGCCTCGAGCGCTTGTACTCGGTCGGGCGCGCTCTCGCGACCATTTCCCAATCTTCTCTTGCTCACAATGCTGCATCAGGAACGGGAACACCCGGCTCATCAAGACCAAAAGCAAAAGAGCCATCTTGTATCGCATACGCTGCCGCTTGCCTAGGCCTCGTTGCTGCCAGAACTGTCAGCTGCGCGCCACGACAACAAGTTGCTTGCGCTGTCGCGGCTTGCATCCCCCCCCCCCCCTTGGCTTCTTCGTAGAGCCGCCGCCGTACAAGCACCGTCACCCTGACGGCGCAGCAACCGACAGAGCGCGCAATTGCGACGTGCATGTGCCGCCGTTGATCAAAGTCGGTAAGTGTGCTCATGGGCCTGCATGAACCTGCATTGCCAACGCATCACCTCCAATCGCCCGCCCGCCAGCACATGCCCACCCTCGACCTCCTCCAATTGCTTCAACATGCGCGTCTGAAACTAGCTGACGGTTACTCTTAACAGTGTAGACAATTCTCTGCTTCATTCCTGACTGGTGATCTCCTGCAACGGCTCATTCCCCACACGGCGCGGGCCTCTAGACTGCGTCTTCCTCCTCGCCAACCCCCTCTATTCTTCTGTGCGAGAGCACCGCCCCAGCATCTGCCTCTGCACCCAATCGCTACCGTTGCGCCTCAAGTCTCGCGCTGAGGCTACAACCGTGCACTTCTCTAGCGATTTCGCCTCATAAGCGTGGCCATTGACAACGCATCAAGCATCGGCCCTGCCGCGACGTGACCTAGCCTGTGCTTGCGTGCCTAGACACAGTGCTCCTCCCGATATCTCACCCTCGATCAGCAAACAGCATCACGGTCGAGCATCCTTTTAATCGTCTGGCGCACCGAGAGACCAGCCATCTAGCACCTCAACTCGCCGCAATACTCCTTCCCTCGTAAGCTCCATCCCCCACGCATGTTTGGAACGCGCATCATTGGCCGCATGCTAATCTCGGCTCAGCTCCAGGCTACAGCTCTTGACCAGTCGCCGCGCATCTACTCTACAAGTCGCGTCTGCCGTCGACCCAGTCGCAATCCTCACCACGATCCTCCGTCCCAATCACCACGCTCGCGCAAATCCTGCAACGGAGGCTCATTTCAGCGCAACACGAAGGCTTCCACGAGGACCGATACAGTGACCCGGGTCTGTGCTCATCAGTGGCGCATCTGGGGTAATACTCGAGACAACGCCGCCTCAGGTCGCGTACAGCAAGCTTGTCTCTGTGCACCCAACTGTTCCATACCCCCAACATACCTAACATGACCGACTACGCACAATTCCAACAGTCTCACCATGGGCATGCCCCCGGACACCTGCAAAACTATGGTGGAGCACCAAACCCCGCCGCGGGAAACCCATCAATAACTTCTCCGACACAACAACAGATGCAGTATCAACAAACGTCACCAATACTTCCGTCACAAGGCTACAATCATGGCGGCGCACCAAATCCACAGCACCATCAGCAAATGGGCTATGCACAGCAAGGATACATTCCAAACATGCACCAACAGTACATGTCACCAACGCAAGCAGCTGCTATGGCGACAGCAGCCGCAGCAGGTCCAGCGGCGGGATACTATGACCAAAATGCGATTCCAGGACAGCTGGCACAGGACCCGAGGGCCTCACCACGTATGTCTGGGGGACCAATGAAGGGTGACGGACGCGTCGCCCCTCGATCGCCCACTGCTGTTTCCAATGCCATGAACAGCGCGCTCCCATCGCAGGTTCAGATGACCCCAGGTCAAGCAATGCAGCAGCGGCGGATGAGTACTCAGATCAGCAGCCCGGCGATGCAACAGCCACAGCCCGTCATGAGCCACGTTGGCCCCAGACCATCCGTTCCGCCACAGATGACTCAACAACCACCTCAGCATCAGCAATCCCCTGAACTAGTATCCGGTGCGCAAGCAGAGGAGGCACCTCTCTATGTCAACGCCAAGCAATTCCATCGCATCCTGAAGAGGCGTCTCGCAAGACAGAAGCTTGAAGACGCTCTACGACTGACCTCCAAGGGACGGAAGCCATACTTGCACGAATCTAGACATAACCATGCCATGCGTCGCCCACGTGGGCCTGGTGGTCGATTCTTGACCGCTGAAGAGGTGGCTGCTATGGACGCTCAGAAGGGTGGCGAGGCTGAAGACGGCAACAAGGAAAATGCCTCCTTGCCCATAAAAGCGACTACCAGCTCTGGACCCAAAAGAAAGGCATCTACCACCCATCTGAAAGGAACACCCAACAACAAGAAGAACAAGGCAGGTGTTGCGCAACGGCAAAGCACAAGTGAGGAGGATGAGGACGAGGAAGACGATGATGCTGAAGATGATGGTTGAACAATACACGTCCTCACTCCACTCTTCGCTTGGGCTATGCGGCCTCTATACCTTTTAATCTTGACTTTTGATCTTTTCAAGAGCTGCCTTTTGATTTTCATGAATTACGAAGCGAGTGCTTTTGGGATTTCGGTTGGCTTTTGCATGTTACCCCTGTTGTCACACTATCAACACTTTACACCACTAAATTGTCTTAGCGAAGGATTGGTGGAATCAGGTATACATACGGTTGGACGGTCGGAGCAACGGCACTCACTCATCCAAGATGAGAAACCTGTGTCAACACGGGGAGGAAAGGATTTGTTGCTTCATTTCACCCCAGTGTTGGACTTTGTTATCTTTCCTTGTCTTTCAACCCAGTCATTCACAAATACCCACATTCGCTACATGGCTTTGGCAGGATGCCCGTTTGCCCATCCCCACTGGCTGGGATAGCCAGTGGTTTACACTAGAAAGGTTCTTCCTTCATCGGACGAAAATCGATACCACCTTACTTGCTCGATACGTGTCTCCCTTCGCTATCATTCTCTCCATTTGCAAGCTAGTCAAGTCCCATACAATTCGGACGAAACGCCTAGAGCTGAATAGATGTGCATTTGTTCCATGATTACATTTTTCCTTGAGTCCAAGCAGTAGTATTGGTCATCACTCGTAATCCGGTGCGGAATTACGCCTTGCCTCGCTAACGGCAAGTGGGAAGTTCTACACGAATCGCGGAGCCTCAGCATGCCGAAACTAGGCACACTTTCAAGTCATCTACGATAGGCGTTCTGGCCGCTTCCATGCATGAATCTCACAAATAACGCGCTTCTCTTATGTCTACCCCCAGGTTGCTCATTCTCTCACCCCTCAATTCGCCGGCAAAATGATGAAAACCCCTCCTAACCAAAGCTCATTCGGCGAGTCGATCCAAGAGGTGCAAGGCGATGAACAAGCTGCCAGTGTTACTGGAGAACGAGATCTCGTCGAGGAGGAGTGGGAAAATAAAATCAGACTAAAGGTTGATTTGCGCCTGTGCAGTATCGCTGGCATTCTGTGCAGTCTAAATTTGCTCGATAGTGGGGTCATCTCTTCCGCTTCAGTTACCTCGATGCTCAGCGATCTGGAACTCAACGTTGGCAATAGATATTCAGTCTCCATCTTCATCTTCACCATCGCCTCTATTGCCTTCCAGTTACCGTCTACAATCGCGGTTAGGATCTTTGGACCGAGAATCTGGTTTGCGTTCATTACATTCTGTTTCGGCATTATTACACTAAGTACTGCTTTTGTGCAGACATGGCGGCAGATGATTGCTCTAAGAATCCTACTCGGTATTACTATGTCGGGCGTGTACCCAGGGCTGACCTATTTGGTTTCTACTTGGTACACGCGCAAAGAGCAACAGCTTCGCTTTGCACTCTTACAGAGCGGAGAGGTCATTGTGCTGGCTACGGGAAGCATTGTCAACTTTGGCCTCAACCAACTTGATGGAAAATACCTCAAAGGCTGGCAGTGGATGTTCGTAGTCCAAGGGTCCATTACAGCATTTGTCGGCATAGTCACATACTGGTGGATGGTAGACTTTCCAGAGAACAGCCACACATCATGGAACTTCCTCACACCCCACGAAAGCGCCCTCGCCTCTTCGCGCATCGAGAAGGACCGCGGCGACGTACAGCCCGATCCTTTCACCTGGACTAAAGTTTTCATCCACGCCAAAGACACCAAAGTCTATGGTTTCTGTGGTCTCTACTTCCTGCAGAACCTCGTCTCAACATCCCTCTCCTACTTCCTGCCCATAATCCTTCGGTCCGGCATGGGCTTCAGCTCCAACAAGAGTATACTTCTCTCCGCACCACCATACTACTACGCTGTTTTGCCCGCCATCCTCTCCTCCCTCATCGGCGACAAGTTCCAACTTCGGGGACCCATCATAGTGTTCAACAGCATATGTCTGATTGTGGGCTTCTGCATGCTTGGATTTTGTGACCAAGTCACTGTGAGATATGTTGGCACATATCTGGCTACGGGAGCCTATGTGGCAAACTGGGCGGCTATGGCGACGTATCAGGCGAATAACATTGTTGGGCAGTGGAAGAGAGTTTTCACAGCAGCGGCAATCACCGCGTTCAATGGAGCGGGAGGCATTGCGGGGAGTTTTATCGTGAGACAGCCAGAGTCTCCCAGATATATGACGGCCATCTGGGTGTCGATAGGGCAAGTACATGGAGTTTCCTGCGGAAGATGGGGAATGAGGCTAACAGATGAATTAGATCGCACATGATGATTATTGGAGTGATTGGTCTGTTCTCAGTATACTTCTACATGGCGAACCAGCGACAGAGGACAGGGAAGAGAGTATTAGAAGGTACCAAGGGCTTTAGGTTCACGTATTGAGGGTTATCGTGAAGCCACCGAGTTTCAATTGAATTGATTGATGTCCTCCTGCCCTTGATCAGCTCATGGGAAAACCTGGGAGCCATTGTGAAGTAACCACATGTGGTTGATAGATGTTATAACAACAGATCAAGGTGGACATGACGAGACGAATTGCCTTTTGGTGAGCAGCAAGAGGGAATGACTCTGATCTAGGCCCATATAGCACCATGTCAAACGAGGAAATGGAAGAGAAGGCTGCACGGAAGAAGCGCGTTGACGTCGTTGTGGACCCAGCTCGGCGGCAGCCCGAGGCGCCTGAGGCTAGCGCACTGAGCCGCCTCTCTCCAGCTTCATCGGAGATGAGCAATCTGTCTCACCTCTCGCGGCTGTTGCAGCACGAGCATCCCCGCAACCTGCGTTTGATTTCCTCCAGCAACACCATCCTTAGCCGTTCCTTGTGGAGTCTTGGTGCCCCAGCAGCTGGCCGCTTGTCCGGGCAGTGAGTGTGGAGCAGCTCTCTCTCCTTGCCAACCCCTCGAAACGGCAGCAGCATCCCCGTCGCTCTCCGCCCAGCGTATGCGCATCGGTGCACGCCAGTAACAGCTGCAATCCCCCCTCCCCATACCATAGCAACGCGCTCCGTGAGGGTACGCCCCGCCGCCAGCCGACACAATGGTGTTCCTAGGCATATACCGCGCCATCTACGACTATGAGCCCCAGAGCAGCAATGAGATTGCCCTGAATGAGGGTGACATCTTGATGGTGCTAGAGAAGTCAACGGACGACGACTGGTGGAAGGCGAAGAAGAAGGGCCATGACGAGGACGAGGAGGAACCCGAAGGCCTAATTCCTAATAATTACATCCAAGAGGTACGCTACCAATCGTTCGCCATCCTCGCCTTGTCCCACCAGCCTTTCCCACCTACCCATATACATCCATAGCTCTCCGGCTGACCATCTATACTAGGCCGGGCCCATCTCGCAAGCCAAAGCCCTCTACGACTACGCCCGCCAGACCGACGAAGAGCTCTCCTTCAAGGAGGATGCCATTCTAGACGTCTATGACACCACAGACCCAGACTGGACATTGGTAGGGGTGGAGAGTGACTACGGCTTCGCTCCAGCAAACTACATTGAGCTCATCAAGGGTGGGCCAAGTGCAGCAGCCCCGGCAGCAGCATCGCCCGCTCTACCTACCCGCCCGTCCATGCCGCCAGCTCCCGATTCTGATGACGAACAGCAACCTCCAACCCCAGAAAGCCCTCCCCATCAGAGCCCTGCTGCCGCGCTTGCTGGTATCATCCAGAAGAAATCCGAGCAAACTGCTGCTCCGCGATCCACTATTTCCCCCCCGCCCAATGTGAGCGCGCCTGCTCGACGACGCGTACAATTCACACCCGACGAGTCTGATGAGGAAACGCCAGCTCCTCGTCTCCCACAGCGACCACCGTCCGACTCCTTCTCACCTCCTCCTACTCAATATGCCCACGCGCGGTCCCCATCACCACGGGTCAGATCGCCTCCAGCTCCAAGTGTTGCATTCGATCACTATGATCACGATATACCTGATACGCCTGTTTCGGGTGGAGGGTATCATTTATACAACATCTACGAGTACCTAACACAGCCTGGCAAGAATAAGAAGATGCCCATGACTCTAGGCATCAACATCCCGAAAGGCATGATTATGATCGCACCGGAAAAGTCACGAGACGGGCCTCAGCAAGAATGGAGTGCTGATAAGATGGAATACTACTCACAGGAAGGCAAACATATCTTCATGGAGCTAAAGCAGCCAAGCAAGAGCGTGGATTTCCACTGCGGAGCGAAAGATACCGCGACAGAGATCATGTCGGCCCTGGGTGAGCTTGCAGGAGCTGCCAAGGGAGTAGGGTTACGCGAGGTGCTTGCTGCTGGCTCTAGACACTCGAATGTGCAGAAGAAGGGCGTCATGCAGTTTGATTTCATGGCCCAGGGCGACGACGAGGTCACTGTTGGACTCGGTGATGAAATCTTGGTTCTCGACGATTCAGCGAGTGACGAGTGGTGGAAAGTCAGGCGACTCAAAAATGGCAAAGAGGGTGTCGTACCAGCTAACTACGTTGAGATAACAGAAACCGTCCCCATCTCTACTCCTGCGTCCACTGTCGCTCGATCAGGGACGAATGCCGGTCGGTCCATAGTCGATCAGAACAGAAGGGAAGAAGAAGAGCTTGCTCGTCAGGCCTCACGACGGAAGAGGCCGGAAAGTGAGGCGAGAAATGATCAGGTAGGCCCTGGCCTGCATTTGCCTTCGCGTAATTCTAGCCTCATGCATGCAAATGTTGACCATCGTCGTACTTCACAGAGATCTTCGAACAAGCGCGAAAGCTCCACCAAGGACTCGAGTTCAAAGTCCTCGTCCAAGCCGAGTCAGTATCCCATAAACTCTCTTTTGCTCGTCTCTCAACCCATCCTGTATCTTTTCAATGGACATTACGACATGTTCCGGGCATTGTCTGGTTCCAGTTCATTCATCTTACAACGCCCTGCTTTCGTTTGCATGTGAGAAAGCTTGCTGATATGAAGTTATAGATTCTGCAAAAATACGCACCTGGACCGATCGGTCTGGTTCTTTCAAGGTGGAAGCAGAATTCATTCTCATCAAAGATGGCAAGATCCACTTGCACAAAGTCAATGGCGTCAAGATTGCTGTACCTGTTCCCAAGATGTCTGTCGAAGATCTTGAATATGTGGAGCGTGTGACAGGCGAGTCCCTGGATGACGACAAACCACTTTCCGATCTGAAGAGAAGGAGCACTCAGCGCGCTAAAGAGGCGGGTCCCCGATCGCCTTCGGGAATCACTGTCGAAAAGAAGCCGGATTACGACTGGTTCGACTTTTTCCTAAAGTGTGGTGTCAACCCTCAGATCTGCGAGCGGTATGCGCAGGCCTTCCACAAGGACCAAATGGGCGAAGAGAATATGCAAGATATCACACCTGCGCTTCTACGTACGTTGGGTCTCAAAGAAGGAGATATCCTTCGGGTGAGGAAACATTTGGACAGCAAGTATGGGCGAAGTGCGGATCGCGAAAAACGAAATGTCAGCTTTGCTGAAGAGGGCGAAGAGGGAAGTTCTGGCGGTCTATTTTCCGGACCTGGTGGCGCGTTGAGGAATAACACTCGCAAGGGACGCCCGGCTCCTCCTGTTCAGACGAGCGATGTCGTAGATGCAAAGGCATTCGAACAAAAGACTGACGATACAGTCAAGAAGCCTGTAGACGCTACCCCGACCCCATTGGCGTCCGCTCCGGTGCCAGGGAAGAAAGTGGAAGGGTTCGAAGACAACGCTTGGGATGTGAAGCCGTCGAGGTCTGCCTCCGCGTCTGCACCGCCGCCAGCATCGTCTCCGCCTCCAGCACAGGCAGTTGCCCCTACAGCTCCTGGTCCTGCAGCAAGACCTCCTGCGCTGACTGGCTCCATGAGTGAATTATCCCTCTTGGACATGCCTGCACTTAAGCCTGACGAAATTGCTCAAGTAGCAGCCCCGGAGCCGGTACCGCAACCAGCTCAAGCTCCTGCCCAGCCTGCGCCTCCCCTGATTCAGCAACCGACAGGTGCAACGCCCACCCTGTTCGAGCAGGTTGCTGCCATCAAAGCTTTGACGCAGCCTCAGAACATGGCTCCACCACGAATGCGACCACAACCTCCTCAGCAACAGACTGCCGGTGGTCTTATCGCTCCACCGCCACCGCGAGCCTCCTCAGCTCCTCAGAATCCTCAACTGAGTGCCTTTGGTCCACCTCCGCCACTACAACCCCAACTGACCGGCTACAACCCGAACATGGTAGCTCAAGTTGCTTCTCCGGGACAGAGTATGCAGGACTTGCAGAACATGCAAAACATGCAGCGTATGCAACAGCAAATGACGGGCTTTCCCCAGCCATCTGGCGGATTCGGTTTCCAGAATGGTATTGTGCCTCAACCAACGGGCTACAACACAGTGTCACCTCCACCACAGCAGCCTATGCAAACGGGATTCGCGCCTTACCAACAACCACAGCCCACTGGCTTCCAGCAGCCCATGCAGACAGGCTTTCAACCACAAGGGTTTCAGCAAGGCTTCCAACAAAACGGTAGTCCGTTCGCAGATCCTCCGCGAGCACCGTTTCAGCCTTTGCAAGCTCAACCAACGGGCTATAGCGCCTTCCAGCCATCGCCGCTCAACCCGCAGGCGACAGGCGTCAACCGTTTCCTCCCTCCAGCTATCCAGCCACAGCCGACTGGCTTCATGTCAACGCAGAGTCCTCCACCCATTCCGCCGATGCCGCCGATGCCATCGATGCCTCAAATGCAGCCGTTGGTGCCACAGAAAACAGGTCCTGCACCCAAGATTGCTTTTGGCGTACAAGCAGCGAAGAAGTTGACACCGCAGCCGACGGGGAGGGCAAACCTTGCCAATGCTAGTAAGTCAAAACAGAAAAAGGCATGGTACGAATGTGATGCTAATATCTCTGTAGCCCCTCAGAACCCTTTCGGCTTCTAATTGTAGTGTCGTGTTTCGGTTTGGTTGACAACGTTGAGGGGGGGCGCCTACTTACCCTTGTTATATTCTATACACCTTTGTGAATAATCCCCAGATGTTAGTTTGTCATTCTATGGAAAGGTTGAGCGGCTGCATATCATGTTTATCCCACATACGACGTATTGTTACCTCTGTATTGCATGGCGCTGTTCTATCTATCCGGCCCGTTCTTCATGCGCGTTCAAGGATTGGTGCATGCTTCTTGTATGTGCACAGAGTGTGAGAGCAGTGAACATGTACGTAGTATTTAATGCATAAAGCACGAGAATGGGCAGGGAAGAAAACATGTCTCGTTCATGGCTAAACCCAAGCTTTCGCCAAGCAGAGCTTAGCACGGGCATTAGTGGGTCTGATGACGCCAGCAAACCTCAACGCAAGCAAATGTGGCTGAAGCCACCCATTCCATCTCAAATCAGGTCGCTGTGTGTGTGTGTGTGTGTGTGTGTGTGTGTGTGCAGACAAGGCTTAATTAAAGGCGCAGTCAGCTGGTGAAAGGCCTGCTGTGGAGGGATGCGATGGAATGACAAATGTGTGGCCGAGGCCGGCTTATTTGCGCCAATTGGGCGAGTGCGCTTGAAGCTGATGGCAAGTGTGGCTACATGACAAGATGATGCGTCTCCGCTTTGCGCCCCCTTGCTAGGAGGTAATGATTAAAAGCTGCCTGAGCTGCCTCTAGTTGCGGCTGATCTGCTTTGCTCTCTCTTCTATCAACTTCTACCCTACCAAAATTAACCGAAAGCTCTGACACGCGCGACAAGCTTTTCGGCGCAAAAGCTTGGTGCTCGCGCGCATACCGTATCTATCCATTACCTCATCGACGACCGACTAGGCACGCCTGACATCTCGTCGCAAACAAGCAAATCCTCCCGAGACTCACCTTTGAAAACAAAGTTACCAAAATGTCGGCACAAGGTTACTATCAAGGAGGTCAGGCCCCGCAATATCCGCAGCAAAGGCACGTTCCCCACATTACCTCCTACGTCTTGAATATCGTACATGCGCGCGAGGTTATAATGCCTTTTGACTGACGTATCGCTGTAGCTACGGACCACCTGGCGGCGGCTATAACCAGCAACCCCAATATGGCGCGCCTCCCCAGCAGCAGCAGCAAATGTACTACGGCCCACCGCAAGGACAGGCCCCGCCACCACAGCGACAGAAGAAGGACAGGGGCTGCTTGGCTGCTTGGTAAGTCAAACCGAGGACAGAGTCCGAGAGAAACGGCACAGCCTTTGATAGCCTTTGATAGATGCGCTAACGTCTGAATAGTTTGGCAACACTCTGCTGCTGCTTCGTCTGCGAGGAGGGATGCGAGTGCTGCATCGACTGCTGCGAATGCGCTGGGGACTGTTGTTAAGCCTTGTGCGGCAAATAGTCGAATACGACTACAAAGAAATAAAGACTATACCGGTAGACGAACGTGACTTGGTCGGAAGTCGTCTTCCATACCCATAGGCTTGGTTCTGATGAGCGAACAAAGGATGTAGTAGAGGTGGTCAACAACCTGTTTTTTACTTTAGCAAGGACAGTAGGCGCCCAGTCTACTTCGATATGATCCTTAAATGTGTTTTTCCGGAGATATACTTGACCTTTGGTCTTTCCTATGCTTGCCTAGTAAAGTAGTACATCACTGCCATGTAAATAAAAATACAAAACGACTTGTATATTCCTGGAAAATCAAAACCTAGTAATAAATAATACGGATATTGCAAATCCCCATTAGATAGGCCTCGCCCTCCTCCTCTAACTAGCCTCAATTGTGACTGGCGCTAGCTCGATTGCTTTTGGATACTTACACCCTTGTTTGCCACAAAGGCACTGTCTCCCCTGGAAGTAATCGCTTCCATAGTCGATGCAAATCTGCTCACCAACCGCAATGTGTTTGATCGCTCTTAGCGCCAGTATACGCTCATTTCCTACCCTCGCTTCTGTGACGATCGCATTGTTTTCGCAGCTGTGGTTGCAGAACCTCGCATAATTTCCATACTTTTCCGCATCAACATATCCCACCATCGCTTTCGTTTTACCAAACATGGGACCGATCTTGACTTCATGGCAGTAGTCAGTATTCTCTGGTTTCTCAGGGATCATCTCACCAAGGTAAGCACCAAGAATGTCGCCCTTTGTCCACTTCCACTTCGAGTAAAGGCCGTAGCCGAAACCAGGCACTGGCCGAACCTCAAAACGCACCTGCCAGTCTGCACACCCTTCCTTCCATTCGGAGATTGTGTGATCGCAGATTGCAGTACCATCGTACTCCCTCTGGCAATAGAATTCGGACGAGAAATTGGACTGTTGCCAGCAATACTTACCGAGACACTCGTCCTTGATGAGATCACCGTGCTTCTTCAGGAAATCATTCTGCTCTCTCTTTGTGCCAAGGTTTTCGAGCTTGATGTCTACATTCATTAGCTCAGTGGCGGATGATGGTGGCCATGGGCCATGGAATCCCGCTGGTCTAGAGGCGCCGGTCCACTTCCATGCCTCGTACTTGAGGGATGTTATTACATTTGGCGTGACTGACCTCGAGTATGCTGCAAAACTCCCGTTGTTGTTGATGATGACAGCTTCAGACTCAGTCGTCTTCACTGAAGAATAAAAATGCGGTCTGTGGTATATTAAACGAGAAGGACGTGGGCCGTAACTGTAAGGATCAAGTCGCGCAGTTTTTACTATGCGTTCGCGTTTTGAGCGGCGTAGAGCTGTCATGGTTGTGTCTTATTGTTGTGTGGGATAATTCAGATGGAGCTGGGCTAAGAAATTCTGACAATGCATTATTCACTATACATAGCATTCACATGGCACAAAGAGACGAAGAATTACTTTGTTCTCAATCCTGAATACAAACCAAGGTAATAGAACAATGTGATTACTACCGAAGGTTAGTAAGGTACGGTAGTAGGTATACAAATAAGAATAGGACAATGTTCGACAATACCTTTCCGAAATTGGTACCAATATCTTGGAAAGCAGGCATTACGCAACATCTTTCATTCTCAAGTCAAGCCTTTTGGCTAGAAGATTTATCGGTCTTGATGTCGTCCAACAGCTTGAGAAGTACTGTGTCCGTAAAGGCCCAAATAGTGCTACTATACGGAGCACCCCACACATAGCCTACGTACCATATGCCTCTATAGCCTTGTAGACCATATAGTTTCTGTACCAAGCCACTTTGCAGCTGTTCAGCAGTTTGCTTCCATTGTGGTCGACTATGGTCTGACGAAGACTTGAATTCCACACCGCATTCCTCCGTCACGGTTCCGGCATCTTCAAGCCTTTTGGTGCCTTCGAGCACGAGATTTTTAACATCATCGAGCGAAAGCGTATAGTTTGCGCCAACGATTATACGAAATAGGCCTAAGCCTGGTGGCCCGGTTGAGTCGAGTCGGATACTATACGGCCAGTCTCTAAAAGTAGCGACACGATTAGCACTTCTATAAATAGAGAATACGAATACTACCCGAGACATTTCAACGAGTATCTTATAGAAAGCTGATTACTTACTGTCCATATATTAGCAAAAACATTTAAATAGTACTTGTGGTAGGACTTTCGCACCTTAAGCGCAAGGTAATTTGTCGGTACTGCTACTGAAGGTATGAAGTTTACTAATGGTAAAGGCACTGATTCAGCGAACATCTCATATCCTCAACGAAGTCAAACTCTACGTACTCGAATAATTTTCAGGTATGCAGGATATCTTCGCTATGCCGACAAATTCGCTGTCCTCGGCCCACGTCGAGAATACTGCAGCCTCTTTTTCATCGGGTTGAAACGGGGATAGATTGCGTAAGCTGGGCGGTGCAGAATACAAGATGCGACGAGCCTTGATGATATACTCGGTGTCGCGTTGTTTGACCAAAATTGTCATCGCAGTCGAAGTCCGCTTGACATCTTTGACTGTACTCGATAGAAGGACGTCGGGTCCGAGGAAATCATGGGCGCGCTGGTATATGAGGCTGTTGGATCCTGTCGGCACAAACATCTGATTCTCTAACATATCTATATGATTTCACAATTAGCAAGACTAGAGCAACGTGTCAGAAGCAAAATGAGTCCAAGGTATGTCTGGAATACTTCGCGGGGATTTGCAAGCCTTATTCAATCCGAGGTTTAGCGTATGTTTGCGATGTACGTACCCAGTGTCAGTGACGCGCCGAAAGCCTGCAAAAGGTGCAACGTTATGGGATTGCGAACACCTCCATAGCCTACGCCAGATATAGCTAGAATGCGAGGAACAGCCGCTTCAAGCTCATGTCGCTTTGCAAAGTCTTCGAAAGGGACCAAGAAATCCGAAGGAATATCGGGTGAAAGCGGGAAGTTCCAGTAACCGGGCTCTAAAAACGTCTTATATTTCGACACAATGGCCAGCCATCGCTGAAAAGCCTCATTGGTGGCGTTGATATTCGGTGATAAGTAGTCTTTTAGCTGCTCACCAGTTTCGACGTCAATGTTGACAGTGGTGAGTCTTTTTGAAGCAAAGGGGCGAAGGGCGATTCCGAAGCGCGCGAAGAAGTCCAGGGCAGGGCCGTAACGTAAATATGACTGTACGCCAAATTCAAGCGTGGTGTTGGTTTCGGGTACGAGGTAGGTACTGACAGAGCCTCCAAGGTATGGTCTTGGCTCAATGAGCACAATGCTTGTGTTGAAATCTTCGCGGAGGCGAATGGCTGCATAGGTTCCAGAGGCCCCACCTCCAACAATGGCGACATCTGTTGTCAGCACGGTAGACTCAGGTACTTTGCGTCCAGCGAGAGTAGACGCAGCTTGGAGGACGAAAAGTAGAATCAGCAGGGTGTCTTTCCGAGGCATTGTCACGTCGGGCTGATACAGAAATTGGGAAGAAACGGACAGGACAAGCCTCGGACGACTCGAGGTAATTGAATGGTTCTGTTAGTTCGTATTCGATGAACTGGTAGCGCTTACTGTAAGCACCCCAGTAGACGGTATATGGCTTGTAAACTTAAGACGGGGAGATCAGCCTGCCGAAGACAGCGGAGAGTAATCACAGCCCATACAACTCCCGGGACAAGGGTTTGTCTGCATGCTTGTTGCGTTGCGGTATGACCAAGAGTGGTCATTTAGTTTGGTCGGGGTCAGACACACGACGCATATAATATGCTGAGCCTTTGGCAATGAACATGCACCTTCGGATGACTTTCCGGCTCTTTGGTACTCATTGCTCTCCGGCCTAGAAGCACGATCTGGAATAGTAAGAATTCCTCGGGTACTCTCCAATACTACCAAGACAAGAGTATCTGACTTGCCCAGCCGACCTTTGGAGATGATTGGTTATGTGAGCAAGGTTGTTAGTGGGTGAAAGCGATGGAGAAGCGTTTTTCAAGAGAGTCGAAATCCCCGAGCTATGTTGTCTGAAAAATCTGTGCATGGTGCTCGTTGTTGTTGTTCTCTGGCAGCTAGCTATAACTTTCCAAAGCGACAAGGATGCGGGCTGCGGAAGCGGACGGTGCGGCGCATCCACGCGTTTCAGGCGCCAAGCGATTACGTTGGGGGCGGTTGCGTGCAGCTTGGACGAGGCTGTGGACGGCAAAGCAGCCATCTGTTCATTAGGCCCACGCCTACCTTGGACTTCACCTCACACGCTTTTCTCCGCATTCATGCATCATGAAATACCTTAAGGGCCTACTGCTGCCCGCCCTGCTGGCATTAGCAGCTTCCGCTGCCGCCAAAGACGAGCCGCTCGTCGAGACTACGCCATTCAGCAATGAGCTAGTCAATCTCATGTACTTTGATGACTCGGGCGTCGCATTAGTACAGGAGCTCGAGACGGGCAAGATCTGGCGGTCCCACGATGCCGGCAAGGGGTGGAAACAACTGAAAGATTTGCATGGGCTGGGAATTCTCAAGAACCCGTACGATAACAAGGTTGCGTTGGTCCTGAGCGAAAAGAAACACTGGATTACATACGACCAGGGAGAGACTTGGGACGCGTTCAAGACGGATCATCCGCCTACCCCGAATGGGCCTGTTGGGTGGCATGCGCAGGATAACAAGAAGATACTGATAAACGAGATTGAGAACTGCTTCACTGCACCGTGTCTAGGCAGGGTACAGCTCCCCCGAAGACGTGTCTTGTTGGAACATGGCTAACAGGACAACAGACCTACTACACCGAAGATGGCTTCAAGTCAGAGCCCAAAATCCTCGTCGACGACCGCCGAATGTGCCAATGGGCCAAGAGCTCCGAACGCTTCCTCGAAGGCAGTGACAAGCATGATAAGCGCGTACTGTGCATTACAAGAGGCAAATACTCGGACCGATCGAAAGACTTCAGACTCCTGATGACGGACAAGTAAGTAGTGACTTCGGTGTCTGAGTGTAGGCAACGACTGACTAGCGTAGTTACTTCAAAGATGAAGAGGAACCCGTCATGTCTTCTGAACGTACCGTACAGGGCATGGCAAATATGGCCGCCGTTAAAGGCTACCTCGTTGCCGCCGCCAAATCGGACCACTCTAGCGAACTATCCCTCTACGTGACCGAAGATACCGAGACATGGCACCATGCCGAATTTGGAGACCACAAGATTGAGGAGGATGCATATACTATACTGGAGTCGACCAACTATAGCATCCAGGTTGATGTCATGACCTCCAAGTATGTGGCGATTGGTAACCTGTACACGAGCAATTCGAACGGAACTTACTTCACGAAAAACGTCGAGCACACGAACCGCAACCAAGACGGTTACGTAGACTTTGAGAAAATTGCCAATATACAAGGGGTGGTCTTGGTCAATACTGTGGACAATTGGAAAGAGGTCGAGAAGAGCGGCCAAAACAAGAAGCTGAAATCTCGTATCAGTTTTGATGATGGAAGGTCCTTCGAGAAGCTTAGCGTCAAGGGCAAGGACGGAGAGCTGCACCTGCACTCCGTGACCAACCTACACAACAGTGGACGCGTTTTCTCCAGCCCTGCGCCCGGCATCGTCATGGGTGTAGGGAACACTGGCGAGTACTTGGGTAAGTACACTGACGGCGATCTTTATGTCTCTGATGATGCTGGCCTCACGTGGGAGTTGGCACTTGAAGAAGCGCACAAGTACGAATTTGGCGATCAAGGATCGGTCCTAGTAGCAGTCTTTGACGAAGGCGACACCGATGAGATCAGATACTCTCTCAAGCATGGACGAAAGGATACTTGGAAGAAGATCAAGCTGGACTACAAGATCCGCGCTCGCGAACTGACCACCCTCCCTGACTCGACGAGCTTAAAGTTTATGCTCTATGCGGCCAAGAAGAAAGATGGCGGTGGCCGTGAACACGTCATCATCCACCTCGACTTCACGGACCTGCATATGCGAACATGTGAAGAGAAGGATTTTGATGCGAAATGGCCTGTCCGCAAGGAGGAGGACGGCCAACCAAGTTGCATCATGGGCCACAAGCAATTGTTCCGTAGGCGTAAATGGGATGCTGACTGCTTCGTTGGAGAGGTCTTCAAGGATCCAGTACCGACTTTTGAACCCTGCGAATGCGACGAGCTCAGGGACTACGAGTGCGACTTCAACTTCACTCCCTCTGGCCAGGGCAAAGACAAGAAGTGCGAGCCTTCAGACTTTTTGAAAGTACCCAAAGGCGCCTGCGAGGGTGATGCGAAGACGTACAAAGGCAGCTCTGGATGGAGAAAGATCCCTGGCAATCAGTGCACAGGCAAGACGAACAGGGAGAAGGAAGTTGAGCGCCAGTGCGACGAGGCGGAGAAACCGCCGCCAAAGAGCGAAAAGATTACCAGTGAAATCACCAAGTTCAAGGGCAGCGACTTCATGGAGCAATACTATCTAGAACGTGATACCCAAGGAAGCGATGATACTGGGAATGACAGGGACAAGGATGAGACAGTTGTCATGCTGACTGATGAGCGTACGGCCTGGATCACGCACGACCATGGAAAGAAGTGGAAGAAGGCTGTCGACGACGAAGTCGTACGAATTTATCCTCACCAGTATGATACCAATTACGTGTACTTTCTGACTGCGGGCAAGAAGGTCTACTACTCCGAAGACCGTGGACTCAAGGACAGCATACACTCCTTCCAGGCTCCTGTCATACCAAACCGAGAGATGCTTCAGATTATGCAGTTCCATCCAAAGAGAAAAGACTGGGTCATTTGGATGGGTGGCAAGAATTGCGAGAAGCTTGGAGACAAAGACTGCCACACTGTAGCCTATGTTTCCCAAAAAAATGGTCAAGAGGAAAGTTGGGATTCTCTTGTACCCTACGTCAAGAAATGTGCTTTCGTTTGGCGCGAAGCTGGTCGGAACGTCAAAGAAGAGCAGGTCTTCTGCGAGCAACATACTAACGAAGAGATGGGCGCGCCGCTAGAACTCATATCCAGCGACGATTGGTTCAAGAAGAAGGACGTCAAGTTCAAGTCTGTTGTTGAGTTTGCGACCATGTCCGAGTTCATTGTTGTCGCGACAAAGGGCGACGATGGCAAGACATTACACTTGGATGCTAGTCTCGATGCCAACACGTTCGCCGAGGCAAAGTTCCCACCCAAGTTCTTTGACATCCATCAGACGGCCTACACGGTATTGGAAAGCTCCACACACGCCGTGTTTCTTCACGTCACGGTGAACCCTCGCCCTGATCAGGAGTATGGGTCAATTATCAAGAGCAATAGCAACGGTACATCGTACGTCATGAGCTTGAATGCCGTCAACAGAAACACGGAAGGCTATGTCGACTTCGAGAAGATGCAAGGTCTTGAAGGCGTGGCAGTCGCCAATGTTGTTGTAAACGTGGACGAAGTGAATAAAGGCGCCAAGAAAAAGAAACAGAGTCGAATCACTCATAACGACGGTGCGGACTGGGAGCCCATTCAAGCGCCCGAGAAAGACTCAGACAACAAGGCTTACTCTTGTGACGTATCAAATAAAGAGAAGTGCGGTCTACATATCCATGGATACACGGAGCGTGCGGATTCTCGCGAAATGTACTCATCGCCGACAGCAGTGGGCCTGATGCTTGGCGTCGGCAACGTCGGTTCGGAGCTCAGCACATTCGGCGAGGCCAATACATTCATGACGACCGATGCAGGGCTCACCTGGAAGGAGGTCAAGAAAGGTACTTATGCTTGGGAGTTTGGCGACCAAGGATCAGTCATTGTTATTGTGCGCCGCGGCGAGGATACAGATCACTTGTACTACTCTCTCGACAGTGGTAACAAGTGGAACCTCTACAAGTTCGCGGAGCATAAGATACGTGTTGATAAGATTACTACCGTGCCAAGCGATACGTCGCTCAACTTCCTCCTCTGGGGTAAGGACGGCAAGGAACTAGTGGCCGTCAACGTTGACTTCTCTGGTCTGCCGGAATTCGCAAAGAAGTGCGAGCTCAATGAAAGTGACCCGACGAAGGGAGACTACGACCTATGGTCACCGCAACATCCCATGCAGTCGGAGAATCCGGAGTGCCTTTTCGGTCACGTAGCGCAATATCACCGAAAGAAGCGCGAGGCCAAGTGCAAGAACGGAGAGCGAATCGACCACATGCATGACATTGCCAAAAACTGCTCTTGCACCCGGCGCGACTATGAATGGTAAGTGTACTCTGCTCTCCTCACCTCTTTGGTCCCATGACACACACACACACAGACGTGATTCTAATACATCTTTCCAATAGTGCCTATAATTATGAGCGCCAACCTGGCGGCGAATGTATTCTTATTCCCGGCCTCACGCTCAAAGACCCCAAGGCAGTGTGCGAACAACAAGGGGTAAAAGAATGGTGGGACAACACGCCGTACCGTAAAATCCCTCTCTCGACGTGCGAAGGTGGCAATGAGTTTGACAGGACGGGTAGGGTGCATGCTTGCCCTGGGTTTGAAGAGGACTTTGAGAAGAAGCACGGTGTTTCTGGATTTGGTATATTTTTGGCTGTTGTGATTCCGTTTGCTGTGGCGGGCGGGATTGGGTACTATGTTTGGAAGCATTGGGATGGGAAATTTGGTCGCATCCGGCTTGGAGACTCTGGTGGCGGCTTCGACAGCGATACACGCTGGGTCAAGTGGCCGGTTGCTGCTGTTTCGGGACTGGTGGCGGTGGTTGCCGCTATTCCACTACTCATTGGCAGCCTTTGGCGGTTCGCTGCAGGTAGGATGGGTGGGGGGTATGGTGGACGGACGTATACGAGCCGAAGCTCGTTTGCGAGGGGGAGGGGTGATTATGCGGTTGTGGATCCCGATGAGGGGGAGTTGCTTGGGGAGGACAGTGATGAGGACGTGTAAGCTAGATGGAGTGTATGCTTGTGATTATCGATACCAAGAGTTGGATGAGCATGGGGAAGTTGGCGCCCTGGTTTGCCAAAGCAGCAGCGAATCCAGGTGGGTATGTAGTTTAGTCTTGGATCTAGTGGGTTGGTCTTAGAGAGGTGGGATCTGTACATTCTTCGTAACAATCCACTGTGTTTATGTATCATTAGGTGTTCTATGGGAAAATAGCCTAGCTGATGTTCCAGGCTCTATGTAGATGCCATTGGGGGGGTTTTTTTTTTTCATTTTTCATTTCTTTTCACAATCATAGTACATTCATTGCTTTACATGAAGGTTGGCTTTGCGCAAGTTGTTTATGATTATATGATTAGTAGGCTCTGATCCAAGGATGGCCACAATGTGGCACAGACAGAAAATATATACGGGCCGCAGGAATCCCGCCGGGCACACGCGGTGGATCCTTTGGGGCAACAAGGCGCAACGCTGTCCACGGGTAGTGTTTAAAACAACGTTAGTTGTTCTGTTTCTTTCTCTCCTATATGCATGCCGTCGCGTTTGGCGGTTGGAAACCTGTGAAAAAGGGGTCGTGGTACATGCCGATAGAGCAGTCTGTTATGCGTGTTATTTCGGGCTTGGCCTGTATCGAGACAAAGGGTGCGAGGCTACGAGATTGTTTCGGATCCGGGGAGTAGTAAGCGACGGGAGGTGCAAGCGTGCCTTCATCAGCGCCTGAAACACGCGCCTTGACGTGCGACGGCGACTAGAGGGCCTAGATGGTTGTGGTTGGTGTTGAGTTTGCCGGCTTGACACGCTGGTGCCGGGAGCCTCAGGCTCGAGGATGCTCGTTGGTCGCTCGTTGGTCGCTCGTTGGTCGCCACCGGTGGGTTCTCGCCATAGCGCATGAATTATTGACGCGCAGGCGGGGGCCCACCCCTTAGCCGTGCGTTGGCTTGTGGTGAGTACGTGAGGGCTTCTCTCATGCGAGCTGTGGGGAGTGGCCGGGGACTGTGTGTCGACGTCGCGGCGGCGGTACCGGTAGCGTCTGCACCAAAACACCAATTTCCCGCCTCCACCTCCAACAAATGGACGGCGTTTGTCACAGCCACCAAGCACCATGCCAAAAGAAGAAAAGACGAAAAGACGAAAAGACGAAAAACAAGTCGATTCATCTCCCAGAGCGGCTCGTTTCAGCAGGGCCTGCACTCTTGGCGCCTCGGACGGCAGCAGTGAATGGGGCATGGTGGCTCCCGCAAGCCAAGGCGTTTCAAATGCACACAACACGCGTGCGCTTCTTCACCAAGCTTTGGTGACCATGGCCTGCAACACGACGACGCCTGTAACGCGACTACGTGAGCCCGTGGGCGCCGCAGGCCCATGCTCGTCCCTCACTCTCTGGTCTTGGGGCCCTCTTTCCTCCTACAACCTCAAACCGTTTCCTTTCTTTATTAACCACACTCACTTTCGTTCATTTAGTGTGCCTGTCTCCGGGTAGATAGCCTTCCTGCACCACCCACTTCACTCCTTCTCTTCTCTTCTCTTCTCTTCACTTGCTTTCTCACAACCCTCCCTCTTTATTCACCTTCGCGTGCTGGCACGTCTTGGCCCCTACGTGCTGCTCCTCATACCTGTGGTACCCGACTTAACCTGGCACAGCACTCCGCCGCACCTTCATTGCCTGCTGCAACTTGATGTAAGTCTCTGACATGGATGCTCTAAGCTCTTCAATTTGTCACATTGCCTTCTTCACACCGTGTCTCGACTTGATCGGCTCCGACACGCTTCACTCTCGCTGTTACTTCTTATCGTTCCTCATAAAAGCCTGGGCAGTTTCCTGTCTGTTTCGCTGCTTTGCTCCATCGAGCGTTGATTCACGTTCGAGTAGTCACTAACAGTACCAGTGCTCCTCGACATTCATTCCCTGTGACCTACAAGACGGCTGCACACTCTTTCCCACCCCTCATACAACTTCTTTCTGGACTGGATCCTTCCTATAATCCATCATGAGGTTTTCCTTCGCTATCGCCACCGGCCTTTTGGCTGCGTGCTCTACCGCTTTTGCCGCTCCGCAACCCAAGGGCGAGGGCTTCATCGGCAAGACCGTCATTCCCGCAAATCACTCCAACGACACCAAGGAGTACATCATCACCTTCATGCGCAATGAGACTATCCCCAAGGGAGTCGAGGAATATCTTGAAATGATGCAGCTCAAGGGCCAGGACGTTGTCAAGTTCCAATCGACCAACAATTACACAAAAGTTTGGGTCTTTGAAATGTGCGATGACCATGCCAAGGCTTTCCAGAATCTGACTGAAGTTGCCTACGTCGAAGAGAAGGCCATGATTGAATCGTTTGCTACCCAAAAATCTGGCGCCCCGTGGGGTCTACAGCGAATCTCCAACGAAGCCGGTGCATCTGGTTCCCCACAGGGCCAGGACTTCACCTACTCGTTTACCAATGAAACCCTCGGCGCTGGTGTTGATATCTATGTCATCGACACGGGTGTGCGAACCTCCCACGCTGTCTTTACAGGCCGTGCCACAGAGGGCTTTACAGCCACTGGATCATTTGTTGATGGTGATGGTCACGGCACTCATGTCGCTGGTACTGCCGGTGGCGCCAAGTTTGGTGTCGCTCAAGGTGCCAACATCATCGAGGTGAAGGTACTTGGTGACGACGGTTCTGGGTCCTCCACGGATACCATTGCTGGTATGGACTGGGTCATCAGCAATCACGAGAAGCGCAAGACCCAGCCGGGCTTCGTTGGCTCCATCATGAGCATGTCTTGGGGTCTCAAGGGAACGGCCAACTCTGTCGATGAAGTCATCGCCGGTGCTTCCCAGGCCGGTATTCACATCTCCGTCGCCGCTGGAAATGATGGTGCCGATGCGTGCGGCTCTACTCCCGCTCATCTTGGTGGAGCAAACTCCGACGTTGTCACTGTCGGTTCCGTCAACATCAACAACCAAGTGTCTACCTTCTCCAACATTGGCAAATGTGTCGACATATACGCCCCTGGTGAACAGATCCTTAGCGCCTGGAGCACCGGCGACACCATCATCAACTTCCTGTCTGGTACCTCGATGGCGTGCCCCCACACTACCGGTGTCATGGCCGTTCTCCTGTCTCAGGACGTTGCCGGACTTGGTCAGAACCCAGCTGCGCTCAAGGCCAAACTTCTAAAGACTGCCCGAGAGGGCAAGATCACTGGACGCACTGGTGGAAGCGCCAACCTCCTTCTTAGCAACGGTGTCGATGGGGGTGTTGCTAAGCGTCTTGTCAAGAATTACGTCGTCCCCGATCACAGTGGAAGCCCAGCTGCACGCGCCGCCGCCGCCATGGCCAACGACATTACCATTGATGGGAGGTTCCAGCTTCACTCTCGTGACGCACAACTCAGATTCTAAGAAATTCATCGCAACAGTGTAGCAGCAGTGGATGAAACGATACCCTGATTCCTAAGCGCACAAAAGTCTAGAGCACATTCTCTATCTCATCTTTGGGCTATTCATTGCCCATCTAATTTTAAAACACCTGCATCAGCATGGCCTGGTTTCTCTCTTGTAATAAGAGTTTTCTTTTCTATCATCGATGTGGAAGTGGACGTGTCCAAACTTAATTTTCGCTGTCAATACTATTACGCCATGCATTGACCGGCTGCATTGATGGGATATGGGGATGAGATGATGCTTCGCCTTTCGCAGCTTCATGCACAGCCTTGGCCGGATATTTAGACGTGTGTACGTATGACTAGATGATATCGTAATACCATCGTATATACGACATGTCATGATTTGACAGGGCATGCCTTTCTAGTGTCCTAAGATTGTGATGAACTACTAATTTAAAAAAAAAAAATGGAAGTGAAGACCAAGTAGACCCAAGATTCCAGGCTGCAAGTAGACCCAAGCCTGCAGGCCGACTCTCCCACACCATACAATAATGCATAGTGATGATACATGGCACGACGCCTCCGGCTCCACATTTACCTGCGCACTCGCGTATCCAAAATGTTCTAGCAACTCGGAGCTTGTGAGAAGGACCGGTGAACAACGTGAGCCGTCCTTGGTGCGACACTGCTCGGGGCCCGAGGGTACGCGTTCCCTCTGATGCTTGGGGCTGATCAGACAGAGTAGAGTCTATTAATTGGGTGCTGTGTGGAAGCCCGTGGGGCGAATCTATGGGGCTGAAGGGACCTACTGTACAAGTGATTAATGCTGCAGATTTCTTCACGTCATTCGGCAAACCCAAGTTTGTTCCTGGAGCAAGCAGGATCCGTCCACTATGGATCAAAAGGTTCGAGAAGTATACAAAATTCAACACTAGTCACTAGTCTAGTGGCTTCTGATCCAGCCTTTGGTTAACACAAGCTACTATTTTGACTCTGTCAATCCTACATCAGCATTCTTGACTAGGGATCTTGATCTTCTCCCAAGCCTGAGCATTGTCCCCGCTCCCCGGGACAACATTAAATTTTGAGAATGCAATACCATTTATGGACAAGAGGCAGAAGCTGAAGGATCCACCGAGTGCCTGGAAAGAGCCCGGAAATACCACATACTCAGACTTTCTCTTCAACAGAATCGGGGTGTTTGCAACGGCCTTCGCAGAGGACTATATCAGTACAGGATGATGAGACAAGCGAAAAGACGGCGAAGCGGGGATCTGGATGGCTGAGGCTCTGACGACGTTGATCTTTGAATCCAATGAGAGTAATGTTAGATGATGCGATGCCTCAGAGATTTCTTCGGGATGGATGTAGCCTCGATGATGCTCCCCCATGACACCATGTGTCGTCAATGACGCCTCTTTGTACCAGATTCTACAACTGCGCATCACGATCATCCGCCAGCATAACAAGCTGCACGAACCAGCGAATGGTATCCTGATCGTAATCCGCTTCCGACGCACGAACAAGAAAATAGAAGGCAGGGCCAAAGCGAAGGTCAAAGTCAAGGTCAAACTTGAAGCTTCTTCCAGAACAGCGACATGCCGACTGAGCTCTTGATGGCAGGAACTAGCGATACGGGAGTTGAGGGAAATACGTATCCTGCTATTGTCGCACAAGTTGAGTGACTCGCAGTCCTTTGCACGATCCTGCGAAACCGTTCCACGCAGAAACGCTGCCACCCACGGTGGTGTGCACTTGCTATGTGGATCGCGAGGCTTGGAAGCTGACTGGAGGCTCCCGGCGGACAGAATTTCAAGAGCGGTTCTGTAGATCGGGTGGGACAATCAAGAACTTGCTAGCTACGTTGTGGTGCTGCAAACTACCAGTAGAGCGTGGTGGAGAAGGAAGCGAGTGTTCCGCGATATACCCCGGATGATCTTCTAATCCATATGAAAGATTGGGTTCAGAAGATTACACACTTGGTATCAATCGAAGAGAAAGCAGCGACTCAGTGGAAAGGATGTTTCAGGATTATAGTTTCAGAAATCGTTGCTTCATCTAAACATCTCATGTCATCCTTTCCGGATGGATTCTAATGGCCTTCCCTCAGGAAGAAGCCGCCCGAACGCAATGTAAGTTAGATGCCGCTATGCAGTTTCTACACGCAACCCATGCCGATTTTCAGGGTCCTTGTGCCGAAACAGCAGCTATCGCCCAGCTCTCCTTCATCCCAATCGTCTCTCTCCGCGATCTTGACTTTTCGTTCCAGGAGCCAGCCCTTGTAACTTCCATCATCGTGAACTATGTCCGCCGCTTGCGCATCAGACGATATTAGAGCATTACGCTCAAAATTCAAATTCCCCGCGAAAGCGCTCAACGTCCATACCCGGGCCTGCCATATCCGCTAGATCCCGTCGGCCCATTTGTGCAAAGACTCTCCTTAATGTGTCATACAGATTCGTACTTTGATTCTGATGAATCATGTTGTCCAACTGACTTTCTGAAACACCATCGCCTACCACCTCCCTCGCCTTCTCCTTCCCTTCCCGCTCCACAACTTTATGCATAGACAAGGCGCCGAGTAGATGTTGCGCAGCTTCCGTAAAGCATCCAATGTTGATACAAGACACACCCAGATTATAGCGGGCACGGACAAAGTTCGGCCGGAGGGCGAGCGCGCGCGAGTAAGCGTCGATGGCTTCCTCGCTTCGTCCGGAGTTCGCGAGGGTGGCGCCGAGTCGATTCCAGAGGAGATGGACTTGTGATGAGGAGTTGGAGACACCGGATTCCGTGGAGGCAAGAGCGGCGCCGAAACAGTCAACTGCCTTGTCGTACTCTTCTACACCATAGAACAACACGCCGAGGCCAACTTGTACGTCTGGGTCCATTTGCTCACCAGATGGTGATAGCTGTGCGGCTTGAATGAACAGGTTCGTAACTTTCTCGTGCAGTAGGTGGCGGTCGGTGAATCCCATTTCGGCATCGGAGGAGAGTGGTTCTTTAATGAGCAATGGATATTTGGTGGCTAACCAGCGCTCCAGAGTTCGATATGCGGTGCTTTCATAGCCTTCGTTTGTGTATGATACTGCGAGACCCATCAAGGCTTCAAGATTCGATGGATCCTGTTTTAGCGCGTGCTCCAATGCTCGGATAGCTGGCGTTTCCTTCTCGTTCTGCGCTTGCGATTCTCCCAGTCGGACCCAAGCTGCAATATGATTCGGGTCTTTCTGAACCGCTGCTTCGAACGCGAGTGCAGCCAACGATAAGTTCCCACCTTCTTCCATAATCTTAATCCCTTCTTCGAATGGGTTCGTGACATTTTTGAAGAGGTTTTCCTGTTCGAATAGGTAGTCGCCCATGGCAGGATCGCGAACGGAGTGCGTGTTCAGCCCATCGAAGCCCTCCCACTGATCCAAGTCGCCCATGTGCCCGTCGACAAAGTTGTCCTCGTTGGCAAGTTGCCTAGCGTATTCAGTCTCAGCGTTGATGCCCTTCCAAATCGACTCGAAATCGCCGAAGTCGGCGGCTTCAACATCTACTGACCTGTCCATTTCATTCAGCTCCGCTTCAATATCCTTGTTCGCCTGGGCATCCAACGCATCCAAATGGTGCTGATCCGTCTGTTCCAGCTCCGCGAATTGCGCCTCCCAGTCCTGATCATCAAGCTCCACCATGCGACCCTTGCCCTTCCCAGAATCTTGCATGGGCTGCTGGATATTTTGCGGCGCATATGGCTGCTGCATCGTGCCCATGCCCATGCCCCCCATGCCCATGCCCATGCCGTACATCGGCCGCTGGTATCCCATCATGGAAGGCTGAGAGGCGGTCGTAGGGCTCGCTGTTCGTGCTGTAGGGTTCATTTGCTGGAACTTTGCAAATTCAGCAGGACTGAAGCCTGCTGGTCTTTCTTGCATGGCTGGACCCATTTGTGGTGCCTGCATCCCAGGGTCAAACTCGGCTGCCCAGGCTGGAGATCCGCTATGTTGTGCCCGCTCCAGTTCTCTTCGCATCTGCTCCATGGCGAAGGGTGAAGCGGGACCGGGCCCTTGTGGAAGTTGCGCATTCTGCTGCATAAACGCATTCATCATCTAGCAAGCAAACAGTTAGCCAGTCATTCATAGCCCATCTCGCCGACTCTACGTTGGACTTTGGAGACCTACACCGTCTGAGCCACCGCCCATCTGCTGATTCCGCATGCTTTCCTGAAGCCCACCTGGCCCCCGTCCTACTAGGCGATCTCTCTGTAACGACTTGTCATCGTGGACGTGTTTTGTGAACTGGCTGAGCGGATTGGCCGCCGTCGAGCACTCGGCGCCGCCGAGAAATGACATGGCGATGGCGAAGCAAGATGGGATAAGGAGTCGAAGTAGTTGTTGTGATGCGAATGCACAAGTAGCAAAGAGAAGAGTATGAAGTACAAGGTATACAGGTAAACCAAGTGTACGTAAGGCGGCTGGGGTCGACTTAAGTGATCCGCAGTTGGAAAGTGGAGCGCAGCCCCTCCACACGGGGCCGAGGTCTTTGCTGCGTGGCGACAACACACAGAGACAGCAAAGATGCAAAGACGCAAAGATGCAAAGATGCAAAGACGTAAAGATGTAAAGACGTAAAGACGCAAAGACGCAAAGATGCAAAGACGTAAAGACGCAAAGACATGATGCTAGCGTTAATGAAACAAACACCTTAGTGATATGTGAGATTTTTAGACTGGCTTTCACCATGGTGCGCAACGATAGGCTTGACAGAAGGACCATTGTATTTCTAGTACCCCATTCCACCCTATGACAAGAAATATAGCAGAAGAGGGGATTAAAAACGCCAGACGCTGTTCTACTATGATACATGCAATTCATCCTATCAATACAGTGTGCCGATAATAAGGCAGCAGATGTCGCCGTGCAGATCATACATATATCAGCTACCTTCCCGATCAGGTCTTCCTTTTCTTCAAATTGCAACTCGACTCCTCATAGATCACATCCAATCCTTCTTTTAGCGAAACGGTTCGTGTGAGAAGCTATGCCACTCCTGCCTCTCCTGCCTCCCCTGCATCATTTGTATGATTATCCCTCTGCTGTTGTGTACCAGACGTGCTAAAGTCAACGCGCAACTGTCTTCCGTAGATAGTCTTCTCCTGCAAGAACTCTTTGGCCCGGGTAGCGCTAGCAATGTCGATAAAGTCTGCGTGGGCGAAACCTCTTGGCTGGCCAGTCCTCCTGTCGACTGCAACGCGGACGTCCGTGACATTGCGGATGTCACGGAAGAGGTCATTCAAGTCCTTGTCAGACATTTCAAACGACATGTTTCCAATGAAGAGGGTCCTGGATGGGGGGTTGATGCGGGTTCCGTAATTGCCTTTGGGGCTACGGGTCTTGGAGTCCGTTTTAGCGCGATGAAATTGCACTACGAGGTTCCGGCCTTCAAAAACTTGCATGTCGAGGTTATCAACAGCGGCTTGTGCATCGGGGATGCTCTTGAACTCGATGTAGCCAAATCTAAGCGACAAGGTTAGTCTATCATCTTGAGGTTGGATAGTAGCGCCTACCCTCTGCTCATACCCCTGTTGTCGTAGACAATCTTCGCACTCTCGATCTCGCCAAATCGCGAGAAGACGCGCTCCAGTTGATCTGCGGTGACCTCGTAGTACAGGTTGCCGATATACAGAAGAGTTTTTGGTTCGGGGGTGCCTTCGCGAGGTGCTCTGGAATTCCGCCCCGTCGTCTCGGCCGTCTTGTCTGCATTTTTCCCCAACGCCTCCAAAGCACTCGCGCCAACAGTGGCAGAGGCATCAGTGGGCTCTGCCTGAAATTCTTGTTGTGCTGGAGTTAGGTTTTCTTCGACGGGTGCCTCCGCTGCCGTCTGCGCAAAGTTCTCTGGGGCGTCAGCTGTAGCAGCCTGAGCAGCCTCGGTCTTTGCCGCATCGTCGCTAGCGAACCTCCTCTGGAAGGGAGATATAGACCATTGCTGTTGTCTTGATCGCAAGATGGACGATGTAAGCGTGGTGAGTGATCGCGGCTTCGTAAAGAGCGCCTTCGAAGGCGTCGCGCTGAGCGCACGAACAGCGGTACGTCGAAGAAGGAACCTGTATTGATGGATTACTACTTGCCAATTAACTACAATACCAGTGATGCTTACATGATGAGAAATGCGTCAAAGGCACAGAAGAAGGTGACTTTGGAATTCCGGAGGAAGGACGGAGATATTTTTTCATGGGCTTGGATCATGCTTCGAATCGATCACGCTAACAACCAAAGTGGCACGTGATCTTCACTACCAACATAGATTGACGCCAATTATATCGAGTAGCGATCTGTAACCCGAGTTATACCTTGAAAGGCCATATAAAGAAAAGGTTCGAAGGACTTCAGATCCCGCACAAGCCCAAGATAGATGTTCATTTCCTCTGACAGCTAATCATAAGTCTTGGTCTGCACGTTGGACTTGCAATGAATAAACATGTTTTTGAATAGACACAATGGAAGAATGCCTGCACGTCATGCAGAGTCTTACTCTGGGTCCTTCATCCTGTACTTTACAGCCAACGAGACCGGAGTACTGCAGACTGATTGGAACATATTTGCCTGTACGATGTGGAGGCCAGTATCTGTAATTACACGCCTCCAGGACAAGAGCGAGAAAGACATTTCGGTTGGATTCGACCAACTGCGCCGCTTCTGGTACCTCTAACTAGAACTATCGCCGTGACGTCCTTGTGGGAAATCAATTCTCGGTTTGGCTTCCTTTACCCTGTCGATAGCCTCATCAACCGAGGAGCCACGGAAGGATGGACGGGCCATAAGTCCGCAGACTACCCCATGTTTGCTCGTTGCTTCCTACAGCCTCGCGCTGTCAATCGAGAGAATTGACCTCCCTTGGTCAGTCATGTCAGATCCACAATGCACGAAAAATCGGATATGATGCACGAAAGCACGGGACAAAACGTTCGCGGAGACCTCCGACGTGAACCGCGTTCTCAGGTCCCGTCGTTCTTTTCCTGGGTGTGCTTGCAGTGTGTTGCTCCAGCTCCGACAGCCACAACTTGCACCCTAACATAGCACCATGTTGAAAGGTAGCACATGCCAGCCTGATATGTGGTTAACAATCAATACTGACATGTCGTCCAGGTGCATTTTCTGCCCACGCAGATGCCTCACCAGACATTGGTCCTGTCCATGACGACCAGATGCCCTCCTCTGAGGAAGAAGAAGAGCTCAGCCCGGAGTCTTCTGAGCCTGAGACTGGCAATGGCGCGCGCGCACGAGCAGACTATGGTGCGACTGCAACGGCGCAGAATACAGCTGGCACAGGCGTAGAAGACGATGGTGCAGCGGGGATGCTTCCCCGCGACAAGCAGCGACGGACCGCTTTCTACGACTACACGGCCGAGAAACAGATGAGCCATACCGAAGCCAAGCAGTTTTACCAGCGACACCAGCTAGAGACGCAATATGGTGGATCACAGGCGGGAGACACGCACAGTCCCGCCATGCGAGCAAAGACCTTTCCCGCCAACTTCAGCGCTACAGATGGCATCGATTTGCCTAGCGGGGCTGATAGCATTCGTTCACGGAAAAGCAACGTTAGTCTCACAAACCAAGGCCACCGGTCCACGCTTCCGATCGGTGTGTCACATACAGAACAGTCACAGGATCCCCGTTTGCACACGACTCCCAATGCTGCCAATAACCAAGGAAACTATACTGAAGCAGAAATCTTGCTTCAAGCTGACCAACAAGCTCGATCGCATGCACAGCATCCCAGTCTTCCTCGAGAACATAAGCCCCTACTTGCTGAAGAGGGCATTCACGGCGCAGGCGCTGGTATAGGAGTTGGGTCAGGAGCCGGAGGCTTTGCCATGTCTGATTCGAGTGTTACCGCTGAGCTCAGTGCTATCTACACCAACGTCCAAAAGGTATTGGATCTACGCCACAAATACATACGCTTGTCTTTACAGCGAAACTTCGATAACCCCAAGGATGATCCTGGCTGGCGTATCTACCCACCACACCCTGAGCCTGTTTGGAATGACTCTTCCAAAGAACGCCGCAATGCTTCCAGCAGTCTTCAGAACAGCGGCATCTTGGAACCATCCGAGCCAACTAAGCCACCCCGTAAGATGGGCACCAACATCGGAGAAGACTTCAATATAGACGACCAATTGCCAGTCCCAGGGGCTTCAGAGATGTCATTCCGTTTGGATAGCAACGGCGTGTTTCAAGTCTACGAGACTGCAAAGTCGGCAGAGCTTGACACACCCATCGTAACGATTCCTACATTACGAGAATTCTACATAGATCTCGACTCGATCCTAGAGATATCTTCAGATGGTCCAAGCAAGAGTTTTGCTTTCCGACGCCTTCAATATCTCGAAGGAAAGTTCAATCTCTACTACCTCTTGAACGAATATCAAGAGACGGCCGACAGTAAGCAGGTGCCACATAGAGATTTCTACAACGTACGCAAAGTCGATACGCACGTTCACCACTCGGCTTGTATGAATCAAAAACATCTGCTGCGCTTCATCAAGTCGAAGATGAAAAGGTCACAAGATGAAGTAGTGCTGTTCCGTGACGGCAAGCACCTTACCCTAAAAGAGGTCTTCGAATCTATCAATTTGACGGCCTACGATTTGAGTATAGATACTCTGGATATGCATGTAGGTGCATAGTTTCCCCAATATGGAATCCTGCTGATTAAATAGGCTCATACCGATTCGTTCCACCGCTTCGACAAGTTCAATCTCAAATACAACCCAGTTGGCGAATCGCGTCTTCGAACGATCTTCCTCAAGACAGACAACTTCATCAAAGGCCGTTACTTAGCTGAGATCACAAAGGAAGTGATCTCCGATCTAGAGTCAAGCAAGTATCAGTTCGTAGAGTGGCGGATATCAATTTACGGCCGCGACCTCTATGAATGGGACAAGCTTGCTGCTTGGGTCATCGACAACAAGCTCTTCTCTCCCAACGTTCGATGGTTAATTCAAGTGCCTCGTCTATTCGACGTATATAAGGCGACCGGTCTTATGGAAAACTTCCAGCAAGTGGTCGTCAACCTGTTTCAGCCTCTTTTCGAAGTCACTAGAGACCCCACATCCCATCCCAAGCTTCACATCTTCTTGCAAAGAGTCATAGGCTTCGACAGTGTGGACGACGAGAGTAAGGTCGAGCGGCGCGTGTACAAGAAGTTCCCCTTTCCTAAGGAGTGGTGTACGAAGCAGAATCCACCATACAGTTATTGGATGTACTACTTGTTTGCCAACATAGCATCCCTTAATGTCTGGAGGAAGCAGCGCGGTTTCAACACCTTCTTGCTCCGGCCGCACTGTGGAGAGGCTGGGGATACCGATCATTTGGCTGCTGCTGTTCTTTGCTGTCACAGTATAAGTCATGGTCTACTCCTCCGAAAAGTGCCTCTCTTACAGTACATCTTCTACCTCGAACAGATCGGTGTTGCCATGTCACCACTCAGCAATAACGCACTCTTCCTGGCTTACGAACGTAACCCGTTCTTGAGTTACTTTAGACGTGGACTAAATGTCTCCTTGTCAACAGACGATCCTCTCCAGTTCGCTTTCACAAAAGAGCCTCTCATTGAAGAGTACTCGGTCGCGGCGCAGATCTATAAGCTAAGCGCGGTAGACATGTGCGAGCTTGCTAAACATTCCGTTGAACAGAGTGGCTTCGAACACATTGTCAAGCAGAAGTGGTTGGGCTCGCACTACCACCTTCCAGGTGTAGCAGGCAACGACATGGCAAGGTCCAACGTACCTAGCATTCGCGAAGCGTTCAGGCATGAGACACTTATGGGGGAACTTGCGATGTACGTTACGAAACGAGACATTTCCAAATCTTACTTCTGACATCGAACAGGATCGATCGCTATACACGAGCTGCACAGTCTAGTAAAAATGACCTCACGACATCCAACCTTCAACCAGGGGGAGAAGTGCCTCAGATCTCCAAGTCGTTTCAGATCACTCATTCAGGATCTCCCGTCCAATCAATGCATCTACACCCTTCGAGTAGCAACTTCGTTGACCAAAGCCAACCTTTCTCCACTCTACCCCCAGGCGCGGTCTCGGGACCCCTCTACCCGACTCAACAAGCCCGCCTCAACCCCTCTGCTTCCGCCGCTGATATCGCCAGCCTTCAAACTCAGCCAACCTCGCCCACCAGCACCAAAAATAGTGGGAATTTTGAGCGTCCTCGCCGCACCTCAAGCATGACCATCAATCCCAGTATCCTCTCAGCACCACAACCGCAGCAACAGCCGCAGCAAACGCCCGGTGCTTCTATCGCCACCACACAATGGCCGCCTGATGAGCAGAACCTAGGTCTGTCACGGACGACGAGTACTGTGACGTTAGACGGTGAGCCTCGGATCTTCCCCGGTGTAGTAAGTAGGAGCAGGAGGAGAAGCAGTATGCGGAGTAGCCAGGTGGAAGATGGAGAAATGACGGGTGCTCGTTCGGGGTTCCGGGGTGATACGAGAAGTGTAGTTGAGGAACGGGACACTGATGATGAGGAATAGGGGCTTGAAGCCTGAATAGTCGGATGTTTGATCGTGCACATTCAACATCGCCTGGGCACCGGGATAACAACTTAGACTTGAAAATCGTTCGAGAAAAGTGTCAAATCGAAACCCTCTACAGACTATGAACCATCCTCCCATGCTGCTCATAAAACGTTCGAACCCACGTGTCCCTCTGGTAGGTATGCCGTCCAACCTGGGATGTAATCTCGCCTGAACCTTGTGGGATATGTTGACGCTTCAGACTCTAACTTCTATTGCCCGAGGTGCTCCGGGCATCAATATTGTTCCTACTAGTCGTGCTAGCTATGAGTTCATACATTCATTGTAGTGTGGACTCCCATTGGGCATGCCCCTCTAGTTGGCACTAGATCGTCTCGAGCAAATAAAGGGTTTATGTTGCGCGCCATCCACTTGCTCCCGATCCTCCTCATGTCCGGACTAACCATAATCAGAACTTGTCCATTGCGACGGCGCAACATTGATTCCTGATGTCAATCTCCAGTTACTCCACAGCGAAAAGGGTGACGACGCCAGAGTACAAAAACCCAGTCTATTCACGAGTTTATGTGTCTTGAGTAGCAGTCTAGGCACCATGAATCCCCTTCCTGCCCTACTTCTACTATGCACTTTTTGCAAACTGCTTTCCCGCATCCGCCCACGCACTCTCGTGCGCAGACATAACAGGTTCGGCCGTTGCAGCGTTTGCAGTCCAGATAGTTGACTAAATCTTTCTTTCGCTTCGGTGCTAGACTGCATGCATGACACGGTCGTAGGTCGGAAACAGCATGAGCTTCAGCGTCGGTAACTTGGGCAGTCGGGGGCAGCTCGGACTCGATGTCCATGAGGTGTGAGGTCGACTTGACTAGCATTGCTTTAGGGGTGAGCCGTTTAAGTTGCTTGACGGGCCGTCTTTCGGAAGCAGCTGAAAAAAGCGTGTAGGACGAGTGGTTGTTACGTCCAACGGGCGGGGTGTCGGTGGACTGCGAGCGTCCAGCGTCTCGGTTCATGGGAAGTAATCGATGTTGATGTTGATGTTGATGCTGATGCTGATAGCTGCTGCCGACGAGGTTAGGGCTTGAGATTTGTGTAGCGCCTAGGAAGGTCTCGTACTTGGTTGGCCCGTCATCCCCATCGTGCCTCCTTCTCTTGCCCAAAGCTGCTGTGTGCTGCACATTGGCCGTAGCCGGCCAATAGGTCGAGGCAAGATTGTGTTCTTGCCGGTCGTGTGGTATAGTAGGGCCAAAGAGGTCCGAGGTGATGTAGACCATGGTGCCCGGCGAGCTCGCAGTGAAAGCGGAGCAGCGGTGGTTCGAAGTCGAGGGAGTGAGGAGCAGGCGGCAGAAAAGCAGAGGACAGAGACGGCGAGGCAGAGGGTATCTCAACAAGGCTTCAACGCTGGAATGCAAAGGGCAAGAAGAAATTAGACAGAGCGACGTGAGCGGGTTCGCAAAGACAAAGCGATATTGTTGTTGTTGTCCCAAGGGCGACACTGGAAGTCGTCTTCACACGCTGGATCACCCTGCTAGCCTGTACCTGCCTAGCGCCGTCCACCTGGGCAGGCAGAAAAGCGCTAGTGAACCCTACCACCCCCCCCCCCCCCCCACAACACGCTTCACGTGTTGCCAAGCCAATGTTCGCGACCGGCTAATGATCGCGACTGGCAAAGGCTGAAACATTAGAAACCCCATGGACAACTGACGGCACACTGGTACAGTACATATCGATATTTTGGCAACCCTGGCCACGCATACCATGTTGTTCATGATCAGATGAACGGGATGAACTCACAATCTCCGCACATCTTCCCCACGTTTAATTTGGCATCCTTCGCTGAGCCATGGATAGTCTCAATGTCTCCGACTTGGTGGCGCGACTCGGCGCAGAGGAGGAGTCGATACGCAAAATGGCAGTCTTCAGGCTGCAAAGTGCCATTGGAGATCCTTCTTTCGCAGATGTCTTCATATACGAAGGAGGCCTACCCAAGCTCAGATTCCTAGCCCTACATGCCACAGGAAACACCTTGGCCTATTGTCTCACGTCTCTGGCGCGCCTGCTGGAGCTCGACAAGGGCTGGGACCATGTGACGGACGATTTGATCACAAGAGTAAGTTTGGAGAGCCTTAGGCGCATGAGCAAGTCTGACGCAAGGGCAATAGATAGTCGATCTCGTAGTCGCGCAACCGCTCGTGAATGTAAATCGGGGCGCCATGTCCGTCCTCGCAGCCATTGTCGGTCACCCCTCGCATCGCAATTCCCAGCCCGGCGTCACTGGCTTCCAACGATTGAGACCAGCAGTCGATACCCAGCCACAGTTCCTTCCCTCACTCGTCGAAAAAATAACCTCGGCGGACCACGCGCTATGTGCAAACTCTCTGCAGCTGATCAATGCACTTATGCGCGACGCAATCGCCAATGACGCCGACTTCGAGTGGCCCAAATTCATAAAGCAGCTGCAAGAGCTGGGCGTGATAAAGAGCGTATACGGGCTCATGCAGAGTTCCGCCATACAGGACCTGGCACATCCATTGCTAGACTTCCAGTCGCTGACAAAAATCTTGCTGAGGAACTGGAGGGAGGAGAAGGTTGATTTGGAGAAGTCAGATCATCGGAGAGCCCTTCGCGGCTTGCACACTGCAAGCAACCCCGACAATTCAGCATCGGATCCAAAAGGAAGCAAGAAGCAGAATCCAGTAAAGTGGAGGCGACTAGGTTTCGACACCGAGTCACCAGCCTGGGAGTTTGATGCAACCGGCTTCTTGGGCCTAATGGATCTGACGGACTTTGTCTACAAAAACGAAGACGGTTTCCAGAAGCTGTTGCTGGAACAATCAGCGGAGTCGCTCGAAGAGCGGTGCCCAATAGCCCGCGCCTCTCTCTCCGTTACCTTGATTCTTTATGAGCACTTCGAGGTGGACAGATGCGATGATGTCGAGTCGCATAGATACACAGCACTCGAGTCTCGGTCCAACTTTGACCGAGCGTTCAAGCCTCTGTTGCTCCATTGGTCAAGACTGCACACGTGTGGTTTGAACGCCTTTATACGGTTGTGGAAGGTCGCAGGCGCGCAGACGGAAGACTTTGAGAAGATGGAAGACTTGGTTCGGATCCTAGTCGAACAAATTGTGGGCCAAGCGCCACGTACGAAAGAGATCAAGGATGTTGAAGAGGAGCTGGCAGAATTTGAACTCAAGCGGCTTAGAGAGCTTCAGATGGAACTTCTTGAACTCACGTATGAAGATGCATGGGGCCACCATCTGCGGTATGCATGCCTGCAGTTTACCTTAATCTCTACTACCAGACTGACTGACTCTTGACAGCCAAGTCCGCGATGAACTCAACCATGAAGCTCTCCAGTTCGTCAAAGAGCAACGCATCAGATGTCTGCTACAAGGGGCATGGTTCCCCATCGGTGTGAACTACGGCTCAGATGCTGGTCCAGTAACCAGCAAGACCCTTGATCGTTCTGTACCCTCAGCGTGGCGTTTTGTGCGACTGTCACACAACCGACGATATCTGCACTATGCTGACTTGGACGGAAAAACAGCTACAGAGCCGAGGCTTGATGCGCTGCAAGAGAAGAGTAAGTGTAACAGGCCCCACTGTATTGCGTGGTTTGCGGTAGCGCTGTGGCTGACGAGCATCAATAGTCGATCTCTCCATCGTATCGTCTGTGGTGAGCAATGTCTCGGCATCGGCCCCGTCCACCTCATCATCTGACAGCACGGTCACAACTTTGCCAGGCCAGCGTGCACCTACATCAACCAAAATCACCATCCACGGTTACTTGCCTCAAGCCCACCACTCGCGGCAAACCTCTGGTGGCTCAGGCGCCGGGCGAAAGGAATCAGTATTGTTGCATTTACACCCGCAAAGCCACACTCTTGCGTCTGAGTGGCTTGATGGACTGCTGATGCTGCTTAACCAACAACCAATTACCGCAGACACGAACAAGCTGGTCCACTTCATTGGCGGCTACGGACTTAAGATCCGCCTCCTCAATGTTCGGTTCGAGGAGGTCGGGTTGGAAGAGCCGATACTTCCAAGCCGCGAAGGGCTTGACGATGAGTATTATTACGATATAGCGGGAGTTTGAGTGAGACTACGGGAGAATCTCTATTCATAGATGACATGTTCCTAGGTGGACACGAATCTTATACACTTTTGGAAGGGATAGATCATCAGGTACCACAGAAACCCCCCTTTTTTTTTGACACGGCAATGCAGATGGAATATGGAGTTGTAGGCGATTTAGGAAGGTGGCGATGCGTGTCGGGTGTTGGAGCTGGACGCTGTACTTCTCTTGAGATACCCTTGCTTCTACTTCTGCAATCAGACGACGTTTGTAAAGGCAAGGTGTTCCCATGAATGGCTTGCATGCAGCGCGTACGTGTTCCTCAGCTCTGCGTGGTTACACGACGTATGCCTGCTACGTTGCACAAAGAGTGTGGCAGTCTGTACGAATATGAATCGTCACACATTTGGATGATGTGTTTGTTGATCCAGCCATTCGGATGGCACGAGCCGTTGCTTTGAGCAGCCCAGTTGATGAAAGGCTAAAATAAAAGAGGACGAGGGATTGATGCGGTCGCGATGGTGGCCGCCCTCTGTCCCATCAGCCGGGTCACCTTTTGCTAATGCAGCGTGTCGCAGGCCAATGCGCCAAGTAGCCAGGCCCCACTGGCTGTCTGTCCCTGAGTGGACTGTGGCTTTGAAACAGCGGACGGCAAGGTGGAGAGAGCGGGGAGGTATATGTCTGTGGAACCACGATGCGCAGACCCATTCTTGGCCCCAAGTCGTGGTGGTGTTGTTTTTGTTGATCATGTTGATTGTGGTTATTGTAGGCGGCGGCGCCTCTCAGCACACGCTCTCTTTTCGCCATGTCCCTAGGGGTGTTTGTACCTGTTGATCTGCTGCCCCAAGCGCGAATGGGCGCTGCTTGACTCTTGGATAGAGAAATGTAAGGATGAGAGCGAAACGTGCGTCTCTGACGGCGCATTAGCTGCAGACGTAGCATCCCGACTGTACGAATATGCAGCCGCCCCAAGTGCGTCGATGGTATGCTGCTAATAAGCCCTCTGGTTGTGTCTGGTCCAGCTGTCTCTGCTGCACTCTATCTACATCGTTTGCTTCTTCATTCACTTCTCTCGCCCTACCAGCCGGTCCATCGATTCAAGAGGCTTCGCATTCACGGCGAGCTCGACGCACAGCCTGGCCACGGCGTGAAAGCTCCTTTCGCAGAAACACCCACCAATGTGCCCGGCGGCCAACGTCAGGCCATCACCGCTTGCTGCCGTCGAGCCAGCGCCATGAGGAGGAAAGCGAGGGCCCTCAATCCGCCGTTACAGCAGGCCGAGTTCGACGCGCTGCCGTATTCAGTCCAGTACGTTGTTCCTGCATCTCTGATTAGTCGACGGCGTGATAGGAGCGCGTTATCGCGTGCATAGACTACAACCACACACTGTACCTTGCAGTAGCAGGCAGTGGGAGACAATTATGCCATTGCTAATGACCCGTGCCGCTGCAGGAGAAAGTACTTTTCATCCCTGGAGCGCCTGCAGATCCAGCAGCAGGCCGTCGAGGAGCCTACTTCTGGCCGCTCCTCTCGGGCCAGCTCGTCAACCCCATTCCGCCCCTCGTTGACTTTGCCATCCAGGCGTCGACTACGCAAGCCGGGGAATGCCGTCCAGGACGACGACGACGACGACGACAACAACGACAACGACAACGACATCTCGCAAGCCCAAGCTGATTTCTTTCGCTCTTTGCCGGAAAAGCTGCGCAGACAGCACTTCTCGCCCGAGGAGCAGCTGCTTCTTCTGGGAAAGCACCACCACCACCACCACACAGGCCGGCCTGACGACGACCAAGCCTCCGAGCGCGCACAACAGCGCTTCGACGATTTTAAATTCGGCTTCTCCAACCCCGCCGACGACACGTCTGGTCGAGGACGCCAGCGAAGAAGAGTGTCCTCGGCATCATCGTCGGCCAGCCCTAGTCAAGCTTCCTCGTGCTTGCCCATCACAAAAGAGAAGGACAGCAACAGGCTGCGCAGTCTGCTCCACCTCGAAACTATGAACTCATCGGTTTCCACAGCAAATCCGTACATGTACAATCTCAGGCGGACCATGTCTCTCACTAGTCCGCCTATTCGTCGTCCGTGCTCGAATGCCGTGCTCATGGTAGACCCTCCTCTCTTCACCGTCGCATCAAGCCCACGACATGAGCGTGCACATTCCGCGTCACTATCAGGACGAAGATCCTCGCACACGCCTACCGTGCCTGCATTCGACCCCGAGGCCACGCACTACCAGGATCCCGCGGCGAGGAAGAAGCTCCGCATGTACCTGGCCTCCCCGCAGAAGTTCGACGAAGCCATCGAGTTTGGCTTTCCCTCGACGGCTGGGAATGACACAGTCACACCACATTACCAACTCCCGCCCATCGCTAGCCACGCTCGCAAGTTCAGTCGCGACATGCACACCTTCCTAAAAGATGGAAAGCTGTCATTTCTCGAGGACACTGCCACCGAGAACCAAGGTCTTGACTCCGACGGGGATTCCGTCGCTGATTTGGAATCGCCAACGACACCTTCAAGCACCGGTCTGTCCTTCCGCTTGCACTCCCGTCATGTCTCACAGCCGAATTCCTCTCTGGACTCTTCACACCTATCATCTATGCAGCCAATTGCCGGTCACTTGAATCGAGATATGACGCTACGGATGACGCTAACTCGCCCCGACCTGCGAGCAGACGACGATCAACTGTACGGCTGGCATTCTTCTGGCCCCAAGGCCGCCAAGGACGACCCGTTAGCGCTTGAAGATCTACTCCTGACAGACGACATGACCGGCACCAAGGGCGCCTTTTACATCAAGCCCAAAGCGCGCGGAAACCTAGTTACGCGCCTTTTAAAGCGTGCCAGCTTGAAGAGCCGATGAGGAAGGCTGTCGCCCACAGTATCTCGCAGCCTACTAGCGCCTGTTCGATCTATCCCATGTACAATGACACATTGGCATAGTAGTGGGACAAATGGGGGTTTGATCTACAGCTTGGGACGGTCGGGAGAACCTTCTCTTGCACAAAACTTCTACGATATCAATGTTTCCGTACCATTCTTACGATCACCAACTATGCTGTACTTTAGCGGGCGCTTCTCAGCTACAAGCCATTTGTCATGGCCGTGCTCTGTATGATCACCATGATGCATTAATGAGGCGTTTTCCTTCCCATCTACCATCTCCATTTCGGCTTAGCTAGCGATGCTGCAAAAATTCATACCCTGTAGCGAGGATGCACACGTCTTCTCTCAGCTACGAATTCTTTTTGAGGGGTCTTAATTCAATCTTCGTTACAAAGCCCCCTTTCCGACCTCGTCGACACGTATTATTTAAAGTCAGTACTAATCACATCCTCGACAAACTATGCAAAGAGTGAATCGAAGCTTATGCTCTTTTACTTTTATTTTCCACTTGAATCGTACATATATTTGTACACCTCTCGCTCCGTCTTCGGGCCCGATACGCTGGGTTGTTACAGCATCTCTGAGATGTGACGGAACAAAAGGTTTACCGCCGTTCTTACCGCTATCTACATCTCTCTGTGAGAAGAAAAAGGTGATATTTAAAACTCCTTCCCCAGATCTCGCATAGGTGCTTGTGCTACTTTGGTGGCTGCTGAGTTGGTCTTGTTAATTGATTCGCCCGTACTCGGTTTGGCCAGCTTAGAAAAGTTTTACTACGTGTTTGAATGATTTCGTGACAAGGACCGGCATGAAAACACTTTCACTATACATAAACTGCACCTAGAGTCAGCCTAGCTTAAGACTAGTATATAGTTCCTGTGAAGGCCACGCCGTGATGTCGAGGCGGCTGGAAATATTGGAGATGCATGCGCTTCTGGCGTGGTACAGACCGTCGAGTTCGCTTCTACGATTTCACGTTGCCACGTCTGAATCTGACTACATCTTCATGCGTTCGACGCACTATTGCACATTTGCACGTGCTGAATCGTGAGATGTACAAATAGTCTGCTGCTCTGATAGCTTTTTTTATATTACTCGTGGTATCGTACTTTTCCGAGCACTATGCTATTCCTGCAATCAACTTTTTACCTCGACAAAGCGATGTCGTCAATCCGTAGGATCATCTTGACGGTCTCGGCTGCCAACTCAATCGCGCTTGTGCTAACCAGGAGGGGTTGTAGCACGTTCTCCTCACTGATATCGTTCTTGACACCTCCGCTCTTGATGCTAATGCCTGCATTCCTCTGCTCTTGCGCATGTCTATGCCTTAGTTCCGTGACCACCTTGATGCTGTTCAAGCCCGCATTCTCCGCTAGCGTTGTAGGGATAACCTCCATAGCATCGGCAAAAGCTTTCCAGCAGATAGCTTCTGTACCAGAGAGCTCGCGGGCGCGAAGGGAGAGCTGATGTGCGATTTCAATCTCTGGCGCGCCACCGCCGGCAAGGAGAGCTTTCTTCTTGACAAGCGAGCGGATTGCACAGTGTGCATCATGCAGGGAGCGCTCGGTTTCGTCCAGAATGAGATTGTTGGCGCCGCGGCAGACAATGGAGACGGTGTTCACTACTGATTTGACGCCGGAGACCTTGACATATCGAGCGCCTGATGCCTGCACCTCCTCGACCAGGTCTGCTGAGCCAAGCTTATCTTCAGTGAATGAGTCGATGTCGGCAATGGGTTTGCAACCAGTGCTCTTGCAGATGAATTCGATCTCATCCCGCTCAATTTCCTTGATTACCAGAATCTTCAGCTTGGACAAGAAATGTAGGCTGAGGTCGTTGACCGCGTCCCGCAGAATCGACTTTTGAATGAAGAGCACGTTGCACTTGGCCTTTTGGATTTTCTTCACCATGTTCAGCAGGTAGGTGCGCTCCTCTTTAAGGATCTTGTCCATCTGCCTGTAGTCGTTGACGACGATCTGATTCTCCATGTCCGGTTTTGGCGGGCTCAGCTGGAACTGTATCAGGCCTATCCGTGCCTTCTCCTTCATAGTAGGTCCTCCAGCACTCTTGACCACGGGCTGATTGAGTACTAGTCCATCAATCATCTCGCTGTCCTCAATGGTGCCACCCTGCTTTTTGATCATCCTAATGTTCTTCAGGTCCACGTTGTCCGCCGTCTTGGCATCGATGACCTTCAGGACCGAATCCACAGCCATGATAGGCAGCTTGGGCTCCTGGGCGACAATCTTGGACGAGAGCGCAGTTGTTGCGGTCTTGAGGAGGGTTTGTCTATCGGTGAGCGATATAGGGATGGCCATTTCCGTCAAGATGGATATGGCCTCTTGAGCTGCGCGTTGGAAAGCCTCCGATATGACGGTGGGGTGGATGCCCTTGGACAGTAACCGCTCGGCGGCTCCAAGTAGACTTCCTGCAATCACCACCACTGACGTTGTGCCATCTCCTGCTTCGATATCTTGGGCATGTGCAAGGTCGACGAGCATCTTGGCCGAAGGGTGCATGACGCTCATCTGGTTCAGCATGGTAGCTCCGTCGTTGGTGATGATAGTCTCGCCTTTGCCGGTTTGAATCTGAATCTTTATTAGACAGGGTTCACTGGGGAGTGTACACGGGAGCCATACCATCTTGTCCATGCCCTTTGGTCCTAGTGACTGCCAGAAGATTAGTCTTCAACGACTCCCCCGCACCTCAACGTGGGGACATACAGTTCGAATGGCATCGGCCACAGCTGGGAATGGTGAGTTAGCAGGAATGTCTCTCATGGGTTATAACGAAACCATCTTACCTCTAGCAGCGATGATATTAGCGCTCCGAACAGCTCTCGGCTTTTCCTTATCCTAGAGCGTCGGTCAGTCAGTGTTTTCAGGCCCTCTGCCAGTAGCGTGCGTACCTTGAAGGCAGCATTTCCGGAGCCGCCATTCGCAACCTGAGCAGCCATGTTTGGATTGTGGATATAAAAAGGACAATGGTTTTGAGAGGGGTATCGTGGGGCGTGGCGTGCGACCTTCTGCTGCCGCCTGCCTGTATAATTTCTGGACGCGACATTTTAGAGGCGCGATTGCCAAGCCCCGCCGAAAGCGCCGACACGCCGGCTGTAAGCTACCTACCTTCACTGTGTGTACAACCTCCACAGCGCGGCCATATATGCACACCACCCACGACCTCTATCCAACTCTGACATAACTCGCACTACCCGTTTCTATCGCACCTACCACCACCTCATCGCAAACACATAGCCCGCCTGCCCTCTCGCGACCCCGGCCAAAGGCAGCCCGTACTGCAAACATGCCCAGCGCCACGGGCAGCAGCTGGGAGAAGTACCAGAAGAACTTCGCCGACGATGAGGTGGAAGAGAAGAAGATCACTCCTCTCACCGATGAGTAAGCGCCCACTAGCATGTGCGAAAAAAAAACCCCCCAAGTGAGCTAACGCGGCGACAGAGACATCCAGGTCCTGAAAACGTATGGCGCAGCGCCCTACGGTGCTGAGCTCAAGAAGCTCGAGAAGGAGATCAAGGACAAGCAGCAAACGATCAACGAAAAGATCGGGGTCAAGGTACATAGCCTGCATGTTCACGATGCCTGGTGGCAGTAGCTCACGACAGACAGGAATCAGATACCGGCCTCGCGCCTCCACATCTCTGGGATATCGCCGCCGACCGACAACGAATGCAAGAAGAGCAACCCCTCCAAGTCGCACGTTGCACCAAGATAATACAGGACGACAAGGACCCCGAGAAGAGCAAATATGTCATCAACGTCAAGCAGATTGCCAAGTTCGTCGTCAACCTCGGAGAGCGCGTCTCACCAACGGATATCGAAGAGGGCATGCGAGTAGGTGTTGACAGGAACAAGTACCAGATCCTACTTCCTCTGCCGCCCAAAATTGACCCTTCGGTTACCATGATGACGGTCGAGGACAAGCCCGATGTCACCTACGGAGATGTCGGAGGCTGCAAAGAGCAAATCGAAAAACTGCGGGAGGTCGTCGAAATGCCCTTGCTATCACCAGAACGCTTCGTCAACCTCGGCATCGATCCCCCGAAGGGTGCTTTGCTCTACGGCCCTCCAGGCACCGGAAAGACACTGTGCGCCCGAGCCGTTGCCAATCGAACAGATGCCACCTTCATCCGAGTCATCGGTTCAGAACTAGTACAGAAGTATGTCGGTGAGGGAGCGCGAATGGTGCGAGAGCTATTCGAGATGGCACGGACAAAGAAGGCGTGTATCATCTTCTTCGACGAAATTGATGCTGTTGGCGGCGCCCGTTTCGATGATGGTGCTGGAGGCGACAACGAGGTTCAGCGTACCATGTTGGAGTTAATCACACAACTCGACGGCTTTGATGCCCGCGGCAACATCAAGGTCATGTTTGCTACGAACAGACCTTCCACACTCGACCCTGCACTCATGCGTCCAGGACGTATTGATCGAAAGATTGAATTCTCGTTACCGGACATGGAGGGTCGTGCCAACATTCTTCGCATCCACGCAAAGAGTATGAGTGTCGAACGTGATATTCGTTGGGAGCTTATTTCTCGTCTGTGCCCGAATAGCACAGGTGCTGAGCTGAGGAGTGTGGCAACAGAGGCTGGCATGTTCGCCGTGAGGCAGCGCCGCAAAGTCGCGACGGAAAAGGACTTTCTCGCCGCTGTGGACAAGGTGATCAAAGCCAACATGAAGTTCAACAGCACTGCAGTGTATGCTCAGTACAATTAAGGAGGTGGAGCTTACCCGGATCGTTCTTCCCACAGGTGCATAGAGGGCCGTGGGAGTTGGCAGGTGCGACCTGCTGCTCTGCCCACCTTCTACGCAGGCCAAGCAACAAATGTCATTATGCACTTTCCAAGGTTCCTTCCATGTTGCAAGCTTGTACCTTTCGCGTCACACGTTCTGTGCGCTCTGCTTATTCTGCTCCTTGTATTCGTCACTGTCGAAGCTGTTCATGATGTCTGATGCCGAATTCTTTGCGATGCTTTGCGATGTGCAGCTTCAGACAGACCGTACTGCAACGCCTGAAACACGCACAATCCTCTCCTTCGAAAGCTGCAATACAACATCTCATTGAGGAATCGAGCCTGACCTTTGCACCTGGGCTTGCTGACATGATCCGATCACGAAATGCGCCTTCAGTGCAGCAATTGAGGGCGTGCTCTATCCTGCTCTCCAAAGACCATCTCAAATCGAAGTGGTTCGTTTACCTGCAATACTATCGTAAAGGTCCACTCTGTTACATCTGTTGCGGCAAGTCAACAAATTTGAGGGGCGCACAGGAGAGGCTCCACGATTATGAAAACGAAAGTAGCAGCATACCAGATTCAGCCAAGGACCTTCTCGAAAGAGCTTTCAAGCGAATGCGTCACACGAACCTTTCAGCCGTCGACATTCCCTTCGAGGGAGCAGACAGGATATACATGAGTGCACTCGTCACAGCGTTTGAGGCAACCTTCGCTGCAGGACTCTGGGCATATTTACCATTGACTCTTGGATCTGTCACTCCGCTTCGATTCTGGGAGGAGGTGCCGTGGTTCGGTCTATGCGGGCATTCTTCCCTCATGGAAATCACCTTTGCGGACTTGAAAGATGATTTGCCGAATCTCGACGAGCTTCGTCTGGACCGGATTGAGCGCCAGAGCCTGGCTTTGCATAAGTATAGAAGCTCGGAGACGGGTCAAGCTGCATTGGAGCGATACAAGGATTCACTGAAGGAGGCCTATCGTACCGATGAAGAGTTCCGGGATGAAAGATTACAGTACAGCAAGCAGTTCACGTCGGATGGCAAGCAAGCAATCGCGCGGGCCAATTACAGGGCGTCTGAGAAGTACAAGAGCACGGAAGCAGCCTACAAGGCCTCGGGGGCTCTAGCAGAGTCGAAGTCAAGATACGCAACATCGGACAAGAACAAAGCGGCCCAGGCAAAGTATGCGGCTAGTGAGAAGGGCAAGGCAAGTGCAAAGAAGAGACAAGCCAAGTATCGTGCCTCTGTCAAAGCCAAGAGGCAATGCTTTGGTCAATGAAGCAAACGATCAATCAATCACACGATATACATAGATTACAAAATGCTCTCCCACTTAAACTATACATCTCTCTAATACGTACGCTTGAATGGCGGCACAGCTTTGCACTCATTCTCATCTAGTGTAGTACCAACGACCTTCCTGTAACCTAACTGGGTTGGGCCATGTGGCTGCTTCTGCCACGATAAAGTGTGTTTCATCCACTTCACGTCATCGCGATCAGGAAAATCCTCGCGAGCGTGTGCGCCTCTTGACTCCTGGCGATTGGCAGCAGATTCGGCGGTTTGGACAGCGCAGGTAAGCAAGTTCCGCAGCTCAAGAGTCTCAACAAGATCCGAGTTCCAGATCATGCTGCGGTCCTTGATACCAACATCGGCGAATTGCTGGTCGACGTCGTGGATCTTCTTGACACCCTCATCAAGTGACTCCTGGGTTCGGAAGACGGCAACGTCAGTTTGCATGACCTTCTGCATGGCGAGGCGGACTTCGGCTGTCGATTTGGAGCCGTCCGACGTACGGACCTTGTCAATGACAGAGATGGATTCAGCACCAGCATCAGCGGAGACAGGGTCAGCCTTTTGGCCCGGGCTGAAGTTGTCGCGGATGGTGTGAGAGACGGCACGGCCAAAGACGATAAGATCCAAAAGGGAGTTAGCACCAAGACGGTTGGCACCGTGAACAGAGACAGAAGCAGCTTCACCGCAGGCGAACAGACCAGGGACAACCTTGTCATTGCCCTCCCCATCTTGTGTGATTACCTCACCGGTGTACTTGGTCGGGATACCACCCATGTTATAATGGACGGTGGGCAAAACGGGAATGGGTTGCTTGGTGACGTCGACACCAGAGAAAATGGCGGCGGTCTCGGAGATACCAGGGAGACGCTCGTGGAGGATCTCAGGGGGAAGATGGCTGAGTTGGAGGTAGATGTGGTCCTTCTCAGGGCCGACACCACGGCCTTCACGGATCTCGAGGGTCATGGATCGCGAAACAACGTCGCGGGAGGCAAGATCCTTGGCGGTCGGCGCATATCTCTCCATAAATCGTTCACCCTCAGAGTTTAAGAGATAACCACCCTCACCACGAGAACCCTCTGTGATCAAGCAACCGGCACCATAGATACCAGTCGGATGGAACTGGACGAATTCGAGATCCTGATTGGGCAGACCCGCACGAGCAACCATGGCCATGCCGTCACCAGTGCAAGTGTGGGCGGATGTACAGCTGAAGTAGGCCCGTCCATAACCGCCAGTGGCCAAGACGGTGTTCTTCGCGATGAACCTATGAATAGTGCCATCTTCCTGGTTGTACGCAACGACACCTTTGCAGACGCCGTCTTCCATGATCAGATCCGTGGCGAAGAATTCGATAAAATACTTGGTATTGTGTCGCAGGGATTGGCCATATAGAGTGTGCAGAAGAGCATGGCCGGTCCGGTCCGCAGCAGCACAGCATCGGTATGCCTGTCCGCCCTTGCCGTATTTTTGAGATTGTCCGCCGAAGGCGCGCTGGTAACTAGAGCGAGTGAGTGTGCTGTCCAGATTCACAAGGATGTGAAAGCCTACATCTTGCCTTCGTCGGTTCTCGAGAATGGGCAACCGTAGTTCTCGAGCTCTATAACGGACTGTGGCGCCTCCCTTGTCATGTAATGAATAGCGTCCTGGTCCCCCAGCCAATCTGAACCCTTGACAGTATCGTACATATGCCACCGCCAATCATCCTCGTGCATGCTACACACTTTGTCAGCCTTTCTCCTCTTTCACCGTGGTGTGACAAAGGAGGCTCTACATACTTTCCGAGCGCAGCATTGATGCCACCTTGTGCAGCTACTGTGTGTGACCGAGTGGGAAAGAGCTTTGATATACAGGCGGTGTTGAAGCCGGCTTCAGCGAGACCGAAGGCCGCGCGCAGACCAGCGCCTCCGGCGCCAACTACGATGGCATCGTACTCGTGGTCGATGACGGGGTATTTCTGGGAAATGAAGCCCGACGCCTCCTTTGCCCTCAGATTTCCAGTACCGAGGATGCGTTGGGCGGGTAGCGTCGATGAAAAGGCTCGGGTGGACGGGCGTAAGCTCTTGGAAAGCTGTTGCGGAATATGTCAGCCATTGATCTGGATAGCCACGTGGAAAGCGCCCAAAACATGGACAAAAGTAACGTGAGACTGCTGGGCAGCCCTTAGACGTGTAAACCCTCTTGCCAAAAGCATTGTAGGGACTAGCCACACGCCTTTGGTGCGGTGCATGCCGGGCATAGAGGTTGTCGGGGGGAACTATGCCGCGTGAAGCCTCCAGAAGAACTCACCTGGCTCGCAAACTGTGTACGACGCATCCGAAGACAACTCATGTTGGCGGTAGCCGGAGAGCGGGGAGTGGAGGGTGGAGGGTCGGGTGCGACGTCTTTGGTGTTTTCGATGCCGTAGGTCAAAGAACAGTAGAATAAGCCGCACGCGGATTGGCCCTTCGGTGGGCCTCGGCTGGGCGCGCTTTGAAGTGCCCCCCGATCCCGAATAATCTTCTTAATGGACGTGATGATTCATTGCCTCAATTGTTTGTGCGCGTGCGTGACTTTTCAACATGCTTGGGTTTCGTGCCAAACTTTTGGCAGTTTACGATACGAGAGAAGGGCAAGTGGAGCTTCCTACTTGGTCTGAAGGTCGTCTTTCCAACGTACTCAACCACCTTAATTAACTACCTGAGTGCAATAAGCTTCACCACCCACACATTTCTCGGTCTTTCCCCGAGTCCTTAGAGAATAGGCTCATAATGTTTGCCTGATGACGCGCAGCACTGTTTGCCACTGGTGCTGAATGTACTTGGCCATTATTCGTCATCGTCATAGATATTCCCTTCATATTCAAGCTGTACCCGCATCATCTGCCTATCATAACGTGCATATACACCAGCGGGTAGCAAACGTTAAGAGGTATAGTACAAGCATTGGTTAGCTGTTAATAATTGTGCTAGCAGGATAGTACAGAGTTTTGTAACATCTTATTGAGAGAGGTAAGGGACTGAAGGTAGCACAACTTATCTGGCAGATCATCTTTCGAGCAGGCAATGGCCAACTCCATTTACGAAACTGAGAAAGCTTCATATCAACTCGCAACTAACTGTGCTCGAAAGACCCGGAATTACAGCCTTGTTCAATGGGCTCGAGGTCAAGTCTTAGTAGCAAGGAAACTATCACACATGTCTTGACTAAGAGGATCATTGATAATGAATTTGGGAATCGTTGAATTTTGTTTCAGTCGCTCATCATGACCGGCATCCATGTAGTATTCCTATCCCGTTCGCCAAAGAGCCCATGATGAAAGAATGCACTCCACACCCACACCCACAACACTTCTAAGCAGTTGTCTGGAGATCCTTCTTGAGCACACCCTCGTACTGCCTCTTCTCCGCCGGTGTCTGGTACGCACCGTGACCGAACTTGGATGAGGTATCGATCCACTTGAGTTCAACCTTCTCCAATGCCCTCCTGCTGGTGTGGGTGAACATGGACTTGCGCAGGGTCATGACACGCTTCTTGACACCAGGGCAGTTACCCTTGAGCAGAACGAAGTCGTTCTTGACCTCACCGTAGCGGACGAAGCCACCCAGACTGGTATATGTTAGCAAGATTCAGTGTGGTCAAGGACCATGCGACTTACGGAGTGATCTGCTTCTTTGAGACGTCGAACTCGGTCGAGGCGTTACCCTCGTCCTCACCCTTGCCGATACGATAGATCTTGTGGTTGACAGAGGTACGATGATGGTAACCCATCTGACCGGCACGGGCCACAGTCCACTGGACGTGGGCAGGATGCCAGGCACCGATACAGGCAACCTTGCGGAGACCCTTGTGCGTCTTGCGGGGAAGCTTCTTAGTGCCCCATCGGGAAGTGACACCGTTGTATCCGTGACCCTTGGTGACGGCAATGACGTCGATCATCTCGTTGGCCTCGAAGATGGAGCTGATCTCAATTGGCTTCTCGAACAGGCCGTGACCGTAGGAGACCTTATCGGCAATGCTGCCGCCGTTGACCTGGATCTCCATGAGATGGGCCTTCTTCTGCTTGAGCGGGGTCTTGTGGATCTGAGTGTGGGCGAGGACGCGGACGACGGTGCAGTACTTCTTCATGCGCTCGAGCTCGCGGGTAATGGACTGGCCGCTGCTCTCAGAGTGCTGCTTGGCGTACTTGGTGAAGGCCTTCTTCTTGCTCTTGTACCAGTTGCGGTAGAAGCGGCGCTTGACCTCGTCGCTCAAGTGCTCAGCCCAGACGGTGGTGAGCGAGCGCAGGCCGCGGGGAGTCTCGATGTAGCCAACAAGACCGACGGCAATCATCTGCAGTCACGTTAGTCACAGTGTCCAATGGCTCTCGAGCTGGCGTGCGTACCGGAGGCGTCTCGATGACGGTGACAGCCTCGACAATCTCCTTCTTGTGCAGTTTGGCGCCCGGGCGGTCGAGATCGCGGACGATGGTGGTCATGCCGGCTTTGTAGCCCATGGCAGCCGTGAGGTGGACAGGCTTCTTGGGGTCATCCTTGGGGAAGCTGGCAATTGCAGTGAGCATGCTGTCGACTTTGATGGCGGCGGTGCGTGTTGGCGTTGCTTACCTCTTCACCTTACCGCGGTGACGGGCGGCGCGCTTTCGCGGCAAGAAAGCCAGAGAGCCGTGGCGGGGCGCTTCGAACTTCCTGTGAGACATGGCGAGTTCGATGTGCTGTGGTTAGTATCGAAGTTGACGAGGAAGTTCGCGTATCGAAATATGGGCGAAATTTTGGACGGTGTGCGCTGAGCTCGGGCCATGGCGGCAGCCGTTCTTGGCACTTATCACTCAAAGCACCAGGTGGGGTGTCCACCGCCCACGGCTCAGTCGCCCACCGCCAGCCCAAAGTGTGAGAGAGGTACACACTGTCCGCCCCCTCCCCCAAATCGCCCACTACACGCTTGGTCTTGTACCTGCTACTATACTACTGCTGCTCTTCCTCTTCCTCCTCCTCCTCTTCCTCCCTGTATCGTCGTCCGTGCTCGTCATTCCGCTGCCGAGTCGAGTCCGCCGGTTCTGTCCCATACGCCCGCCCAGCCTGCTGCTGGCTACTGCTGGCTACTACTGCTACCGCCGCCGCCGCCGCATTCGTCCATCACAAACACCAGTATTATCTTGCCTGCCTGCCTGCCTGCCACACCTCGACGTCGGCGGCGCCATCCCTCCCTCCCCGCCCTACTACCACAGCCCATTGCACCTAGTACCTGGGAGTCTGCAAGATCCTAGCTGCATCGAATCCGCATCCCGCTGTGTGTCCCGCCATCCTGGTTGACAATCATGGTAGAAGCAGAAGGCAGCCCCACGACGTGGAAGTTTACACAGTACGTTCTGCTCTGCTGTCCTGATACGCTAGGCATTATCAGCAGTGCTCTTGCCAACCCCGCTGCGACAATCTTCTTATCGCCTCTTTGAGCCACACTGACTCTGGTAGATGCTTTGGCGACAAAGGAGATGTTGAAGACATAACAGAAGGTACGCACTCTCCATGTTCCATCCAGCCCAGTGTCATGTTCGGTTAATAATGGTGTGCAATGGCTGACAGCAAGCGCAGCGGACATCATCTCCACAGTCGAATTCGACCAGACGGGCAACTACCTGGCGACGGGCGACAAGGGTGGTCGAGTTGTACTGTTTGAGAGGAACGAGACGGTGCGTAATGCCTGCGCCTGTGTCACGGCTGGCAGCAAGACTGACAACAAGTAGAAAAAAACATGCGAGTACAAATTCCATACCGAGTTCCAGTCACACGAACCCGAGTTCGACTACCTCAAATCGCTCGAAATCGAAGAAAAAATCAACAAAATCAAGTGGTGTCGTCGACAGAATGCCTCGCATTACCTCCTCTCCACAAATGACAAGACAATCAAGCTATGGAAGGTGTTCGAAAAATCCTTAAAAGTGGTGGCGGAAAACAATCTATCACACGAATTGACCCCTGGAGGTGGGGTTGCTGGCGGAGGCGGTCCTGTCAGGAACCCAAATGCGCAGTTCCGCAGCGCCACCGACTTGAAGCTCCCCCGACTCACACACCACGACACTGTTGTCGCGGCTGTGCCTCGAAAGACGTACGCGAATGCACATGCCTACCACATCAACAGCATATCAGTAAACAGCGATGGAGAGACGTTTATTAGCAGCGATGACCTGCGGATCAACCTTTGGAATCTCAATATTCAGGATCAGAGCTTCAACATTGTCGACATCAAACCCGCCAATATGGAGGAGCTCACAGAGGTCATCACGGCCGCCGAATTCCACCCTATAAGCTGCAACTGGTTCATGTATGCCAGCTCGAAAGGTACTATCAAGCTAGCAGATATGCGAGAGAGTGCTTTGTGCGACCAGCACGCGAAGCGTAAGTTATCCATTGCCCTGCCAAGATTCTTATACTGACGTCCCATTTCAACCAGAATTCGAGCAAGAGGAAGACCCATCTTCTCGCTCCTTCTTCTCCGAGATCATTTCGTCCATCTCAGATGTACGCTTCTCACACGACGGGCGATACATCCTCTCACGCGACTACCTGACCGTGAAGATCTGGGACGTAAACATGGAGCGAACTCCAGTCAAGACAATTCCCATCCACGAACACTTACGGCCCAGACTCTGTGACACCTACGAAAATGACAGTATCTTTGACAAATTTGAGGTCGTTTTCTCCGGGGATGCCAAGAACGTCATGACTGGCAGCTATAACAACAACTTCATGATTTACCCGTCGGACCCAGAGAAAGACACGGAAGTCGTGCTCCAGGCCGACAAGTCGGCTTTCAAGGCTAAGAAGGTGGGTATTCCGACGCCAATGAACTCGTCAACAAGCCCGACGGGCAGCAGTGCTAGTAAGAAGGGTGGTTCAAGAGCCGGTAGCCCCGCTGCTGGCGCAGTCGGGCAAGGGCAACGTATGAGGAAGGAAACGGACGCGGATCAGATCGATTTCAACAAGAAGATCTTGCATATGAGCTGGCATCCATTCGAGGACAGTATTGCCATCGCAGCGACAAACAACGTAAGTAGCCCCCTTTTTTTCAACCATTCCGAATGTCCATCTAACCTCTCGCAGCTTTTCGTCTTTTCCGCATTGTAATGGGTCGCTGTCATGGCGCGGATCTTTCTCCAGGGCATTCGCAAATAGAAGCATTTACTTGCTTGTTCCTTGGCGGTCTTACTTCTCCTCTTTCTTCCTTCACGTTTGGCAACAGCCTGCTCGGCGGCGCTAGGATGGTAGATTTGGACCCAGCATGGTGAACAGGCGCGAGGGACGCAGATGGTTCATGTCGTCATGCGCAATGTGAATGATCGAAATGCAAAGCAGTGTAGATTGGAACAGCACAACAACGACTCTGGGTAATGCAGAGAAATAACAAAAGAAATCATGTTCAGAAGCTATTCTTTTGGTGGCCTGTCCTACGATGCTTGGATCTAGAAGCTCCTTTAACTTGTCACCTAGCGTAGCAGTTATTCGCGATCAAAAGCCTGTCTGTTCCAAACTTTTTTAAAGGGACCTTTTATAGGCATTCAAGCTTTTCAAAAATTCCCGTGTTCTACTGTTAAAGCAGAGTGAAGGCCTCCCAGGAGCTAGTTGCTTGTAACGGTCCGATGCGAAATGCGGCTAATTGCAGTTAGCGCTGTGAGGCTCTTAAATCCCGGTCCTCCACGTCAACCATATTGCAGCCACCACTACTAGCCAACGTCTCCCATTCTGGTAGACCATGATAAACCCATAAGTCAGTTACAGTCCTCTGTAGGTCCCCTTTGTCGATCTATAGGTGCTGTGCACTCTTTGTTTTCGCGATTATCCTCTGCCTGTTTCCCTAGATGCGCGTTCTCGTTTTGCTCGGTGTATTTTCTACGTCACATGGCTGATCAACATTAGGTCCCTCTTTCGAGATTCTGTATATATTGTCCTTGAATACCCGGCCATTGAAACATCTTGGGAAACCAATTGCGCTTAATTGTTTCACGGCCAACATGGCTGCATTTGCACCAGTTGTTAGCAGCTTCTCGCTCATTTTCGGGGGCTGCTGCGCAAATGTAAGGACTTTTGTGTACTCCATCGCAATACTCGCTCTAACAAAGCGCAGGTGTATTGTCTAGAAGCCATTGTGAAGTAGGTACGAACATTCCATGGTCCGAACACAAAAACTGACGATATGCCAGACAAGAGCCCGACAGCGGTCTTCTTATCACACTCTTTCAGTTCGTTTTTACATGTCTTTCAACATTGCACTATCAGTTCGATCTCAAAGGCCGTTATTTTGTTAGATCTTCACCTGTTCCATTCCAGAAGTGGTGCGTCAGCGCTGCGTTGTTCTTTACGGTCAATATGCTGAACAACTGGGCTTTTGCTTTTAATATCTCCGTCCCAGTCCATATTATCCTCAGGAGTTTCGGTAGTGTGACTACGATGGCAGCCGGGTGGCTTCGTGGGAAGAGGTTTACCCGCTTGCAAGTCTTTTCGGTCGCAGTTTTGACACTGGGAGTCATGGTGTCTGCGTGGGCGGATGCTCAATCGAAGGTATGATAATTTGCTTCGTCTCAGGTCATGCACGCATTGACCATCGCAGGGCAAAACTATGGAAACATCGAACATTGATTTCGCAAGCGCGTCATTTGAGGCCGGCCTTTTGATCCTCCTTGTCGCGCAGCTTCTATCCGCCTACATGGGTGCCTATGTCGAAGACGTCTACCGAGACCATGGCAAAGACTGGCAGGCAAATCTCTTCTACTCCCACCTGCTGTCGTTACCACTCTTCGCAGGCTTCGCTCCTGTTCTCACGGGGCAGTTTACGCGCCTGCAAGCCTCGCAGTCTTTCCAGGTCCCGCCTAATATTGCCACAAGCCTCCCACCAATTCTGAACAAGATACTTGCGTCGACATCTCAGCAAGTCATCTATCTCACTGCCAACGCCGTCACACAATTACTTTGTATCACAGGCGTCAATATGCTCAGCGCCAATACTTCTGCTGTTACTGTTACAATAGTGTTAAACATCAGGAAGTTGGTCAGCTTTCTGTTGAGCATCAGCATATTTGGTAATCAGATGGCTGGATTGATGAAGGTCGGCGCTGCGATGGTGTTTGGTGCGGGTGCATTGTATGGTTGGGAGACATCGTACCGAATCCCACAGAGGAAGAAAATAGAGGCTGAGAAGGTGAAGGTGAAGGAGGACAAGGAGAAGGGTCAATGAACAACGGCGCTAGATGTGGCTTCACATTTGGTGAAGGGGTAGGTAATGACATGGACGAAGCGGTCGCGCTGCGTAAACAACGAGGCACTCGTGTATATAAGCAATAAGCATGCATACTGCCCGGCAGGCGACTCTAGCACATGCGACCCTGCACTCAGAAACGTAGAAGCCAGCCAGCGCAGCATCCAAACAGCCATGCATCACGACGCCTATGTCCACATTTTTCGCGACTGTCCAATCACACGTGGGACCCTTACGCGAAAAAAGGGGCGTGCGCGAAGCTGTTGATCTGGCTTTCTGAACACCAGCTCTGGCCCCTAGCTACACTCTTTCACCCTCGAGTCCATCGACTGGTTTCTTATCTTGTGTGAGGTGCGTCTTCTGCGGCCTCTTACCAACAATTGGACGTTTCAACTAACCTTCAACCCAGCAGGCAGCTTCAACGAGCTAATAGCCCACCATGTCTTCGTCTCCGTCTGGTGTTCGGCAGCGCGCTACAAAAGACAAGAAGCGGCCAACGACACCGAATTCAGAGACACTCTCCGAGAAGGTAGCCAACGTCATCGAAAAGACGAAGCCCTACAAGCCCCTACAGCAGGGCAAGGAGTGGGATTACAAGCTCGCCATTACGGTCCTCACAGTGCTCGCATTCATATCGCGGTTCTGGGGCATTACGCACCCCGACCAGGTCGTTTTCGATGAGGTGCACTTTGGAAAGGTATGTTGGTGCCCTTTTAAGGCTGCCCTATGTCCCTCCCCCACTAGCAATTGGAGGCCTTGCTAGGCTTGGACGCACAGCTGACAAGACACATAGTTCGCTTCATACTACTTGCAACGAACCTACTTCTTCGACGTTCACCCTCCTCTCGGAAAGCTCCTCTTCGCATTCGCAGGATGGCTAGTCGGATACCGGGGCGAATTCCTCTTCGAGAACATCGGGGATTCGTACATCACCAACAAAGTCCCATATGTGGCATACCGCGCCATGCCCGCCTCACTGGGCGCCCTTACCGTACCCATCGTCTTTTTGATCATGTGGGAGTCTGGGTACTCTCTACCGGCTTGCGTCACCGCAGCTAGTCTCATGCTCCTCGATAATGCCCACATCGGCCAGACGCGCTTGATCCTGCTCGACGCTTCGCTTATCTTCTTCATGGCTCTTTCGGTGCTGTCTTACATTCGCTTTTACAAGCAACGACATGATCCGTTTAGTCGCAAATGGTGGAAATGGCTGCTCTTGACCGGTATCAGTTTAAGCTGCGTCATATCGATCAAATACGTTGGTGTCTTTACTTTCTTCTCCGTTGGTGTCCCAGTATTGATCGACCTGTGGGACCTCATGGATGTCAACCGTCGCCAAGGCGCATTGACTTTGGCTGAATTCGGCAAGCACTTCGCTGCGCGTGCCATCGGTTTGGTCATCGTACCGTTCTTCCTTTATCTTTTCTGGTTCCAGGTTCACTTCTCCATTCTTACCAGGTCTGGACCAGGCGACGACTTCATGACCCCGGAATTTCAGGAGACCTTGAGCGACAATATGATGAGCCTGCAGTCTGTTGGCATCAATTACTACGACTCTATTACCATTCGTCACAAGGAGACGAAGGTTTACCTCCATAGCCACCCTGATCGCTACCCGCTACGCTACGACGATGGACGTGTTTCCTCTCAAGGACAACAGGTTACTGGTTATCCTCATAACGATACCAACAATCATTGGCAGGTTCTCCCTTCGAAGCCCCTTCCAACCGAACTCGGCCAGCGTGTCAAGGTCGGCGATACTATTCGTCTCCGCCATTTGATCACCGACACTGTTCTCCTAACCCACGATGTTGCATCTCCATACTATCCCACCAACCAGGAGTTCACTGCTGTGAACAAGGAGGAAGCCGCCGGCGAGCGCTATAACGATACCCTCTTTGAGCTCAAGGTTGACAAGGGCAAGGGGGACTTTAGGACCATGTCTACCCACTTCAAACTTGTTCACGTGCCAACCAAGGTAGCTATGTGGACTCACACTTCGCCGCTTCCCGAATGGGCCTATAAGCAAGCTGAGATCAACGGTAACAAGAACGTCCAGCAGTCTAGCAATGTCTGGTATGTTGATGACATCCCCTCATTGCCTGTTGAGGACGAGCGCAACAAGAAGGAGCCCAAGCAAGTCAAGCACCTCAGCTTCCTCAGGAAATGGGTGGAACTTCAGCGCGCCATGTTCTACCACAACAACGCTCTAACTAGCTCGCACCCATACGCTTCTCAGCCCATCTCGTGGCCATTTCTCCTCCGCGGTGTGTCTTTCTGGACCCATAACGACACCCGCGAGCAGATCTATTTTCTTGGTAATCCAATTGGCTGGTGGCTCGCTTCTTCGCTTCTTGCTGTCTTTGTTGGCATCCTTGGTGCTGATCAGCTTGCTCTGCGCCGTGGTATGGATGCGCTTGATGAACGTAAGTCGAAAATCTTCCTTATACTACTAGCCCCCGTACAAGAGTCTCCTTGAACTGTTAACAAATATTTTCTAACTTATTTGACTCAGGCACTCGCTCTCGGCTCTACAACTCGACCGGCTTCTTTTTCCTCACCTGGGCTGCTCATTACATTCCATTCTATATCATGGGTCGCCAGCTCTTCCTACATCATTACCTTCCCGCCCACCTTGCTTCCTGCTTGGTCACTGGTGCCCTTGTTGAGTTTATCTTCTGCATCGAACCGCAAGACACTGAAACCCCTGCGATCAAGGGTCACCGCAGGACTCGGTCGCGCCCTGTCCGCGAGCGTGTCGCCACAACTAGCCAGATGGGAAGTTGGATTGCTACTGGTGTCATTCTAGTAGTAGTCTCCTGGAGTTTCTTGTTCTTCGCGCCACTTACGTACGGCAAGCCGGGTCTTACGGTTTCGCAGGTTCAGGCAAGGAAGTGGCTCGGATATGATTTGCATTTTGCCAAGTGATAAATGCATATTCGAATGCGCAATGGATAGATTGAGACGTGGAGTTGGATCGAGGGTTCTTTTTCGTTAGTTTCACTAGGGTAAAATGTTGCACAGCGCGGAGTGCTGGTGGTGTGGGTTTCTACATTCTCTCCCTTCAACGGTTTATCCCATGTACAACGCTCAAGATTAAGGTCACGGCCTTCTGATTTCTTCTCATATGTATTAGGGTATCGAATAGGGAGATAGGCCCCGCATGATTGCAAAGTTGTGCAAGCCAAATATACGGATAGGGGCTAACTGACCACCTTAAGTGGATATGTCAATGTCACCCATATTAGGTTTCTCCTCTTTTTGCAAGCTTCGCTGAGAGTCGACCATCTCGTGTCAGAGATTTTCGGGTCATTAATGAGTATCATAGGCCTATTCATATCTCGATACCATTGATCTCTTACATACCAGTATATTCATGGGTAACAGACCGAACATTCACTATTCACTAGTACATTGGTCCCTACAAGGTTATAAGAGACTGCTGTAGGCACCAGAAGGCAGCGTACTAACTTATCTTCAGGGGTTGACGATATCCATCATCATGAGCTGAGGGTATCACCAACTACCCCTAAGAGCTTCAATAATCATATGCGTGTCAAGTTTGCTTGAATCAATCATATCTTCTATCAGAAATGACTGGAGATTGATATTCAACCACGTGCAGTTGTCTGAGATTTACGAAGGGTAAAAACTTAATATAGAACACTAATAAGGGGATCCCGTGATTGCTATAGACTGTTAACATATCAATCTATTAGAAGACGATGATACTCTCAGCAGGTGGGGTTCTCCGTCTGCACCATACATCATACATGCGTCCAGCCGGAGGCAGCAATCAGGTAGCACACGCCACAGCATCACACTTCTCTTAGATAATTACTATTTCCATACCCGTTTTGCATTATGATTCGATCATTTCGATTTGACCCAGCTAGTCTTCTCCGCTTTCAAGGTCTCCTAGAGCGTAAGCACTACTCGAACCTGTTTCTAAAAAAGGAAACGTCCTGGCTAGTCTCGGCAGACGGCTGCCGAATGTGAACTGGTGATACTGAGTAACGGCGTGTGCGACGATGATCGTCGTCGTTAGAATTCAGGGACTCGATGCTGTCCGGCCGGGCAAGAGGATTTTCAAAGCGCCTACGCCCTAGTTGAGCTATCGCTGGTTCTGTGAAAGTACTTTGAGTGCGGAGATGTTTGTAATTACATTGATTCTTCCAGAATATGTTGATAAGGTCGCCAACCATGGTTCCAAACCTCATCATCGTTCTCCCATGGTACCAAATATCGATTTTCTGATTCCGGCCGGGCAAGCTTGGGTGTCTAAGCACGATAGCATTAATGAACTGCCCTTTCCTGCGCGCGGAAGTGTATACCTGGCCACCTTCTCATTTACCGACAAGGACGTCAAGAAGTGGTTCTGGCTTTTCCGTTCGGCATTGAGGACACATTTCTCATGGAAAGCGGGCGGGTCACATGGGTGAATTCGACTCTGACGGCGAGGATGCACCGTTTTCTAGTGTAAGACCTGTTCGACGGGGCCGAGATAGGTCACCTTTGTACTATCCTCCAACCATCGACATCCCATCTGTATTCCTCTCGTGAGCATTGGATACGAGTGTCATATCGGAGACTACTGATAACCTCGGATACATCGTCGTCACACAATATCGCCACAGGCCCGCCGGCAGTAAGTTACTTGTCGCGGAGAGCAGGAAGGCAGCTGGGATGTTAATGTACTACGAGCTGCTCAAGGGCGATTCGATCATGTTTGTTGATGTTTGTTGAAGTTATAGCGTATCAGTTCAAGAAAACTGTGCATCCTGAGAAGTTCAAGAAGGTTGATACGTTCGTAGAGGCTGTGAAGGTGCATGAAGATGGGTTTGTGGGTGTCGTCTGCTAGGTAATTGGCACCGACGGCGAGAGGATGATGCAACATACGGCCTTTGTTACTCAACCTCTTCTTTTACTTGTTCTACCATAGAGTATGCAAGGCTTTTTAGTCTCTATATATGATGAGAATAGCTGGTATTCATTTTCGGTACTTTTCTTTGATACACGTTTTCAGTTGCTGGGGGCTGTACCCCTCCATCGAAGAGTATCATCTGGTCTTGAAGAGAACTCTAATCTGTAAGGTAGACCCGTGAAACGACCGCCTTTTGTAAAGCAGTATTCATTGGTCTATATTGAGGTATCAGGAGGCACCGTACCAAGTTACCTCGGAGACTATCACCACTAACTAACTCCTGAGAGCTCCAAGCGACCGTATGCGCGTTAACTTGGCCCAGATTAATCAAATATCCAGACCAATCGTTTCCTGGTCTAAGAAAAACCAACGGTATTCTCAAGAGAAGTAAGCAAAGTGATGACAGTTATTCTATTTCACGATCACATGGTGTGTCGCGTCTAGTCTACACCAAATGTGGCCGAGCTATCCACGGCCTGAGTCTCTAGAACAATTTGCGCATTATTATCTCTTGGCCTTTTTTGCGAATGAGCTCCATGATATTCACGTCCAGAGTTGTCGCTCTGTTCGCCATGTGTCTGGTTTTCTTCATTCACGGGATCTTCTATACAATCCATGTCAATACCTCCTTCCTCATAACTCTGCGAATCAGCAATATGACTCTGCTCAACGTGCTCTTTCTTAATCTGAAGCGAGGAATTGTTGGCTTGATGATGGTTATGCGTGCGTGTATGTACTGTGTGATCAAGGTCTTCTTCAAAAACCTGGCGGGTATAGTCATGTTGCTTCCGCGATTCGTCAACGCCACTCGGGAATATCTTCTCCATGATCGCACTATGCTTCTTGTGTACACTCGTTGAGACAGCCTGATTCGAACTATAGCCGCTTGGACTTGGCGTATCTGGTGCACCGGCGGAATCGGAGTATTGAACATTGGTAGGCGTAAATCTGGAAGGTGACTGATTGGGATCACCTTCCTTACGTGCATGCACTTTGCGCAGGTTTGCAGCCGAAGATTGCGATCGCATATCCGGGCGACCATCTTTCCGGATAAGCACACCGTCAGCGTTACGAATCGGCTTAGTCCGAGTCTTCTTTGTGTGCGAGTATGGGTCGCCCAGGTGTCCAATGCCCATACTAGCGTTCACACCTTGTAGACCTAAACTCACAGCCCGTTCGCTGGGTGCATAGCTATTACGTGTGCCACCACCTCCGCTACCACGGCGCGCTATTCCTCGCCCTGTACGTGCAACATGATTGTAATATCCGCCCGAGTTAGTATCCGAATCGGTAAGTCTCTGCCAGTCGTCCTTCTCCCATTCTGGCGTCCTGAGGGTATGGGTTTGGACCGGCATACTCTTCCTGCCTCTTCCGCCACGACTTCCTGGCCCTCCTCCACGTCCTCTACCGCGAAGGCGATGCTCGATGATGCGTTGTGACTCAGGCCGCCAGCTATCGTCTGAGGGACCATCTTGCGTACCGTATGGCATATAGACCGAATGGGGTAGTTGTGATGGAAGGACAGACTCAGGGATAGAATGTTGAGATGGCAGTGTATGCGCATAGACCTGAGTTTGAACCTCTGGGCCTCCAGTATCCGTGTGGCTTAGTGACGCTAAATATGTAACAGGAGGCTCAACAATATTCAACCTCTGACGCTTTGGAGATCCAGGTATTTGTTTGCTAGTTTCATGTGGACTCTCCATGCCATTTGCCAAGGTCCGCTTCACACCAGCATTGACGGTGGCCCACCCAATGCTTTGACTGGGCACAGGATTGGGCCTCTGAGATGTCTCCGGTGTTGTGGATGGTGGATTTTCGAAAGAGTAGTAAGACTGGGGGTTTGAAGGTTGAACCGGAGTGTTGTGCAAGACGGGTACCGGCGCTGGTTGATAAGAAGCTGCAGTGTGGGTCGATTGGGAAGTGAGTGCTATTGTTTCTCTTGGAGACTGATAAGCTTGTGGCGTTGGTTGGGAAAGTGGTGGGACGGTTCCTTCTTCCAGTCGTTGGATCTTGTTCTTCATGATCTCGATTGTGATTTTAAGCGTATCAACTTCATTCGCCTTCTGTGAGATAGTAGCGATTTGTTGCGCCATAAGCTCGAGCGCTGAGTCCTGAACGCTGGTCGCTTGACCAGGTGGTATAGTGGAGCCTCGCGGTTGCCTATCCCCTTTCGAAGCATGTAACTCATGACTCAAGCCTTCCATCACTTGGCGTGTACCTAACATCTCATGGTGTAATCTTGCGACCGCTTCGTCCACCCTCTGGATATCTCCACGTTGGCGAATTAGCTGGCTTTGAAACTCTCGCCGAAGTGATTCCTCAAGCTGCTGGAAGGATTCTTCGCCACGTCTTATGTCGCGGGTATGGGCAGCTAGGGCACCACTATTCTGAGAGATTTGTGTTTGCAGGCGCTCGATAGCGTCAAGTTCAACTTCACGCGACGAGCGAGGATATTGGTGACCGTTAGCATGGTGTAGTTCGTGAGGAGATCGAGGTTGAGGTGCAATAATGGAGGGGTTATCTCGCGAACCACTTGTTGTCTTGACAGCAATCTCACTAGAAGGTAGTTGCGCAGCGCGTTGAACCTCATGGATCGGCTTCACGGCAGGGGACGGTGACGAAAACGTATTGCTAGACGGTTTTTGTGAGATAGCATGTAGCGATGCTAGCCTTGGGGGAGATCGCACTGACGAGGGAAGTGGCAGTGACTGCAGGTCTGCATCGGCCTGCTGCAAGGACTGGTTCTGGAGAGAGTGTTCGTGATGCTGCTCATGTCGACTCTGGTGGTGGCCACCATGGTGGGATAGTGGCGGACGGGAGTCGATCTCCATGTCTTCTGTTGGCGCAGCTGTTGGTGTTGTTGCCGGATCAGGCGTCGGGCTGGCGGACTCCTCAAGGGTTAATAGTGGTGGTGCTGTGTCCTCCTGGGGCTCTACCACGACGGTTCTATTTGGTGATACTTCGCATCGCAGCTCGATGCGATTTAGCTTAAAGAAGTCGCGGCCACTGTAAGAGAAGATACATATTAGTGGGAAAAGTGCTGCTATAGAAATGGTGAATTGATTATACAATCGGTCGAAGTGCAATTAATACCTGCCGCAGGCGATAAACATGCAACATCCCGGTATTAATGGCCACAAAGCAGCGTGCATGAGATGAGAAAGGTGGAGCGTCAAAAGGACCGAATCACGGAAAATTGAGCAAAGACAATAGGACAAGGAGAGTTAATATGACTTACCGGAAATTTCCCTTCCCTGCGGGCACGTCAACAACGGTAAATCCAATTGGTGAATCGATGCAGCCGGGAGTTGGACAAGACAACGGTTGAATGGTACTATTGTGTATCAGTCAACGTGTCAGCGATAGAATGTAATGCGAAATGCGGACCGGCGGGTTTAATAGATGATAATGTATAGTGTGGAAATTATTCGGGCAGACTAGCGCGGACGCGCTTAGGGAAAAAAATAAACCATGTACCAGTGATTGGCACCGGGATAAGCTCATAAATGGGCAAGGAGAATCTTGATCGCTCGACTAGGAAAGGAACTGTGCGACAACGCGGAAAGGGCTCAATGCGAGGGAAGCTTACCATCCTTCTAAATCGGTACCCTTGGATGCCGCCTTCTGCTTGCCGGTACTTTTTAGGAGGCTTCTGTAAGACCCGAGCAGCGTTGGGACGAAATAGCTGCCAGTAACTTTGTGCCATGAATTGTAGAACTCGCCGACATTATTACTACAATTCCTGCAGAAGCCTTCCGTGGAAGGATTGACGGGTGCGTTCAGACGGGGAGAGCCTTCCTCAGCGCTCACTGCGATCTCTACCGCCTTGGGAGCCACAACATCTGCGCTCCCTTGGACAATTGACGTCGAATGAGATACTGAGCGCTGATTTCCATGTGTACTCGTGTCACTTTCACGAGAGTGCCGTCTCGTGCCCGCCATGAGTTGTGGATCGCACCAGGCAAAGATTTGGTACCGCTCATGAAAACGGGCCGAAGACGTCAGCTAGTGAATCAAGTAGCGCTTGAAGTAGCCTCCGGCGTTCTACGTTGCGTGTTGCGTATTGCGTGGCTGCAGATAAGAGGAAATGCTGCACGAGTGTCTTATCCAACCTGGCCGCTAGGGTCGGGCAATGGCGGAAGGAATGGCTATGTAAGCGTCCGAGACTGCCAGTACGTGACTCCTATAAGCGTCGCGCCGTGACGCTTCGAGAACGTGGCGGAGGTGAAGGATTGACGAAGGACGAGAATAGTTATTGTTGAGACCAAGCACACGGGAGCCTGGCTAGAAAGGAATGTGTTAGGAGCTTAGAGAGGGAAGGGGTGACGGTGTGAAATAATTAGCAGAGGTTATTCCATGATTAGCATGCATGAATCCCTCCGCGGCTTAGCGCCGACGCTGGGATAGATGCGCCCGACTCTACTATTACCTAGGTACGATAAAGCCGCTTCGTGTCGCGGGCGCCACACATTCGCCTTGTCTGTCCAACGAAACAGCAGTTCCAAATCATCAAAAAGCTAGCCATGTACCCCCGACCGAAGTAGATGTGTATCTTTAGTACCGCTCCATTCCATTCGCAGCTATATTTGTTTGCCCCTAACTCAAAGTAAGTCGGTCAGCCATTAGGTCATGACCGCATCCTAAAGCCGCTGGTAAACTAGGCTAGCAGAGATCATGAAATAATAATCATAACGACCATGGGAGAAATGCGACGTCGCGGTCGCGCGGTAGATAGTCTATCTCATCAAGCCTGTACTTTTTACTTGTAGATTTGCTGTCTATACCCGCAGTGGCGCAGTGGAATGATATGCGCTAAAGCACTTTGCTGCAAGGGAGCATTGCCATGGATGTTGATTACTTCTTGCATATCAAGGATGCATCCACAGCCGCGCTGGAACTTTCTGCTGAGACAGTCATTTGCTCAAGCCTAAATCTGCTACCGAGGTCCTTCCGTCCGCAGGAGGTATTCAGCCTCTAGTCGCTTCCGCACCAACGGTAAGCCCTCCAGAACACCACCATACCGGTACCTGTACAAGACTAGCCAGACCGCCATGTATCGAGCGTAAAGAAGCGACACAGTGCTCCGCGTGTACCTATAAGCATGCGACGGGCGCCGCAAACACAATGTACTACTCCACGCTCCGTGTTGTGTGGTACAAGCGAGGCACAAATACTATTTACTTTACGGCGATGAAGCCAACACCGTTGCGTGCGTCTTGACAAGCCTTTGAAAGGGCTTGAACTTCCGTGTCGGTCCATTTGACACTGAGGTTGTCCCAATTCTTCGTAGCGTATTCGCGACGGTATTGTTGTTGCATTGCTTGTAAACGGCGTATTTCTCGAGGGTCGCCCGTGCCACTATACACGATGAAGGCCGTGCAGCGGGGCAAAGAGTCGTAGATTTGCACGATTTGGGCAATGGTCCTGGAGACAGCGTCGCCGAGCTCGGCGCCTTTGACCTCGACATCTTCACCATCCCCCTCCCTCAAGAGTCCTAGCCTCTGTAGCGCGTTCTGCCGAATAGCTTCAACATCAGCCGTCTTCGCATCGTCCCACCAGCCTCGAGCTAGCTCGAGCTCGCGCAAACGCGCCCAAACGAAATCAACCTTTTCCACCGCACCTTCTTTGCCCTCTGCTCGTCCACTTATAGCGCGATCGATAGCGTCTACAACTTCAGCGTCTGTTTTACACCCAATAGAAATATGGGCTTGGCCACCATGTCCACGATTTGGGTCGCCCCAGTCGATCACAGCTCCGGCACGAGGTTCGTTGTTCGATTTCGGTCGCGTTGTGCGTCCTAGCCTCTTGAAGAGGGATTCCGCGTTTGTGTCGCCAGAACCCCATCGTGGACCTTTCTCGCACTTTTGTTTGACGAGATCAAGGCAAGTGCGGGCGTCTTCAACACTGTTATGGCCTTGTGCACCTTTCTGGACTTCACGCTTCAGATACTTCTGTGCGAGCCATTTCAGCGACTGTTTATATGGCGATCCGCGAGGGTGCGGATAGAGGATGCCAGTGTCGATTATGAAAGGGTGTGTCATCTTGAGCGCATTGAGGTCCGAGTTTAGCGAATGTCCTATAAGGATGGTGCACGGTGTGACGAGTTTCAATAGTTCCGTTTGTATGTCCGCTAGAGTGGTCGTGACATGCTCCAGCATAGTTGCTGTGATACCAGACCACTGGGTCAGATAGTCTTTGATGGTGACATCAGGTTTGACTAACTTGTCGAGAACCACGCTGCCGTCCCAATCAATAAGACTGATTCGTGTGAGCACAAGCTGGTCGTCTTCAGCCTTGCACATCTCACAGTCAACGGAGATTATGTGTCTTCCGGCAGTCACACTACCCTGCTCAACCTCGTTTTCAGGCACAATTCCGTCTTCAAGGTTGGCGACATTGGTGTCCACCCAACCATTGTCGGAAGTTTGCTTGGCCAGTTTCCTCCTCTCATGGGCAGCTCCTTTAGACTCTGGTGTTGTGAACAATGCTGGATGAAGTACGTATTCATTTTCTTGCTGTTCAGTAAGACTAGCAATGTATTCAGTTATTCGTGTGCGCTTGTTTTCCCAGTGCTGCGAGTTTTGCGGGCTAGGTCCTTTGTGATTCCCGCTCTTCTTCAATTGCTTCTCTTCTTGGGATTTTGGGATTTGTGAGGTTAGCATTGTATGAATGGGTGAATGGACCCTAGTATATTGGTTGGCACGATGTTCGCCTTGGGCTTTGATGGGCCATACATGCGCGAAAACGTCGGAAAGAGACTTCAGCGATGTAGGCAGCCTGTCTTGTCTAAGACTAGCCGGGTAGAACTCATCAGGTGATATTTGCAACCGCTTGGACTTTGCGCTGTCTCTCGCGGTAGTTGTGGTATCAACCGGAGTATTCCTTGGTTCTCCACCATGTGAAGAGTTAGGCTGCATTGCAGGGTCAAGAGTAATGTCGCCATTAAACATGCCAAGCTCCAGCCCAGGAACCATCAGCATGACAATCTGGTGAATACTCGTGCGATTGCGCACCGACACCCATTGCGGAGCATTCCCGTCTGTGAGTAGATAGAGTACCAACGACTGTAGGTCTGTTATTTTCACGTGGGACTGCAGCCGAGCGTGATGCGAATGCTCGATGGCTGGGTAATTCCTCTCGAGCTTACGCGCCTTCCTACGTTCTTCCCTGCCCAGATGAGGCTCGTCAGGCGACTGCTCGAAGCCCTGCTTGTACGTGGAGAAAGGGTTCTCTGGGGGCGAACGGTGGCCGCCAAGCTGTTTGTTTGTGGTCAAGAAGGGATTATCGAGCGGAACATTCTCAGATGATGAGGGACATGGCTCGGCGCGAGGGGAGTGAGGGCTAGCACTCAAACGACGGCGGCGATTGGAAGAGGGTGATTTCGAGCTCCTGTGCCCATTGTTGAGATATGAGCTGCGCTCTTTCCGTCTCCTCTTTGATCCGCCTACTACTGCCCATTCATGGCCGTCATCGATCACAGCGGTCTGTGTCGCATTGTCGGGCTGCGTTTCGCCCCGCAAGTGCGCCAGTGTCGCACCAAGTCCTACGTCAACAGGCTGCTCGTCGCCATCGCCATCGCCGCGCTTTCGTTTTGCCATGTCGACGCTCATGCGATTAGCGGGGTGTTGGTAAAGGAGGCGGGGAATTTGGTGTGCAAAAGGCCTGCTTGAGCTTCAGAAATGTTTTGGCAGGCCTAGGGCACGGGCATTACGCTAACGGCTTAGCGCGGTGCCAGATTCTTAGTAGCTTGTTATTCACTTTCATTTTGAAGGCCGTGTATATAAAGGAGTGTGGTCTCTATAAAGCTCTAAGAGCCTAGAAACCTAGCAGCTGTAGCTAGGAGATATTAATAATATTTAGACTCACATTTCTACCGTGTGATAGGGTGTAGCCTGGATGACTTCAAAGTCTTTTAAGCTCCACGATAGAAAGTAGCAACTTCATTGAGGATAAGCACGCTTCACTATCGTGACCATAGGAAACAGTGCCGACTGTTTAGTAGAGGACAATAGGCGCCTTCTCGGAACTGTTCGTCCTCTCATAGTAGCGGATTGCACCCTCAGCTTTCGCGCAATTGGTTAAGTAAGTCGACGAAGCGTTAACCGGGACAGTGTTTCCTTCCTGCGGGCGTCCATAAACCTATTACAGTGTGAGCATTCAGTTTTGTCACTTATGTGCTTTGGACGGAAACTTACGTGCTCGTAATACCACACTTCGTTCAGTACAGTGAATCCATTGTCCGTGCTACCTTTGCCAGTCGTCGTAGTGTTGTATCTTGGGCCAGAACAGCCAAGGAATGGGATACCACCATGCCTCTCGAACAGAATATCCCTCAGCTTGGAATAGGTATAGGTGGTACTGTTGGACGGCGTGATACATTCGTCCTCTAGCCACTTGAAGGTCGGGAACCTCTTGTAATATTTGATTGCTGTCTCGAAGAAATCAACAACATCCTCGTGTTGACGGTACTGTGGGCCGTAGCAAGGTACATTGAAAGTGCTGAAGCAAGTGGCATGTTTGCTGAACTCGTGGGCCCAGAATCCCGGATTATCTTGATTGAATCCAGTCCAGTACGTGTTCATATACTCAAGCAAGTCGTAACGGCCGAAGCGCTCGAGAAAGGTGCCAATGTTAGGTCCTCTAGTGTAGGGAGCGACAAAGGTACCATTTGGTAGGCCATTCGTGGTGTTTGGGGAAGGAATTGGATCATACTGGCGGTTCAGATCACAATATTGTCCAAACTTTGAGTCACAGTAGTCTGGCCATAACCCATGTAAAGTCCACGCATCTGTGGGCAGTAGCTGGCCCTGAGACTCAAGACCGGTGTAAGTATTCCAAAACTCGGTAGTGAGAAGAAGGCCACCAAATGTCTCGACACAACATGAGTCGACTTTCGAAGGGTCTTGCGAAGGGCAGGAGAGGAGCGGTTCCTGGAGCTGGCAAGTGTGGTTCAACCGGCTTTGGTTGGGGTACAGCTGTGCCTTTGCTGTATTGATGAGCAAAATTACTGCCCCTGCGTTCCTGAAGATACTCTTCATCTTGGGATGATGTGGGTGGATCGAAAGGAAGAAAACTACTAAACCGTACCTGAAGTTGTACCAACACCTAGTATCTATAAGTGATCGACAACCTGGTAACGACCTACCTAAAGCAGTTTCATCATAGCACTTTGCTCCTTTTGGAAGGTACACAGTTCCTACAGGGAAGCTTAAGTGCAAGCTGCTCTCACGTGTCCATCTTATTGGATGATAAGGCAACAAGGCTACGCAAGCCGTGCATGCTTGTCCTGACCGGAGCTGCCTCCGAGGCGATGATACAGCCACAATTTCCTGGGCAGCTAATATGGATACTCTATGCAGAATAGCGCTCGTGATAGTGGATACAGATTCCAAACTTTCGGTGCTTGGAAGAACGTGGGTGGTCTATAGGCGAGCAACTCCGGATTTGAGGCTCAGCCGATGACGTTTTTAAAGTTAGCGATAGCTTCCTAAGAACAAATGCACCTACAGACAACGAATGTATAAAATAATTATTACTATAAAAGTATAAAAATGTACTCTACAAAAGACTAAATTAAACAAAAGACTAGATTACTTTTACTAAGCCTTTACTAAAACTTACTATTACTTATAGTATAACGTAATACTTTACTACTTTAATATATTACTAGCTTTAAAAAAAAAGCTTAAATATAGCTTATACTTTAAGCTATTAAATAAAATATAATTTTTTTTAATAATATATTATAATATACTTTAATATTCTTTAAAGCTTACTTAGCGCTTATTATATTAAAAAATAGTTTAAACTTAATTACTTATTTAAGTTAATAAATCTTACTATAGTAAAAAAAAAAAATCATTTACTATATACTTAACTTTAATATATAAAAATACTTACCCTAGCTTATAAATATAAAAGCTATAGCTAATTTTTTACTTATAAAGTGTTCCTATAAACTAATTAGTATAAACTAAATTATAAACTTTATTAAGCGCTAACTAAAGCTTAAAGTTAATATTACAGTTCTACCCCTCTATTATATAACTACTTTACAGTATTAGGTCTGCTAATAGCAATTGTCAAGGGTTTCTTAATAATCTATTTAGCTAACCTAGTATTGTATAAACTTTACTGCCTTAATACTATATTAAAGGCTAAATATAGTACCTAAATTATAATTTTATACTAATTTTTTTTACTATATTGTATAATCTGCTCTAGCGTTGACTTTACTTTCTCTTAAAGCAACTACTTTACAGTTATATAATATCTAACCTAATATAATTAGACTAGTAAATAAGTTTAGGCTAAGTTTAGGTTAGGTTGCTTTATATAAAACCCTAACTTTAACTTACTTTAAATTTAATATTTTTATATTAAAAATAAATTAAAGTTAAATTAAAGGTATATAAACTTTAAGTAAAAATAGAATTATATAAACTAAGTAAAGTTAAGTCTTAGTTATAATAATTTTTAAATTAAAGTATAAAAATTAGTTAAAGTTAAAGTAGCTAGTATTAAAATATAATTATTATAATTATTTATTATAAATTAATAATAATAGGGTTGCTAGTAGTTTTATTTACTATCTACGCTATATAAATTATTTTAAAAAGTAATCTTTATTAATTATATAACTAAAAAGTTTAACTTTCTATAGTACTGCTTTACTAACTATAAATTTTTATATTAAATAGTAACTTTTTTTATATAAATAGCATTCATGTTGCAGTCTAGAGCAGTTAGTAATTATTATATAGTAAATAAATAAATTAAAGTAGTATATTTTTTATATATTTAATTATATAAGCCTTAGCAGCCTTTTAAATAGCAAGTAAAGCAGTTTTTTAAAAGCAGAAATACTATTATTTACTAAAAATATTTTTAGTAATTTTTTAACATAAACGTAAAAAGGGAATTTTAAAAAAAAAAAAATTAGTTTTTTTTTAATATTTTTTAATTTATTTAAAAGCTACTGCTGCGTACTATTAAAATAATATATAATAAATAGCTATAATAATATACTGCTAGGCTTAAAGCAATGCTTTTTTTTAATTTTTATTAAAGTAGATAGTTTTTTGCGCGCAGCTTTAGCAGCTAATTACTTATAAAAAACTTTTCTACTTATTTACGCATATTATAAGTTGTTTAGTAATTGATAGCTACGGCGAGGGCAAAGAGGCCCTCCAAAATTAGTTACAAAAAATCAAGCTGCAAAAATTTGGATTTTTACCTAGGTAAGTAACTAAATTTGGCAAAAAAGAAGAAAAATACAGCTTTTATTATTGGAAACTGCAGGATTTGAACTCAGTTTACTGCATATAATTCAGATATAATTTAGGTATAACTTAAATATAATTCAGATTTAATTAGACAATTTATTAAACTTAGCTATATAGTTAACTAAATTATTAAAGTTTTTAGAGCTATAGAAGCTTTTCCTTAATAGGCTATAATATTCGAATTTAACTACAATTGTATAGCTGCAACAGCAGCTTAGGCCTCTATTTTTAAAAAAAAAAAAAAATTGTTTAGTATTAATTGCGCATTATATAAATTATATATTAGCTTTTTAATAAAAAAGCAAATACAGGCTATAGTAAAATAATTAATATATATAGTAAAATTATTAAAATAGTAGTTTAGTAGTAGTTAAAAAGTTTATATTACGCAAAATTAAAAAAAAAAAAATATTTCTATAAATAAAAGTAAAGTCGACGCTAGAGCAGATTATACAACGCAGTAGAAGAATTTAGTATAAAATTACAGTTTAAGTACTATACTTAGCACCTTAATATAGTATTAAAGTAGTAAAGTTTATACAATACTAGGCTAGCTAAATAAATTATTAAAACTAATAATTACTATTAGCAGACTTAATATATTATTATTTAAAAATTATAGCAACGTAACTATTAATTTTTAATAGTAACTAATTTGTTTAAGTAATGCTAGGCAAGTTGTATTAAACTAAAATAGAGCGTTTAGTTAAGTTCTTAAGCTAATATTAGGAATTTAGTTTAGTAGTAAAGCGCTTTAATTAATATTTTCTTAAATAGAAGTAAGCAATTTAATTAGTAACAGTATATAAAGTATTAATTAAAATTTTAGTTTAGCAAGTTAGCTTATAAAAAAACTTTAAAATTATAGACTATAATTTTTAATAAGTCGCGATAATTAATAGTTAATAGTTAAAAATAAAAAACTGCAGGCAGCAGTTTTAAATGTATAATATATATATAAAAAAATACTTTTCTTTTATATAATTAGCTTTTTATATTTTTATAGCAAGCTATATTAATTATTAACTAATAGGATGCAAGCTTTACTAACAAAGTCTATATAATACTTATTAATAATTTTTTTAATACTGCCTTTTGTCTTATTATTTTTTTAGTATTTATAATAAAATTTAAATTTTAAAATACTATTATTTACAAAACTAGTATGTTAAACTAGTATAAATAAGTATTTAAGTACTCTAGCAAGCTTAGACAAATTTTTTAAAACTTAAATACTAGGCTTTTTACCCGCAAAAACAGGACCTAATGTATTATTAATAGCTTACATTATTAATATTTTACTATATATTGCGTACTTTTATTTTTAGAATTGCTAAACAATAAACTTCTAATTCCTAATATAACTTTAACTACTAAAGCACAGTTTTTTTTAACAGTTTCTAAGTACATATTTAAATATCTAGCGTAATATTAAACTGCTAAGCAGCTAACTAATACTAGGCTTTTAGGCAATAATACTAACGCTAATACTAATAATAACAATAATAATAACTTTTCCTATAATATTAGCCCTAACGCTTAACTGCCTCTTTGCTCTTCCTTTTGCTAGCGCTATTTCTTTTTTTTATACTTAGCTTAATTGCTTGCTTTTTTTTTTAAAGTTTTTATCTTACTTAAGCGTTTATACAATCTCTACAGCTATAAAAAACTATTACTTTTAGTTATTAAATTGCTAGTAACTGCAGCAGTGCAAAAATATTTATTAATATAGTTTTTAAATAAGCTTCTTATACTAAAAAGCTAAATAAAAGGCTTTAAGCTTAGCTTGCTAGTTAGTAATAAAAGCTTTCTAAAAAGCAGTTAAACTGCAGTAAAAAGTCTATATCTAGCAGCTAATAATAAATATAACTAATATATTTAATTTTTTCTAGCAGAGCTTTTTTAAGCTAATAAAACTTTTAAAAAAAATATAATTAAGCATAAAGTGCTTTAGCATGCAAAAAAGCCTAGTATTTAACTTTTAAAAAACTTGTTTAAGCTTGCTAGAATACTTAAATACTTACTAGTACTAGTTTAAAGTACTAGTCTTGTATAGCAAAAAACTAGCCTAAAGTTTAAGCTTTTTTGCAAATACTAAAAATATAATAAAACGCAGGGCAGCATTAAAAAAATTGTTAATAAGTATTATATAAACGGCGTTAGTAGGCCTTGCATAATTATTAGTAGTTAATATAGTTTATTGCAAAAAGTACAGGCAGACAATTGCATAAAGAAAAGGCGTTTTTTTATATATATATTATATATCTAAAACTGCTGCCTGCAGCTCCCTGCCCTTAACTATTATAACCTATTAACAACTATACAAAATATTACAGTCTATAATTCCTTACAAGCTAACTTGCTAAACTAAAACTTTAATTAATACTTTATATGCTATTACTAATTAAGTTACTTACTTTTATTTAAAAGAACGTTAGTTAAAAAGCTTACTACTAAACTAAGCTTTAAATATCGGCTTAAAAACCTAACTAAACGCCCTATTTTAGTTTAATCTAATTTACCTAGCATTGCCTAAACAAGTTAGTTACTATTAAAAGTTAATAGTTACGTTACTATAATTTTTAAATAATAATGTATTAAGTCTGCTAATAGCAATTGTTAAAGGTTTCTTAAAGATCTATTTAGCTAGCCTAGTATTATATAAACTTTACTGCTTTAATACTATATTAAAGTGCTAAGTATAGCACTTAAACTATAGTTTTATACTAAATTCTCCTACTGCGTTGTATAATCTGCTCTAGTGTTGA